CACAGGTAACGTGTGATTTGCATCACATCTACACGCTTAATTGAAGTTTTTTGGGAGGATGTTTTTCAGCCATGCTCACTTGTGTTACATCCGTGGGCTAACGACAGACTTGTTGCTCTTCACACAGTGGTGATGAGTGCACCACCGCCCTTTGAGCTCTACCTTCACAAGGCATTGGACTGGTTTAGTTTGTTTCAACCCACATCCAGCCCAGAATTTTTCATGGTAGTCCACAGACTTTCTCAGTATAAAATCATGAGACTATTTATGCAACTAAAGTTTACAATATAATGAAAATGTAGTTAAATATTTTTTAAAAATCTAATTAAAAATACTACAATTTAAGGCTAAACTGAGGGACTGAAATTGCATTTTATGGCTACTGTGAAAATGGGTTAAAGTAATGGTTCACGGAACATGAACATGACCGTTTCCCCTCAGCCAAGATATATTTAGTTTCTGAAGTCTGATTTCTTTTTTAGTTATGCACTGAGGCTATGAGGCTAATATCGCTAATAGGTAAATTAAGTCTCTGTCACCCAAAATCTTTTATATTAGCCTCATATCTCCAGTACAAAACTAAAGAAGCAGGCTTTGGACACAGAACAAGTCTTGGCTGAGACTATATTTGGGAAGATGGGAAAATTCTGTAATTTAAAAGCTAAATATTACACTGTGGGAAATTGTAGTGCCCCCAAAATCACCTCGGAATTCCATTTTACAATACAGACACCAAGAGAAAATGGCCATCGTGAAAATAGTGCCCTAAAACAGGACAGCGTCCATTTTGGTCGTGCTCTCTTTTACAATGATTGAGATTAGGACTCACAGTCACTGACCACACTGTGCTTCTGAATGGCAGGAGAAGAAGTACCGCCTGCAGAACCAGGTGGACAGGATGAAGGAGAAGGTGCGGACAGTGGAGGAGAAGTCCAAGCACTTTGTGTACCGAGTAGAGGAGAAGAGCCATGACCTCATTCAGAAATGGGAGGAGAAGTCACGCGAGTTCATTGGCAACTTCCTGGAGCTCTTTGGTCCTGATGGGACGTGGGTAAGCCTGCCCTCTGTAGTAAGTCTAAAAGAATCCACACTGTGTAGAGAACTTAAGCTCTTCTTTATCCTCCAGTCACGTGGGCCTGGAGAGCTGTCTTTAATCAGGCAAGTGCACTAGAGTAAAAAAAGGCGCTCAGAGTAGGTCAGCGGCGTCCAGCTCTGGCCCTGGAGGGCTTACTATAGGGTTGGGCTTTGTTTTTATTGTTTGAAGCATATTATTACAAATAGTACTCAGATATATATAATTCAGAGAAAATATTCAATGTGCACTGTAGTAATCAGCCCAGATCCGAATTAGCAAATTTTTGATTTTTTTTTATTAAAGCTAATGTTTTCAGTTTTGTTACTGTCACGTTGTTTTTGTTCCCTGTACCGTTTCTAATCCCTCAGTACTGTCGCTCATCTCCCCTTCTCAGAAGCAGATGTTTCAGGAGCGGAGCGGCCGTATGATCCAGGCTTTCTCCCCCGGCGGCTCGCCCAGCAGCAGTCCACCCAGAGACTTCTCTCCATCCCGCTCACCCTCGCCCCCGTCCCGTTGGGCTGTCCCGAGAACTTCCCCACCCTCGTCCCCAAAAGGTGCCTCCGCATCCATCAGCAGCATGAGCGAGGGTGACGAAGACGAGAAGTGAAGCCCGAGCTGTCACACACTCACCACACACACATACACACACACACACACACACTCCCACACTGTTCCTGACCTGTACACTTCTGCGCACACCGGCAGCAATGACGAGTTCACACAAGTATCCTCATGGGAATAATGTATATAAATACTGTACGCAATACAGGATGGATTGTGTCCTGTTAAGCTCTTTCTAATGTTATAGAGTACGAATGAAAGCCATTGCAAACCTCTTCTCCTTACAGACAGCAGATTTAAAGGGGAATTACACAGAATTTTTAAAATTTCTGCATAATTATCTTTTAATGATGTGAAATGGTCAAATATACAGAAACTGATCGAATCAGATTTTTTCATGGTGGTCATGGGAACCAGACGTTCAAAGTGATTAATGCCTTTAAATAGGGAAAGTTTTTGGTGATGATTAATTGCCATAGAAGTAATTGTGGGCTAACAATTCCGCTTTTAAAAGTTATATTAAATTGTATTAAAGAACAAGTATAAAATGGCCAGTTAACATTGCATATAAAAGTCATTGCATTTATCTACACTTATTTTATCAGCTCCACTTACCATATAGGAGCACTTTCCAGTTCTGCAATTGCAGACTGTTCTTTAATGGTCAGGACCCCCACAGGACCACCACAGAGCAGGTATTATTTGTTGGTGGATCATTCTCAGCACTGCAGTGACACTGACGTGGTGGTGGTGTGTTAGTGTGTGTTGTGCTGGTACGAGTGGATCAGACACAGCAGTGCTGCTGGAGTTTTTAAACACTGTGTCCACTCACTGTCCACTCTATTGGACACTCCTACCTTGTTGCTCCACCTTGTAGATGTAAAGTCAGAGACGACAGCTCATCTGCTGCTGCACAGTTTGTGTTGGTCATCCTCTAGTCCTTCATCAGTGGTCACAGAACGCTGTTGGCTGGATATTTTTGGTTGGTGGACTATTCTCAGTCCAGCAGTGACACTGAGGTGTTTAAAAATTCCAGCAGCACTGCTGTGTCTGATCCACTCAGACCAGCGCAACACACACTAACACACCACCACCACATCAGTGCTGAGAATGATCCACCACCCAAATAATACCTGCTTTGTAGTGGTCCTGTGGGGTCCTGACCATTGAAGAACAGGGAGAAAGGGAGCCAACACAGAATGCAGAGAAAAACAGATGGACTACAGTCTGTAACTGTAGAACTACAAAGTGCACGTCTACGGTAAGTGGAACTAATATAATGGACTATAACTGTAGATATAAGGAGGTGTTCATAATTAAGTGCTTGGTGAATGTGCATTGCATTTACAAGTCATTGTGTATAGTAAATAAAAGGGTTATGTTTGTGCTGTAGACATGGCAACCTTTGGTTATTAGCACCACTGTAAAGAAATCCGAGTTCATAAGATTCTCCATTTCCCTTCGAACCACTCTGAATGATTTTGTTTACATGTCTGTAATTAAATTATGCAGATTTTTTTTTAATTGGTGGAATTCACCTTTAACAGAAAGGGGTTAAAAGGGGGCAAGGACTACCAGAATGATTTGCCCTCTCTTGCTCAGGTTGGACTGAAATATAAAGACTGTCCATGTACTGTACATCCTTGCCTGTCCAGTTTTTGGTCAGTGAATTTCTGTATGTATATACGTTCACTGTCTTATCAAAATGTCTTATCTCCATTTTCTTGGAAAAAATATGCCAGCTGCCATTCACGTGCAAAATCTCATCATGAATAGACATTATTCAGAATTACTTGGAGTCAAAATCCTGGTGCAGTAACATACAGTAACATTAAAAACACCACCCCCCCCCCTCCTATAAAGTTTCCATTTCGGAGATGAGAAATTTCGTTACGACAGCGATGATATGCAAGGACAGGTGCTACAGAAGCTGCCGAACAAGCCGGCCACTGGACAACACGTCTCTCACAATCCTTTCATTTACATGAATCATTAACAGATTCGTGGAGAACACTACAGAATTAGCGAAGCTGCTTTAGCATCAACACAGATAATGTACCACATATTGATCTCACTGAACTTAATGTATTATTTATCTCCACAATCTAAAAATATTAAAGTGATCAATTTCATGACTTAATCAAGGACAAAAGGAAACTCTTTTCGTTCTCCCCTGAACAGCACTTGCACTGTAAATGTAGAACTGTTAAAAATAATCACTGAGCAGTCCACCCTGCTAGACCCCTTATCACCTAACCACTCATGCAATGCTGACCTAGAGATGTCATAGTAAATGCACTGTATGTAATCTTGCACTCTGTACAAACTTTGAGACATGGTCTTTTATTTGTATATTATTTTGTATGTATCATTGAAAATGCCTTCTAAATGTAAATAAAAAAAACTGTAAAATGGTAAAACATTGTGAAGCTTATAAAATTAAGACTAGTCAAGCCTAGTTTTGCTGGACTGCCATCAGCTGTTAAGGTGAAATACACTGCATGTCCAAAAGTTTGTAGACACCTGCTCATCCAACATTTCTTCTAAAATTTAATGTGCATTAATAGGGAGTTTTACCTCTGTGTAGTAACAGCCTTTACTCTTCTGTGAAGGCTTTACACTGGAACATTGCTGTGAGGATTTCATTGCATTCATCCACAAGAGCATTAGTGAGGTCAGGTACTGATGTTGGATGGTCAGTTCTAGATCACTCCTTTTGTCTACACAATTTTCCTGTTTTGTTATTACTACTACTACTACTACTAATAATAATAAACAACAATTACTACTTTATTATTACTACTGATATAATTACTACTTTATTATTATTACTATTAGCCATAGTAATATTAGATAGCAACTGTTCAAATAAATCAAGCAACCTTATTTAAACAGTACTACACAAGACTCATACTTCAGTAAATAGTTATCTCAGTATTTTTTCAAGTGTAAAAATGAGCCACTAGTTTGCACCAGCGTTAGTTTCCGAGCTAACAAACATTAGTCAAACTCTTTACAAAACAATAATTCTAAAGACAGCAATCAACACATCTGAACAGCATTTGAGTTTACATTGTGGTGAACTACTATGCAATGTGGCTTGGTGACTGTAGAAAAAGGAAAAATTCAAGCTGAAGTCGGTCCACCATTATTAGGTTATTGTTTTGTAAGACCCATGATGTGTTTCAATGAACACTTCTACTTTCTTCCAATACTTATTTGTTTTATTCGTGTCATTGAGAAGGTATGAGGGCGACACTTAAATGGTGTACGGCGCCACCACCTGCTTGCCAGATCAATCACTCAGTGACTCTTGTAGGCTTGCCCACTGGGTGGCCCAGCAATAAGACTAGGCACTTGATGATATGGTTCGGGTTCTGGTTTATTGTACAGTTTAGGTTGTGCTCAACAGACCAACAACCTTACTGCAATACATGAATGGAGTGTGTACAGATTCACATATGAAGAACGACTTCAGAACCATCAAGTCAGGACAGCGTGTCTCTGCAATTACTAAAAAACAACAACCAGCTTATGTACTGTGCAGCGACAGAGCAGATACAGAACACAACAAAGGTATATTAGATAAACTAGTCATGTCCACACTTTTAGGAATACTCTAGCTTTTTTTTTCCCCACCTAATCTCTATCTGCAGTACCTGTAATGTGGTCAGCTACCACAGACCATTTCAACACAATTCCCTGTACAGATGCTGAAGTACATTTTGAGTTGTCTGTTCTTTTCCAAGTTTAGGTCTTTTGCTGTCTGAGTGCTATACATACTGCTGACAGACATCAGGGTGAAAAACACTGGAGTATTTCTTAAAGCAGCCACCGTCCACAGGCAGCCGTGTCTGTGTAAGGAGATCAGGCCTGGTGCTGCAGTGAACAGAACAAATAATGACCATTACTCTGATGAAAAGCTTTCTCGGAGAGAAATCCATGCTGGGAAAACCAGCCCACAGCAGAATGAGCTTCTCTATGGTCTCTACACATTAAGCTGGTTCTATAGATACATGCTGGCTTCATGTCATCTCAGAGTTCATTTTCTCCACAGAGATACTAAATCTGAAAAATAATTTCTAACATTTTTCCTTCAACAAACCTTGTAATCTATATTTTAACTTTAGAAGAACATAAAGGTCCATATTAACCATTATAAGGTCCATACTGATTTCTCTTTTACAAAAAGGCTTTATTGACCACTAAATCACTGGGCAAGGTTGGTACTTGAGTGGTATCTCTAATGAAGTGAGATGAAAATAATAATAATAATAATAATAATTATTATACTGAAAAACCGATAGATACATTTAAAGAACACTAAGACAGCTGTGATAAATGAGAGCTACCACAAACTAAAAATACATGCACTGGTCACTTTATTACATACACCCACCTTTTATCCACATCTTTGCCCATTTTATCAGGTCTACCTACCATTAAGGTACACTTCATAGTTCTACAATTACACTGTAGTCCATCTGTTTCTCTGCAATGTTTGGTAGCCCTCCATCATCCCTTTCATCAGTGGTCAGGACTCTCATAGAGCAGGTACTATTTGGGTGGTGATATTAGTGAGTTAGTGAGAATAGTCCATCAACTAAAAATATCCAGCTAACAGCGTCCTGCGGTCAGAAACTTACCAGGGACTACAGGCGACTTACACAAAGCTGTGCAGCAACAGATCAGCCATCGTCTCTGAATTTACGTCTACAGGGTGGACTAACAAGGTAGCCACGTCTAGAGTGGACAGTACAGTCTTGTTTCAAACCCTTTTCAACACACCCTCACCAACTTTAACACAAGTGATTATTCAATCTGAGCATCTTCAACTACAATAGCCTCATGAGCTAATCAGCTAGTTATGAAAACCTTGCAATGCACAACACTTTTCTGAGAGGACACAATGGTTTGTAAACAGATTTCTCTGACATTATTTTCAGGTTTGAAAAGAAAAATGCATCAGTTTGCAATGATTTTTGCTGCTGAAGTCCCTGCTGTTCACTCAGTCCCTCACCCCTCCAAACATTCTTCTCTTGAGCTAATCAAGTTGATGAAGGTAAAAAAGGGCTACAAATTATGCAGAGAATAATAAACAATGAGTGTAGATACAAGGGAGTTGTACCTAGTAAAGTGGCCAGTGTGCACAAGTGCATAAAGCCAACTGCTTTCATTAACTTTCATAATCTGCCACTTTTAAATTTTATGAGTTTGGTATAACAGCAGAAAGGCCTGTACATCTAAAATAATGCTAAAGGTCATCACAAAACCAAAAAATGCGCACACAGCTGTAGAGCATAAACAGGAAAAGAAAGAGTGAGCCAATGATCCGTCTGTGAAATAAAGGGAAAATGAGCCATAAAATAGTAAAAAACTGTTAAAGAAATTCCTGCATATGGAAAAAAACCATTTATGATTTCTTGACTAATCTAAATAAAAACAGGTATAATTGAGAAGGCCTCCTTCTTACAGTGCTGCATTGTTCATATTGGCATGCTGGTAGAGGATAAAGATAGAGATAAAGAGAGATACCGTCATACTGCTGCTGATGCATAAGACAACAAAAAGGCGACGTTTCCCTTCATGCTGGATATAAGGATCTGTAAACATTTATCAATATTCCTTCAATTTGTGACAGAACTACAGTAGAACAGCTTTAATCTAATACATAATAGAACTTTTACTGGATAAGGTCATCCACAAATCAGAAAAAAAGGTTTGCAGGTATGATGCTAGTGAAATGGAAGGCTGTCATCGTGTAAGCTTTGTTCTGCTGGTCCTTTTATGAGAGTCACGGTATATCATAACTACAGTGACAGGAAGCTCAGGCTTATGAGCATTTCTGATGCCCTTACATTTCCTATACAAGAGCAGATTTTCTAAAATGGCAGTCACACCTGTACCTATTTGCACATCTCTTAAAATTACAGTGGTTTTCAAATAAATAGTAAACAACGTATAATGTTTTATAAATCCTCTAGGTAACATTTAGTCCTCTATATAATTTAAGTGAGGCATATCTGCTAAATTTCGCTGCCGAAAAGGTACTTCTATACCTTAGAAATTAAACATATTATGTCCGTATTTCAACCATGATAACCCACGGTTTATGGAATGGTTACAGTGTTGGTTAAAGGAATAATCCAGCGTAATTCAACCAAAGCTCTGACCCTCACAGTTGACTACCAGGGACAATAATTGGGATGCATTTCCCTTTTCTTAGTTAAAGAGCACAAAAACATTTGACTCAAACTCCCACTTATAATGTAAGTCAGCGGGCAGCGACTGGGTTTGAAAAGCATTGGAGTATTCCTTTAAGAAAACAGCTCACTAACCTTTTCCCCTGCCTGTGCAGCAGAAACTGAGCCGCCCTTTGTCTCGATCGTCTGAAACGACAACGTTTTTTCCCCAGAGCTCCTCAGGGGAGTCAAACAGGGGCCCTATTATGTGGCACTATACTTTCACCCGAGGCACACTGGAACTCGCCCATCTCTCCCAGCCATTCTACCATTCTGGGGCACACCACGAGGGGGCACTGTGACCAATGTTTCATGCTAGACAGAGGAGGAAGGAGCAGAGACTTGTGTTTGTTTTTTTTTAAAGACTCATTTCAAAGGCTCTACTCAAGGAATGCTGACAAGCACAGAACACTTGGCATTGATGTGCTGTGGCCACAGCAAGAGAAGCTAGACTAAACGGAGAGGGAGAGGAATAGAAGTGCAGTGGTTCGGGTGCCAGGCAGTGGTGGATGAGGGACGTTTATCTTTTCGCCTTGTACTTTGAAGCGTCTCGCGGCTCTTTGCTGGGGTTGCTCCAGTCGTCCGCCTCGGGGCCTCCTTGATAGTGTCGCCAGGCAGACTTGTTAAAGACTGGCAAGCGCTCAAATGACTCACTGGAGAGAGCCTGCATGAGAAAGAGAGACAGAGAGAGAAAGTGATTAAAAAAGCTTCTAGCGCAGTAATGAATACATCTATATATGGTAATTGAAGACATTCTAACAATACATCATGATATTTCGTTTTCCTGAACATGTTTGGAATGGAAAAAACACACCAGTAAAACAGTAGTTCAAACGGCTTTAAAACATGCTATGAGAAATGTTTGGACTATTTATGATAAGATGAATAATTAATGAATAATTAATAAAATAAAATAATGGCATAACAGGTTGACATCTGATCAGCTGCTTGTTACTATGCAGTTTATGCAGTTACTGCACTGTCATTTTTATTACGGTGATTGCAAAGCAAAGCAAAGCTGATTGTGTGATTCAGGCTTGTATACAGCTTTTTGATCGGATGCATGGTTTCCGTGTAGCAATGGAATTTTGCTGAAAATTTTCCCCATAGAAATGAATGGGATGAAAAATTGCACAACCATCTACTGTACTTCTGCTCGACCAAAAGATACCGTTTCACATATATTATCTCAGGGCAGGCCTCTAAGCACAGATTCAATGTTGTTCTGACCCACACTCATCTGTTTGTCAATTTTTCCTCCATCCCTTGTTTCTCCCATAGACTCCCATTCATTTTCAGCCCAAACACAAACGCTATTACTTTGCTGCCTGACAACCACCAAACTACATGTCCTCACTAAGGGTAGGACCTCAAACTCTACTGCACAGCCATACTGACCCGCACTCCTCTGTGTGTCATTTTTTTTAATCTCTCATTCCTCCGAGTCCCATTCATTTTCACCCAAACCCCAGCCTGTTTTTTTCCTTTGCCCAACAGACACCAAATTGCATGTACTAACTCAGGGCAGGTCCCCAAGCTCAAATCCAGCAATTAGGCAACTGCATGGGATACCACAGCAACTGCCTAGCAACCAATTGGGATACCACAGTAACCACCTAGCAACAACCTAGCAGGAAGTGGGAACCATTTAAGCTGTGCAACCATTCTGTGCTTCCTTCAGGAAATGCATGTTTCTAGTTATATATGCTGCTGTTCAGTGTTTCAATGTTCTGTAAATACTGACATTATCCACAAAATACTTAGAAAACTATGGACTGATAATTTCAGACGTGAAAACTCATGAGTAGTGAAAAAGGTCACAAGTTCAGAAATCAGATCCTCTGTAGCGGAGTCTGGCTGCATCGTTCCTAGGAGAATTTTTTTTTGCGATTCTAATGTGAAATTTTGGTGCACCAAACCACAGAAGTGTGTGGAATTATTAGTTGAGTTCATTAAGGTCAACAACTATGCAAATAGTGAACTGCTTTCTAAGTATTTTGATCTATTGGTTATAAATATACTGATTATCATAGTAAGCTTAATATGTCAGTGTGTATAAAGCTTGGCAGACATCTCTTTTTAAAACCCCATATCTATTTAAAATAAAGGCTGTTCTAAAACTTTGCCCATCATTTGTGTTCTATTGGCTCCAATGAAAAAAAAAAATCTTGATTTCTATCAATAACCAATAACTCACTGTTCAAAAGCTAATGAAGAAAGAAGTTTGAATATGCAAAAATGAAACAGACACAAAACATGGCTCGCTTTTCACATTCCAGTAACATTATCTTTGGCTGGTTTGTTTGAAGTCCAATCCAGAGTTTGGGATTTTGTGATACTGTATTTATTTTTCATTTTGTTTGTTTATTGGTCAGAAACTTTGCAGGGATACAGTCTCGCTGTTACCCTCACATTTGCCACCACGAAAACAGAAAATTGTTGTATGTTCTGTGATCTATGTGCCTAAATCAAATTCATTTTATTACTCCTCTGCCATTATTTGTGCTGCAAGAACAATTTAAGTGTCTGTCAAGGGTCAGACATCAAAACAGGCAGATTCTGCGGACAGTACAGCTCTGATGTGCTGATGTTAAATTCCCTTCATGGGTACAGATCATCATTAAAATGCATTTCCACCAGCAAAAAACTGAAGCAGGAAGCAGAACGAGTCCTGCAATTTCTGCTGGACAACAGTTCAGGTATTTGGTGATTTGCTGTCAAAACAAACAAAACTAAAGAAGGAGTCTGATAGGTCTGCACCAAACAAGGTAGTTGTGAAAGTGCCCTTAGTTGTTTCTGCCAGCTGACAACACCCCTCCTTCCCTAAATTAAAAACTCTTCAAATCTAAACGATCCACATAAATGGCATATTGAGCAGTCAAATGACTTAAATCGAAAGCAAATATGTTTGTATGCATGTATGTAATTTATCACAATATTGTTATCATTATATTGCCCACCCCTGAGGTAAACTCACCTTCAGGTAGATGACCGCATCTGTCCCCACCCCTTCCATCGAGTACAGCTTCAGGTCTCCCTGAAAGTAACGTGCATACAGTCTGGAGATGGGGAGGCCATGGCCAAATCCAGCCTTAAGAAATCCACAGAGGAGGAATAAAAAAAATCATTAGTTTTATATGCAAAAAAAACAACGATTTGAGGATTATGATATTTTGGGAAGCTGTAAAGTTTGTTTTGTATTACCAGTGGTACTCGTTTAGAGTCCAGACTGGGGGTTGGTGCAGTGGAGTAGGTGTAATTGAAGAGCCTGTCAATCTTCCTCAGAGCCACGCCCCCACCCTTGTCATTGATCTACAGCAGTAAAGAATAATGTGCGTGAACATCATGACAAGCCCCTTTGCTGTGGTTTGGTGTTGTGTCTTCCAGCATAAACCTAAGTGAGCATGAGGTAGTAAGTGAACTCAATTAGGATGTGACTGACCTTTATAGAGAGGTCCTCCTTCCCTAGCGTGACTTTAGCCTTAATAGGTGGAAGGTCGTCCTTATTCTCTTCATGGTGCTCCACTGTAGCTCGCATTGCATTCTAAACAAACAGAGACAAAGGAGATAAGGACTTATACATTTAATTAGCGCTAGAGATCAGACTGCTCATGTGGGTTCTGTGAGGTTGGGACATCATTCCTTGAATACGTGTCAGACTCAATAAGGTTTCATTTTCCCTTTCAGTCCTAACTGAAGCTGTCATGTGAAGCTGTTTCTATAATACGGCCGTATTACAGAAACCTCTTAAGTTTGAAAGCTTATCTTATCTGTTTAGTCACCATGGCAACTTCAGTTAGGATTGTATTTAGGACAGAAGCTATTTCAGAACAACAATTCTTAAGTCCATAATCTCATCCATTACCTACAGATAAGAAAACAGTATTACAGAAAGATCCTAACTAGACTAAATCTAGTAAATTCTGTCCTAACTTTAAGACAACAGAGGAGTCTTAACTTCTGTTTTAAGCGTCTGTTTCTATCGTTTTATGCAGTGACCGGCAGCATAGTTCACTGCAACTGGCATAATGACATGTCACTAAAAATGGTGCTTTGACTTAAATAACTTTAAAAATCTCAGACGCTGCAGACACAATCTACACCGCCCCCTCTTACTACCTCCCTGTGTTTATGTTGATGATAAAATATTACAGTGATGGTGGTGAATAATTAGGAGACTGTTTATTAGGAGGAATAACGTTACCGCGCTCGGCTAAAGCATTTGGGAAACTGAGACTGAAACTGAAGAGTGACGACGCTCTGATAAACAGCATAAAGCGCTGTCACAACATTCATAACTCAAGTTTATTGCGCTTTAGTTTTGTTTGACCTCTTTTATATCAGTGACGGTAGCTGCCTTGCAAACTAACTTGATTATTTTGATTACATGTACGCATTTCAGCTGTGCGTGTATGGTCAGTTTCTAACAGACATGACAGTTGATTGTCGACTTCAATCAAGTAAGTTAAGATTTCCTAACTTGTAAGACAAGATTCCTAAATTAAGATTTGCTTCTGTGACATGAATTTGTGAAGGATCTTATCTTGACCTGTCAGATCTTAAGATAAAAAGTTCGGACAGCACTTGGGTGGCATTAAGGTTCTAGAAGTATCGACAAAAATCCACGTTATACTTGGAACATGATATCATATCATCATCTATTCCTAGCAGACGTCCATTTGTGTGTAAACGTTTGGGCACCCCGGTCAAATGACAAGTTTTGTGAAAATAAATACACATCGTCTACAGAGAACACACTCGAACATTTTACCGCACAATTAATGTCTATTTGAGGAGCTTAAGTTACTGGATTGATGGATGGATGGATGGATGGATGGATGAATAAATTAAATAAATATATAAATAAATAAAAACTGCACACTAAAATGTTTAACTTTGTTCCCTGTAGATGCTGTGATAGCATATTTTCACTTAGAAAATCCTTAAAAATGCAATTTCACCAGGGGTTTTCAAACTTTTGTACACAACTGTACTTATCTACAGTCACACAGAGCTGTACATCATTTCCCACAATACTGTAATTTTGCTTATTCTACATTCTTGAAACACTCAGAGATCTCAGTCACTAATGACGCCACCTCTTCTTCATGGCCAATTGTTTTTAAATTGCATCATCTGATAAGAGGTTAAACACTATCTTACTACATTTATCATCAGGAAATTAACTGTTATGAGGAAATACAATATTTACTCATGACCTGCAGGACAAGTGATAAACACAGCAAACATCTGATAACACAGATAACGCAGTTAAGATGACTGATATTTATTGTGTTTGGCTGTTGTTCTGTTGAGACATTGGTGTCATAAACAGCATCTGGACAGGTTCAACATTCTTACCTTGAACAGTTCAAACAGCATGTGGAACAGATGAGAGGGCACATAGACAGCTTGGATAGGCTTGTTAGGTGCCTTAGCTACAAAGAAGAAGTTCTAAATTACTAAATTATACACAGTATTTCCACATTGTGTGCATTTCTTTTTTATATATGTCAAGTGAAACCATACATGTTTTGGCTCCCTTATCAGATTCTTAAGAAGCAAGTTTAGCCAGTTGGCCATTGTTTATATGAATTTCCTGCATGACTTTTGTGATATGCAAATAAGCCTCTAACAAATCAAAAATTCTTTTCCCGTGTGCTATGAGCATCTCAGATGTTCCAGGTGAGTTATCATGGGTCTGTGGTTCATAATGCTACTCATTTGATTCAACAAACTTAGTAGTTTAGGTCTGAATACAAATCCAATTATCTTGATTACCTTTTTAGGACCTCAGTATAACAAAACTAATATCAACTGACCTTCAGCGGCAGTCAGTTCTGACCACAGGGCATTTTTTGGCTGGATGTTTTTGGTTGGTAGATTAGTTTAATACACAAGATGACTCTACAAGGTCCTTAGGCATCATCTTACAGTATGATTAGGGATGACCCATTTTTTTCTGATTCCTGTAATACTGAGTATCTGCTGGTTCCGAATCCACAAAGATGCACAATTAAGATTAATCGGCCAACTAAGTTTTGCCAATAATACAACATTCTGGACTTATATATTTGTTTTTTTTGCCTACTTATTAGGCTACTTATCAAAATTATCATTTTAGCATGTGTTTACAGTATGTGTATCGGCTTATGATCAAATTTGATTAATCGATCTGATGATCTGGCCGCCAGTAACTAATATTCCGTAGTGAAATCACTTCAGGTTTGATATGTGAATAGTGGTGTAAATCCTGAACTGACAGCTTTAGTTTTATTGGAGTCCTTCTGTAAAATAAATATTTTATGGGGTCATGAATAACCTTCTAATGCACCTTTCACTTTTGAATGCACTAATGCTTTAAAACCAGAAAAGGTGTACCTGGCTAGAAAAGAACAACTTTAAGAGCAAAAACTGTTCTTAAAAGAAAAGTTAAGAAAGAAATGAAGTTTTTTGGAGAGAATAATTTCTCAACTTTTTTCTTAAGTGAGAAAAGTTAAGAAAAAGGTGTCTTAAGACACTCTTGTGAATCTGGCCACAGATCCATTAAAATCTGCTGCCGCTGGACATCTCTACATTTAATACTTCTGATAGTAAAAAATAAGTAATTTTCAGACACTTTATTATTTTAAATTATTAATATCTGTTATAAGACTTTATAAGACTTTTTAAGGATCTGCAGGAACACTGTAATACGAATCTAATGCCAATCTTTAACCATCTCAGACCCACAGCTCACCAGTGTGTTTTAATTCACTGTAAGGCGTATCACAATCACAGTATAATCACATTATGGTAATCTGTTAGCACTGCACAGCCCTAATATGTACCATTAAACTCTGCAATCTTCAGCTCCGGGGCAGCAGGGTAGTACTGCTCACACAGCATCTTGGCTGTCTCATAAGCATCTGAAACCGAAAATAGGATTTACTTTGTAAAACAAAACCATAAACCACTAAAAGGGGTCAAAGTGCAGAAAGATTCATCTTACCAGTCACCACATCAGCCACGCTGCACGCAGGATCAATGCTGCCAATGTGTTTGGGGTGTGCCGGGTTTGTGTCATTGCCAAAGAGGAGTGCTGAAATGAAGTTGTTTTAAAATTTCTGAGAATTGGCACTTTTTTTTACATTTATGTTCCAAGACTTTTTATATTTTTCCAGTGACCTACTGTGCTGGTTGATGAGCATGCGGAAAGAGATGCGGTTGGTATAAAAGCGGTCCAGGAAATACTGGATGTTGGAGCTGACGAATGGGTCAAAACCAAACTTCTCCTTATACTCGATCAGTCCCTGGGCCATGGTGGGGACCACATCATTGTGCCTGTTTCTGATCTCAATAAGTGCCTCCAAGAAGCTGCAATATAAAAAAACAGTGTTGATTATAAAGGTTATATTATTGCTACAAATTATATAATTTTTTAATTAAATGCAATTTATTCATGTCTAACCAGAGTGAAAGACAGAATAACAGAAGTAGGACAAGACAAATGCTGACCATCATTTTGTCACTGATATCATACATAAAATATAGATATAAAAAATACAAAAAGTTCCTTTGTGTGAAAGCCCACCGAACATCCAGCACCTATTTATTATTCTTCTCATTATCAATGAATTGCTACGCCATAATTCATGATACCAAGTCACTATTAAGTGAAATGCTATGCAATTATTTTGTCATTATTATTTTGAGATATTATCTTATTATTTTGAGATGCTTTAGGTTTTTGATATGGGGAAAATATATATATATATATTTCTCAAAGTTATGCAACAATATCTTGAAATAATGACTTTGTATCACAAAAATAATGGCATACCATTATAGTGTGGCAATTCACTTAATAAAAATAATAATTATGTACTGGATTTTTTATTTTAAGTGGCGGAACTAGGCATGCATACCTTTGTAAGATATTAATAAAGCATAAATATGCAATGTTCCAAGCTTCTGTTCATAAAATAAACTCTCTGAGGAGGGTTGACCAGCTATCCAAACAGCAGCCTAAATCCTCTCTCTTGTTCTTTTTCAGTCATGTAACTCTGAGTAAAGAATGTTTGTGGCAGTGTTAAACAGCCTTCCACATTTTATTTTTTGCTGCTCTATTATATACGGTTGCTCTATCCAGAATACTGTCAGCATCACTACGCTTTCCCTACACTTCCCTTTTCCTGTCCCCACTCTGTCCTGAATTCACCCTCTCGTAACTCAATACAACTACAGCCAAGGACTTACTGCACAAAACAAATGCAGGGCACTGTAATGAACACTGACAATCGAAGCATGCGTCCAAGCAAACATACTGAAAAGAGAAAAAAAGGAAAATGACTGCACTCACTCATTCAGGGCATGTGGGTCATCTGGGCTCCTGTTTTCATACTCAAGCAACTCTAAAAAGCTCTGCATATACCTAAAGAAGCACAAGAAAAAGTTACATTAAAGGAATAATTTGGCAAAAAAATCTAATTTTTTTTTACCGCAAATGCAGTCGATCAGCCAAGACAAGTCAGACAAGCAGTTCCTTTTATGGTATTTTCACACTTCTGAATTGAGCCGACTCATGATGTTTTTGCCTATGTGAACACATCAAATGAACTCAGACTCCTCTAAACGGCTCTCACTGCATTCTGATTAATCTCTGCATTGTCAAAACAAAACCACCCTGTTTTGCTTTATGGTTAAAGAACCCTGAGGCGCTGCATACGTGCACAGCCACAGTCTTTCAGTACAGGTAAAAACAAACTACTCGGAAGAATGGATACCCGTGGGTTTGTGTGTTCTCATGATGAGACAGCATAGTAAAGCAACAAGCCACGAGGGTCACATGTCAGAGATTTTATCCTGTTTTTATCCTTTTACACACAACGCAACCGACTTAGAGCACCTAATCATGGTGAAAAATCACTGCAACACACAGCCAAGTGACTTGCTGAATTTACAGAACACGAAAAACAGTCTAATTTTGGAAAGTTTTTCCACAAACAGCACTAACAATTTAATCATTTTTAACAAGCACCGAGCTTGATTTTTTATGGGCACTTTCAATTCCAGTTTCTCTACAGCCAAACTGTCCAATGGCTGATTTATTCGCCAATTTTTATTAGCCTTTTTCTTTAATCCGAAGCTCACATTATGTGGGATAAAACCCATAAAACACACTAGCACATCTACAGTACTATCTATTAGCCAAATTTTCAAAATAAACTATTTCCTGTTTACTCTTGCTTGGATCAGTTGTAAATAGCATAAAACAAATGAAGTGCTACATTGAAAGTAAGAGGTTGCTATTTAGCACAATCAGTCATGTATTATTATGCTATGACATGTTAGTACAGGTGTAGCTAGGGGTAGTTACCTGCCACAAATCATTTACGGCAACACAGATCTGCCACAATAAAAAACAATAAATTGGCTGTTGCCAATTTTGTGTTTTAAGCAAAAATCTGCCAATTCCAATCTTGGCCAATTCTGGTTTTGTGTCCCCTAGTTTTTAACAGCTTGGCACTACTGGAGCTCAGCCAATCAAAACTGCTATATAAGTACAAAGTTACCCAACAAAGTTCTAAGTTACCCATCTGAGTTCTAGAGGAGCTGTGGTGTGAACAAAAAGTGGTCTTAGATGTAATCAATGCTTAAGAGGACCAGACCTAAGTTTGGTTCATTTATTTGGACGTATATGTAAAAAAACACATTTAGTTTTGCGCTACAGCTACAGAGATAATACAGGTGAGAAGTAAGTGAAGGTTATACAGGGCTCCACGACACTGACATAAAACACGATGTTTGATAAAGATGTTGGATATCATGATGACGACATGACGAAGCGATAAATTACTATTAATACAATGTGTCTCTGGCTGGATGTTACGCAAGTGCAGACATTATTTTTGGGATGTGTAAACAGAAATCTAACTAACCTCTCTTTAAACCCCTCTGTAAACAAATATCAAAATATAAAAAATTTCAAAAGTACCATTGACCATTCTGCAAAATAAAAAGAAATTAAATACTAAGAACTACTTACATCAGCACTGCAAGCACATTTTTGTTCACTGAAGGGCTGAGAAACAGTCAGGATTACCTCAACAGCTTTCTCTATAAAGGCTACTCTATAAAGACACACACACACACACACACACACACATTCTTGTTTTATTTTTTTTTTTGTTTAGTTATTAAATATTGTTGCGTCAGACAGTTGTATTTAGTTTAAAAATAATGTTGTTCTTGCATTTGGTTGAGTGTACTCAGCTGGTCTGAGACTCTTATTTTGAAGGACTCCGGGGGGGCAAGCTTCAGTAGCCCATTTGGCTAACAGTAGAGCCTGAGCAGCCTGTGTGCTGCATGTTCTCCCCTTTGCAGTGGCTGTTTGAGTTGTACTTCGATTAAACCTGAGTTATGGGCGACATCTTACGGTCTCCGAGTGTGTGTTTTGTAGTTGGCCAGTCGAATGGTTAAGTCTCTCATCTCCCTCGTGGGAGAGCAGGTTCAGTCTCAGCGCAGAGAAGCAGGCGTAACGGTTTGCGCAGGTACTGTAATGACGTCTCTCTGGCGCTGCGTGTATGAGATAATTAGACCTGTTCTGTCATCAGCGCTCTAACGATGTGTTTATCGCGGAAACTCATATCGCGCTAACAATGATAATTCGATTTATCGTGCAGCCCTATTTTATACATCACCAGTTTCTGCGAAGAGCATTGTGTGAAGAGCATGCCTAAATAATCACGTGCCTCAAACTGTGTCAAGTAGTTTAAAAATCTCAAACAGACCTGCTTATAATGTTTCTGACTCTGTGGTTTACAGTTATCTATAAAGATGGACAGAAGTACATTTTCAGGATTCTAATACTGTTTTTAGCAGCTACTGGCAAAAGGTCTGCTATTGTTTTTAGCTATGCAGTGTATTTTTGTCCTTTCATCACGTCTTAGCTGCACTAGCCTCGTAGCTCCAGTGCAAAATTAAAGTGCCAAACTTTGGACACAAAACCTGCCTTGGCTGATCATTTGGGGTAAAAGGGGGGGCGATGTTTGTTTTTCTTGCCATTCTACTGCAGTTTTACAGCCGTAACCCACATGAGATTGTGTGGTCTCTTCACCTAAACCACTCACCATTTCTGCACCAGTTTGACTGAGGGCTGGCTCAGCAGCCGGTCAGGCAGCAGGTTGACCTCCCGCATGGTGTTGGCCAGCCGCACAGGCAGCTCCTTCCGCAGGAACATGTACGACGTCTTCTCACACGCATTGTCCCTGCCTGGAACACACAAACACACACGCCGCACGTAGGAAAGGAGCAGTGAAAGGCAGGGGCTGCAGAGTGATAAAGGAATAGGAATGAAGGATATCTTGTTTGCCTATCGCACCCTCACTGCTGACTCATCGCTCTGGGGCTTAACTGAGGAATGCGTCATCTGGATCCATGCCAACACATCCACAGGGGAAACAAAATGTGTGATTAAGCGCACGTGAGCACAGCCCAATTAGTTCTTTATTAAAACAATGTATGGACATGGTGAGCAACACGTAGCACCCATCTCAATAATGCATCAGTCAGAGAAACAGAGCAAACCTAACCCTGAAACTAAATAATCTAAAACACATAAAACTTTACTGGACTTAGTTGTAAAGGCCTAATCAGGGATATGAATCATCACTGATGGAGTGATTTTAAGCCAATAGTGTCCTCCTTGAAACAGTGATGTAATCCAATAGTGTAGCACATTAAGCAGATTACACACTAAATGTTTAACGATTTATATACTGTATTAAAAAAAAATCAGGAGGAAAATAACATATATATAATATCTATAAAATAATATATATAATATACATTGTTAAAACTGTATCGCTGATAAGCCTCTTGGTTTTTTTGTCATCTGTGTCTCCCGTTTGTCATCTGCGGAAAAACCTATAATCAAAGTCTATAATCAAAACTAGCCATCTTGGTGCATCCTATATATTTCTGTATTGTATGTAGCTCAGTTGCAATGGTTTTGATGACTATTTCTGACATGCTAATAAGAATATGCTTCTTTTGTTTTGGAATACAAGTTGTATTGATCTGTGTAGTATTTAATTAGAGCTCAGCCAAGTCAAGACATTTTTACCACAAAAAAAACCCAAAAAATCAAATCAAATCTTGACCTTGGAATCCCTACTGCATGCTCTACTGAAATGGGAATTCTGGTCTGATGCCAGCATGCAATATTTGTCATGTACATATGTGCCAATACTGAAACATAAATATTTAGAATACATATAAAGTAGGACTAGACCTAGTGGTATAAGCAATACAAAGAAATATACCTTGTTTGTAGAGGAACAAACACAGTATGTGTGAAATGAATAAAATGCAGATATTTTAGCTCAGTAACCCAGCGTCACCTAAACGTTCTCCTCTTGCGTAGTACAACTAACCTGTTATCAAAAATCAGTTGGAAATATCAATCAAATCTAAACAACTGCCAATAACTTTTAGCAAATATATCTGCTGATACTGATATGATTCGAATATCATCGTGCATCCCTAGTTCTACTAGTCTACTATGTTAAAATGTACATTTTGGGGATTTGGAGACCTCTCTGGTGGAAATGTGTAATTGCATGCAACTCATGGAGGAATATTTTGTAGCATGGGTTGTTCTTCGGACGCCTTTCCCAAACAGAAGAATCTGATGTTTGTGAGCGCATTAAAGAGTATTCAAAGAGAACTTGGTCAACACTTGGTGAAGGACATGTCTTCTGAGGATGTGCGTGAATTATCTACTATTGTCACCAGCATAATGTTGATTTTGCATTTGAGACCTAAACATCAAGCCAGACCTCCTTTTTGAGTCTGTGCGCATGACGTTAACATGCAAAGATGTGTGATGTGGTGTGAAAAACTCCTGCAAAATCTGACCCGGCGCCTCCGACTTTTCATTTTATATATCAAGCTTTGTGCTGCAGCACACAAACACCATTATTTTAGCATGCTTTTTTCCTCCTGATCATACTAGGGCTGTATGATATTGACACAGAATGTGATGTTCGATAACTAACCTCTCCTTTAAGCAAATAGCAAAACACAAAATTATAAAAGCACCATCTACTACTGTGCAAAAATAAAAAGAAATAAACTACTTACAGCTACTTACATCAGAAGTGCAAGCACATTTTTTGTGCTCTAAAAGGCTCAAAAACAGTCAGAATTACCTGAACAACTTTTTCTATAAAGGCTATAAAAACAAAAATATATATTTATGTTTATATAGGCACACAATATTATTATTTATCAATGCTTAGTTATTAAGTATGTTTTAGTGACAGTAGCTGTTAGTGCCTCACACACTTGCAACACAATACTGGTTGTGAAAAACAGTCCTAATATTTAATGTGTTTCAAATTCCTTATAGGCCAAGTCTGCTTACTCGATGGCCATCTTTGCAACACCGCCAGGATGATATTTCCAGCCATACAAGAAAAGACTTATTTCTTTCCATTACCATTTAAAAGATATAAAACATGATTTTTCAGGTGTCCTCATTTATAACGCCTCTGAGCGTTTTTAAGGCGTGTTAGTTCAAGGTGGAGCAGTTTTTGAGCTGTGCATGCGTGAAATTTCTTCTTAAGAACAGTTGGTTAATGAGGCCCAGTGTGTTTATCGAGGAAACTCATATCATGATAACAATAAAAATGATTTATTGCAGTCATAAATACTAATTCTTTCTGTTTTAACGAAAAAATCATACATAGTGCAGCTTTAATTCTCGTATAGTTATTGTCATATGACAGATCTGAGAGAACGAGAGAGCAAAAAGATTTTCCTAAGCATCAGTAGAACTTTTAGGCTGAAATGGGTAAAACTGAAGCCCCATGTTGTGCTTTTCCTTATGATAAACAGATCCACTATCAGTGCTTTGTTCACTGCACCCTGAAGGGCAATGCAAGGTAAAGCAAGGGCTGAATCTCTCACAGCCACAAACATGCTCCCTAGAAGGCCACAGAAAGACAAACTGATCACAAGTTTATCTAAACTTTAAACTCTGAAACTCTTATTTTGTCCTAAAAAGGCCAAAGAGCTATTTTTTTCGTAACCCACTCATGTCAGTCTACCAACAGGAGCAGATTCAGTCAACAGAGAATGTTCTCATTAATTATGTACCTTGGCAGGTTTACTCAATGAACTGAAAAAGACACTCCATGTTCCTTATCTGTTTACGCTCTACAGGTGTGGATGAGAAAATCCTTATAGGGAAGAACGTAAGATGGACAACACTGTTAAGAAGCACGTTCTGCTGGGTGGAAAAACACCAGAAAAGACTTGTCACAGTCGGACGTCTGTGAGCAAACAGTTCCCTGAAGAATGACTGAGGCCCAAGTTCTGTAAACCTAGAGATTAAAGTAGGGTCAAAAAATTGTTGTTTTTCTTTCTCTCACTCTCTCTCTCTGGTTCATACTAATGAAGACTTCCACTGATTTTTCAAATACCTGCTTAATTCAATGGTTGAGATGTAAACAAAGTAATTCAAAGTGGTTTGATGTGAAATAGTTATTTGTAGAGAAACTTACTGACTCAGATTGCTTTACAGTGGTGGTGATAGGAACCAGGGGTCCTGGTGTCTACAATGCAAATATAGCCATTTTACTCACTATCCAAAACCACAAGTGAACCTACACGTGTCTTCCGAGTTCTTATATGTAATGTTATGTAATGTTTATGATGGTAAAATAATGGTCAGTATGAAAAAAGCAAGTTTTTAGCCTTCATGTATCCCTCCACCATGAACAGATTAAAAATAAGAGATTAAAGTACATTTTAGGCCAGAACTCCATCACAATACCGTAAAACATCAGGCAGCGAATATCTAATCATTTCATGTAGTAACTTTCTGTGAGGGAGCTTTTAGAGGTGGACGTCTGGTTCCTATCACCACCACTGTGAACCACTCTGACTTGGTAAGTTTCTCTACAACGGAGCATTTCACACCAAACCACTCTGAATGACCGTTTACCTATTAATCATGTAGAATATTTGGATTATCGGTGGAGTTTCCCTTTGAACTCCTCAGCTGTCTGGTTCCCATCCCCAACAACTGTGAACAATTCTGACTTGTTGTTTTTTCTATAATGATAAATTATACATGGATGACCACTGAATGACGTTGTTTACATCTTGACCACTGAATTCCGCACACATTTTGATAAAGTGTTGAAACTCCCCTTAACATTAATATTACACCATTCTGTATCGGACGCCAGCAAGATCTCAACGTCAGAATGGGAGCAGGTACGGTGGTCGACAAGACCCCAGTCACAGCACAACTAAACACATGTTACATAACTCATAAATGTACCCAAGTCCAGAGAGGTCCAGAGATAGTTTTCTGGATATCTTGAGATAATTTTCTGGATTGTTATCTTGACATCACAACTTCGTTTTCTTGAGATCACAAGATAATTAACTCGTTATCTCAGGATAACTTTGTTTCAAGATAACTTTGTTATCTTAAGATCACAAGATAATTAACTCATTATCTCAAAATAGTTAACTTGTTATCTCAAGATAATTTACTCGTTATCTCAAGATCACAAGACCGTTGACTCGTTATCTTGAGATCACAACTTTGTTTTCTTGAGATCACAAAATAATAACTGATTATATCAGGATAACTTTGTTTCTCAAGATAACTTTGTTAGCTTAAGATCACAAGATAATTAACTCATTATCTCAAAATAGTTAACTTGTTATCTCAAGATAATTTACTCGTTATCTCAAGATCACAAGACCGTTAACTTGTTATCTTGAGATCACAAGATATTTACCTCGTTATCTCTAAATAACTTTGTTAATCTTTAGATCACAAGATAGTGAACTCATTATCTTGGGATCACAAGATACTTTACTCGTTATCTCAAGATAACTTATCTTGAGATCATAAGATAATTAACTCAATTTGAAGATAAAGTTATCTTCCGACCACAAGATAACAAGCTCATAATCTTGGGATCACAAGATAAGCCTTAACTCGTATTTTCAAGATAACAACTTTGTTATCTTGAGATCACAAGATAGTTAACTTGGTATCTTAAGATAACAATCCAGAAAATTACAGCTACTTCAGGCCTGTCCAGACTTCTGTATAAACGCGCTGCAAATGCAGAAAACACTCATCACACAAAATCAGAGCTACATTTTACAAACGCACTGCAAAGAAAAAACACGGGCAACTTCAGAAACGCTGCAAAACCAGCCCCAACACAACGGAAGTGTTTCTGGAAGACTCAAAGTGGACGGAAAATCTATGACGGAAAATCACTGACAGAAGTAAATAAGACCACGGACACTCGGACACTCGGATCCCAGGTTCATGGTTAACCTGGCTGGCTAGTTTGCTATGTGACATGTCGCTGTGCTGTGGTTCTCTCGTGTTACTAGTTTAACTTGTACAGTTCCTCTCTGCAGCTAATTCCCGTTTCGACACAGTGACGGCGGCGATCTGCTTAGATCAGAGGTTTTTATTGTACCGGTGAATGTTTGGCTGCATAGGATGTAAAAGCGAGTGGTTCCATCCTCTTTAAGTGTCCTCCGGAAACAACTCCGTCTGAAGCTGCGTGTGTTTTCTGTCTCTGCAGCTCGTTTTCATTTGAGGTTTGTTGCATCTTCTCAGCCACCGTAGAGACCCGGGGGTAGCTAGATATTTACCATTAAAGCCTAGCAATGCTGTAAATCAGTAAACCGTGAACGGAGGCATCTCGTCTCAGAAGAGGAGCCCAGTGAGAGGATCACCACTCAAGCTCTGCCTCACAACTCAGAACGAAGCTGAGGTCAGCTTCATATTCGAATTTTCCCGTTCCACCTTAAACGGTGCAGCAGGTACATTCCGGTGCTTCACGCGCCAGAATGTACCTGCTGCATCATTTAAGGTGGAACGGGAAAATTCGAACGAGACGCTGGCAGCATTCGTACCACTCATCCACTGCAACAGCATGAAGCACTTACCAAATTCAAGAAACTGCTTTATCGACAGAGGCGACGGTGAAAATCTGGAGTAATACTCGATCTTTGGGGAAGCGTTCTTCAGCAGAAACACCGACAGCCTCATTGTGAATTAAAATGGATGTGATGATTCGAGTCTAGCGGCTCTGTTTTCCTCAAAGGTGACTGCAAATGAAACCAGAACAAGGCCAAGTGCAGTGCCTCTGCTAAAATAATACTAACGCGACAGCAGTCTAGGTAACGAGAGACATTTTCCGCCTGTGCTCCTCCGTCACTGACTTCGCGGACCGAAAACAGGAGAAAACGTTAAGCCGTCCGCGGAGCAACGTTACTGATTCTCCAAACATCACGTACACAAACCGTCCTCACAACCGCTCTTCGCGACCGAGCTACGCTGAACCCTGATTGGCTGGTAGCGGATACGAAGCGCCAACTCTGCACAGCCATTGGTCGACCGCATACTTCAGGATTGTTCACCGGTATTTTGTTGTATCTCAAGTTAGGTTGAATTTCTTAATTGCGACGGGACGTTCGAATCAGTCTACCGAACCGATTCGTTCGAACTGTCCCGTTCAGTTAGTGAAAAGTCTGATTCAAACGATTCGAACGAATCAATATATGTTCAATATACATATATATCATTATTATTTCATTGTCTTACCACTGTATTTCATAATTTGCACAAAACTGTAAAAAAAGCTTCTAAGTATTGTGAGAAATGATAAATTTGATCTAATTTTTTTAGACGAGGTAATACACACCATACAATTGTTTCTTACATTAGAAGTTTCATAGTTTTTTTTTCAAATTATACTCATTATGAATCTAAATATTTCAACTTAAATTTAAAAGAAATCAAAAAGATCTTAAAAATCACTGATAAAAATACAAAAATACTTTCAAGTATTATTTCCACAAGCATAAGTTTATGCGTTTGGGTTTGGCACAGACTCCTCCGAATATAAAATACCCCTAAAATTGTGATTTTGTATATATTTAACATTAAATATACCTCTCAAATATCACATTAAATACACCTCTGTTAACGTTTTGGGTTTAAATATATCATTACAATCATTACTGTAGCTTGAACCAATTCGGGGGGCTCTTTAGTGGCGAAAATTAGTAGAAGTCTTCCGCCTATAATACATCATGGACGTAATCATTCTGTAAATGCTACAAAACTTCTTGTACTTGTGAATCGGTTCGACTGGTTTATTGAAAAGAACCGGTTCAACGGAACCGATTCGTTCATGACTCGTACAGAGCGCTACGGTGCAGCCGTGCTCGCTGTGAGGAGCTCCAAGCCACCTGTACCTGTATTTCAGCACGTGTTAAATGTTGCTTAATGTCCTTTACTGTTTTACCTAAACAAGGTCAGAGAGGAAAAGAGGCTTATATTTGGATTTTGTTCATGGGTCACTGTATAAAGATCAATATAAATCAAATGAATCAAATAGTAGCATGTAATGCATGGCAAACGTGTTATAATTTTAACTAAATTATGTTAAAGAGTCTTTTTATGAGAAAATGAGTTTACTCTTTCTGCAGAATACACGCTTCCAGAGAGAAAACACACTTAAAAGTAATATAAGCCTGCTACAAATTAGGAATGAATTTATTATATAATATGTGGAAGTAATGCAAATGAATAATACACATAAAACACTGCAGCGTAAGCAAAACTTCTTCAGAATAGTCTGAAATACTGTGCAATGTGTACAATGAGTCTGAACACGGTACTGGGCATAACTAAAGAATACTCTGAATCTAATACATGCTATCAAATTGATCAAAATTTACATCTGCATAGGGTCATCAGCCGTATTCCACATTAGAGACGATGAAATTCAAAGACTCTGCATCACTGATGCTAGAAAATCTCATGGATAAACACATGAAAATAGTGTAAAAGCACAAAACAGATGACGTCTGTCATCCACTTGGTGACCGTTTTTCTTCTTTGTGCTGTGACTTGGCCTTGAAAGCTTTTCACCTGTTTACACAGACAATAACAGCTGCTTCTTTTCATACTGTGTTTGCTGAACTGTCATAGGAAATCATCTTCTTCTCCTCATCACTGTCCACGTCTGGTATGGGTTCATATTCACGTCGGTACAACATCCGAGTCACGAGCGTGATGATGAACATCTCCAAGATCAGAAGCTGCTGGCTCATCACTATAAAAAGGGAGAGGGGAAATTCTGAGAGACAGTTGGGCCACTTCAAGTTGGTCTGTGTTGTATATTGTTTATATATTCACTGCTGACCGGCACCTGGACATAAAGTCTACACTGACTGCCCACTTTCTTAGAAAGCTGTCCCTTGTACATCCACATTCCTTGTGTGCAGTTAGAGACTTCAACCCATCTGCTGCATTGCACTGTTTGTGCTAGTGATCATCTAGGCCTTCAGTAAACGAACACCACAGCATTTTTGAGCCCAGTCGCTCTCTCTGCCACATCTGTAGTGTATGACCATTTAATGAATATGGTCAGATAATTCTGAGATGCTTCCCTGTATTTAGACAGGGAAAGAAAACACACTGACTCAAAAATACACTTGCAATTAAAGCCAAGTTGGCAGTTGCTGAACTGTGTCGGTAGGAGTTCACACAAAACACACACACCAAAAAAATAACCAAATTTCCTCCCCAGTTTTAGCCATAACCAACCACCGCCTTAAGTGCAGACTTTCAGCTTTAATTCAAAAGGTTTAACCTCTTATTCTCCAGGGTATCTCTTTGTATTATTTTATAAAAATAATTTTTACAGAGTATATCACTGAAGAGACGCCATCTGTTTATAGTTTATAGCCCAGATTTGTGGAAAAACGGGTCGACTTTCAGTAGATAAAAAATTGTGAGTTCAGCTTCTTTTACTATAAGGGTTTAAAATTACATCACCCATCTATTTGACTGGAAGGAAGACAGTTACAGCTCTCATATGACACCCACCTTCTGAATGTAGCTTATGAAATATAAAAGTTATGAAGAATATGACAAAGTGCGTTTTGGAACCACTGGTGGTCCCAAGGAGTGGAAAAGGAAACTGAAAGTGAGTCCAATGTTTGACAATTGGATAAAAATGCTAAGAACAGTAAGAAATTTTTCATGTCTGTTTCATCCTAAAACCTGTGTTGTTAGAATAAAAGAGAATATAAGAGAATTTTGCACCTCATCAGTTGCTCTGTGGCAGCAGTTGTTTTCTATGCGCACAGAAAGCACTGAAATTATTGTCCATGGTTATCAATAGCACGGCACAGACATAACAGATTGAGATTAAGCTGAAAAATGCAGTACCGTTCCTTTAATGTTCAGTTTGCTTGAGAGGGGAACCCCCCTCAACCTGATAGGTACTCTGTAACTGTATGAAGTGGGTGAGACTCAAACATTCAGAGGGATTAAGTACAAGAGAGGTGTTTCTAGTGTTGTGAAGCAACATAATGGTCACTCACAGAGACCCCGGGCCCTGGAGGAGTACGGCGGGGAACAGGCGATGGCTCCAGACGAGGCCACAGTATTAATGATGGCAGCCTGCAGCTGACTGAGAACCAGCACCAGCTGGTGGGGTGGGCATCATGGGTAAAGTGCAAACAAAAACATTTTATGTACTATAATCAAATTGGTTCAAAAGACATAAAGCTTTATGATACATACTTGATACTTACTTGATACATGGCATACTTAGGAACAATCTTCAGACTGCGCAACGTTTCGCGCACATGCATGAACATAATGCCAACAGGCCAGAGAGCGATGATGGTGAGGACCCCCACTCCGCAATTGATCCAGATAGCAGTATCACTCTTGCTAACCTAGAGCAGAGCGACAGGCTCGTCACTGGTCATGCTTACATGCAGAGAATTTCGTCAATCATGCAGAATTAATTGCGACTGCAGATTCCGTGTGAGCTGTTTATCATCAACTCTGAAATCTGTTAAGAATAGTAATATATGTAATATAAACAAACCTTATGTAGCATTTTGTGCAAAACTGTGTGAACCATAACAATGAGAGTCATTTTCAGAGCCATCTATTGTGTTTAACGTCTCTTACAGTGGAAATCTGACCATTTTTCAAAATGTTTGCATCATCCGTTTGTTATGATGTAAACATGTAAACACAGTCAGAGTGGTTTGGTGTGAAATGCTTTGCTCTAGAGAAACTTCCCGAGGCAGAACTGTTCACAGTGGTAGAGATAAGAACCAGACGTCTAAAGTTTTCATGATTCTCTCACAGAAAAGTTATTAAGTCATTAAATGGTTATGAATACACTCCCTGATGTCTGGGACGTTGTTTTATGATAGGCTTGGTGTAAATCGTATTTTTTTTAAATCCATTCATGGTGGAGAGACACATGCAGGGCAATGTAATACAAAATAGCCCCCAAACCATTACATATTGTCAATGTCGCAGAAAAACTCATTTTTTGTCATTTTTACATAATTTGAAACCACTAGTTACTGTTTGCATTGAGGTACAATTTCATGATGAATGGACCAATAGAAATATCCCAATATATATATATATATATATATATATATATATATATATATATATATATATATATATATATATATATGTGTACACCGATCACTCCTTGTTTCTGCATTCATTTCCATTTTATCAGCTCCACTTACTATATAGGTGCACTTTGTAGTTCTACAGTTACAGACTGTAGTCCATCTGTTTCTCTGCATACTTTGTTAGCCCCCTTTTAACCTGTTCTTCAGCGGTCAGGACCCCCATGGACCCTCACAGAGCAGGTACTATTTGGGTGGTGGATCATTCTCAGCCCTGCAGTAACACTTACGTGGTGGTGGTGTGTTAGTGTGTGTTGTGCTGGTACGAGTGGATCAGACACAACAATGCTGCTGGAGTTTCCTTCATTGGTGGTCACAGGACGCTGTTGGCTGGATATTTTTGGTTGGTGGACTATTCTCAGTCCAGCAGTGACGCTGAGGTGTTTAAAATTTCCAGCAGCACTGCTGTGTCTGATCCACTCAGACAAGCGCAACACACTAACACCCCACTACCACCACATCAGTGTTACTGCAGTGCTGAGAATGATCCACCACCCAAATAGTCCCTGCTCTGTGAGGGTCCATGGGGGTCCTGACCACTGAAGAACAGGGCAAAAGGGGGCTAACAAAGTATGCAGAGAAACAGATGGACTACAGTCTGTAACTGTAGAACTACAAAGTGGAACTACAGTAACAGGTATGTCAAAAACTAAAAAAAAGGTCAAAAATGGAGATACAAGGTTATACACACACACATCAACATTATGTAGGTTCACTGGTGGTTTTGAATAGTAAATAAAATGGCTGTATTTGCGTTGTAGTCATGGCAACCCCTGGTTTCTATCACCACCACTGTAAAGAAATCTCAGTCGGTAAGTTTCTCTAAAATTGCCTATTTCACATCAAACCACTCTGAATGACTTGCTTACAACTTAAACATTGAATTATGCAGCAATTTTGAATAATAATAAAAAAAACAACAGTATAATTTAATGTCAGTTTCCTGGACTGGACATTATTATGAATGGAGATTATCCATTGAAAGAAAAACATAGTCCAGGACTAAGCTTAAACTCTGCCCAGGAACCTGAGCCTTAGCTAATATGTACTTACCGAACAGTAATTTTAAGTCCATTGAAGCTTGAAAAAACATCGCTTCCTCAGTGGACTAACTGTCATGATACAGAGATTCTGATCGTGAAAGTGATCAGATTCAAACATTCTTCAATTCAATTCCATTTTGAATGGTGATCATATTTCCAATGGGTGCACACTAACTCTTGATTTGGATTATTCTCTCTCTTTTTTTGCCTCATGTTTACATGGCTGCATGTAAACAAACTTGGTTTCTGCCCATGTCATCACATGCACATTAAAAGGGTGAGAGAAAGAAACTCTGTCTGCTTATTCTATCCATATACACAGACATTGATAGGAGGTCTTAAAAAGGCTCTTTACATACAGAAGCGGGATCATAGTTCTCATTGGTCCAAAGGATGATGGACAGGATCGTGAAGACCACTTTCAAAACAGCAAACTGGAAGGAGCCAAGTTTCAGTAAGAACAGAGACCGCCTAAGAAAAAGCACAGCATACGCAAAAATGCAATTACTACATGTGTAGAGGCACCTGCTATAGGTTTAACATGTTCTTGCAACAGACGCAAAGCATATCAGTTAGAATTATTGTCCATTTGTCAGAGAGCAAAAGCAAAAGGTGCACTTTAATACACCTGTAGGAAGAAAAACCTTTTACAAATCACATGATTTGTTGATTTTCTCAGTGAAATCAAGTACACATCCTCTAAAGGGAACACACTTCTGCACATTTTAATACACAATGACTGTTTATGTTCTGCGTTTAACACATTGGAGACATAAAATGTGGCCGGAGCACAAATTATGGCACATTTTAAATGTTATGTTTTTTCTCCCTCCCAATATGTTCAACTAGTCAAGTAAATTAACAGAAAATGCCACACTATGGTTTGTTACTTATACAGGATGCATTAACTTATTTTCACTTAGAAAATCAACAAAACATGTCATTTGACCAAAGACACACTTTTGCATTCAACTTAAGAAAACAACCATAGTTGCTTTGCATGCAGCGGAACTTTTGCAAAATATGCAAACCTCTTCAACCCAGAACTACAGCACCACCTGCTGGACAACACTCAGCAGGACACTTCAAGGAAGATTTTCATGAAGTTCATAGCGGGGTCACATTTTTAAAGACAGCAACCAATTTAATTAAATTCGTTTCACCTGTGGTCTATAGCTCTTTTAAAAACAGTGACCCAAAGCAGTTGTCCAGAAATGCAGGAAGCGGTGGGTGACATACTGGTTAATGGGGTACACTCATTTAACTCAGGCCCCCAGCATTTGGCTTCCAAAGCATGTCTCCAGAAGTGAGCTGCTTAGGCACAAGAGGACCACTTGATAGAAGCTCTCTGTTCACTTCAGGCTGCCTTCAGCCCAAAGATAAAGCGACACCTGAGCCATTTTAGATCACCTCATGGCCCTGTGCTCTTCTAGACAGACTGGACTGTCTGTCATTTGATGCACAGACCTGTCGGTCACTTTACAGCTTCAAAATGAACGGTTATCCACGACAGTACAGAAAATGGAAACAGCAGGATGACTGGGTCCAGTTTATATACTGTCTATGGTCGAAATTCATCCTCCAGTGTGAGTCTTGTCATAAATAGTACACCAGTATGCTACAAAAGCGACTACCATTAGCCGTTTAGCTGAGTTGCTAAGGCAGGGATGTTCCAAAAAGTCTCTCAGTCACCTACAGCTGTGAAGTGTTTTGCATCTGATTTAGTTCACTTTATTTTTGAGGTAGCAGATACGAAGACGTGCCCTGTCTTTTAGGGTTAGCCTTAGCATAACAAGAACACCAGACTGACTGCCACACTTTCCCCCATATCGCCTGAGTCCAGGGGTGGTCTTTGCGCTAGGTAAAGGTAGGCCGTCACCTACACTGTTAGAAAAAAGGTGCTGTGCAGGTACATTTTTCATTCATCAAGTACAAACAATGTAAATGTTCCCTCAAAGGTATACCAGTGGTCTTAAGGTCCAGTTGTGCACTTAAATAAGTTCTTCCAGGTGAAAATTACATATTTGTACCTTTTCATAACCGAATAACTTAAAAACAGTCAAATAAAAGCCTGGAGTGTGTGGAGTCAATATAATTTATGAAATATAATTTCAGTGGATTATGGTACAATTATGCTCCCTGACTAAAGGTACTGAGATGTACCCTTGAGTACATTTCGTATCTTTTTTTTTCTGAGAGTGCAGAGTCTCCCCATGGGCCTATTCCAAAATACATACACACTTTAAAAAATGGCTGATATTTGCGATTGTATCGGTTATTTTCAGTAATTTCAGTGCTGCCCCACATCCCGGTCATGGTTATAACGGACTATTCCATGTTGTTACTGAACATGATGACACAACTGCACAAAGACAGACTAGTGTGAACGAGACACTTCGGCCAATTCTTCTGTATAATTTCTCTGGGTGGATAGTCTAGTAAAATTGTACATATATATTATAAGCATAACAAAGAAACACAAAAACAGAGGAAAACAAAACATTTGATGCTACACTCCTAAAGCTAACGCACTACACTGGCAGATACTTTCACTTGTTTCAAGCACAATTTCTCAAAAGAAGCAAAATGACTTGGCAACATACTGAGATTATTTCACTTCATAGTTACTTCAGTAAAAATGTTTAGAAATGAGTTAAATAATCTTATTATTTTCTTGGAACAAAGTGAGAAATAAGATGATTAAGATGATTTCACTTGTCAATATATCATTTTTCTCAGTGTAGATTGTAGCGTCACTAGTTTAAAAATGTGAATCCGGGGGGCTCCATTCCTGTCTTTTGCCTAAAGCCCCTGAATCAGTAAATCCGTCCCTGGAGAAGCCACCTGACCAGGTCAGCTGCATCAAACGCTGTTGCGGTCAGGGCCTTGTGCACAAAACAAGTTGTGGACGAGCTGCTTCTGATACCACTAATCTGTAACTGTAATATTTTCCAAATTCCAGCAGAGCCTGACGGTCGGAGGTATGAGTGTATGGGAACACATGTAAGAGACAAATGACTTGAGGAATTCAACGAAGCTGAAGTTGCCTTCTTATTCAAAATTCCCGTCCCACCTTAAATGGGTCAGCAGTTACGTTCAGGTGCCTGCAGTGTGCGAAATATCCCTTGGTATTCAGGGGGTCCTGTGTTGGCCGGCTACTAACTTACTCGCCAGACACTCATGCTAGATACTTTTTATTTAATATTTAATTTTTATTTATTATGTATTTATTTGTTCAGTATGAATTTAATTTGATTTATCCTTTACTTTGATTGTAAAATAATAAGAATGAAAATAATAATAATAATAAGGAGAAGAACAGCCTATTTACATTATTTACCATTATTATTATCATTTTAAACAAACAAACAAATAATAATAATAATAATAATAATAATAATAATAACAATAATAATAATAATAATAAATCAAGATTTTGAAATGTTTATTATTATTATTAATATTATTATCATTATTACTAAAATTCATTATTTGGTGAAAGAGTACTGTTGTGTTGATGGTTGTGACGACATCAGAAACTTGAATTATACCACAATGCAGTCACATCGCCCACCACTAAAAGGAAGAAAGCCTTCTATTCGCTTAACACCAGAGACTAGAATCACAATAGAAAGAGCTTTTAGATGATTAGATAACAACCCCAATTAACGGAGTTCAAACAAAGTAAACACCGCTGAGCACAATGACCATCTCTCAGAACAAATCTGCCAGAAAACGCTCTGCCTGAATCCTCTGAAGGTAGTGAACCCACGCTGCCATTCTGGGTGACCTCTCTAATAAGACTTGAAAGAGGCCCCAGAGTTGAATGGCCAGGAGAACATCCACCCAGTCCAAATGCAGATATGGGCAATATTTGAACAAACGGTCAGTAACGTGACAACAGGCTATTTAAAGGAATACTCCAGTGTTTTTCAACCGTATCTCTATCTGGCACATTTGTAGAGTACTGTCATTTATCACGGCCAATAACGTTGATTCACATCCCTGTACTTAAAGAACACAGAACCTGTCGGCTCAAAACACAATTACAATCGCATCCAATGGGCAGATGCTGAAGCCACTGTCAGCGGAACTTAACCACATGCTACAGACAGAGGTTAGGCTGAAAAAACACTGGAGTATTCCTTTAAAACTTGCCAAGCTATTCATTCTGAATGTCCTTCTGTCGTCAGAATAAATGAAAGTACTACCTTCAAAGCTGTGCAGACGTCAGTGAGTTTAGATTATTGATTTCTGGGACCAATCTGAACAAACATGTCCATATTACATAAGCCATCACTGGGAATCCTGCATCACTGGAACACCAGTATGTGGAGCAATTCAGGATAGGTAGCCAGGTTCAATTCTGAGAATTCATCCATGTGCTACAGTCATGTGCAAAAGTCTGAACACCCCCGGTCAAATTTTTTATTGATTTTCTAAGAAAGGACAAGTAAACACATCCTCAACAGGGAACAAACTCAAAGGGGAATTCTAGTTTTTAAAATACTATATTTTTTAGGCCAAACTTTCTGGCTCTGGCGTCAGACAGAGGCTCAATTTTAAGTAATAACTTTCTGCAAGGGGCCTTTCAGAGGCATTAAACTTTTCAGACATCTGGTTCCTATCATCACCACTGTGAACTATACTGGCAAATTTCTCTAGAACGCAGCATTTCACATCAAACCACTTTGAATGACTTTGTTTACATCAGTGGAATTCGCCGTTAAATATGGCCTTTATCTGCAATTTCTAACTATTTTTACTGGGAAAATAATAAAATGTTCCATAAATGTCCCAAAAATAAAACATAAAATGTGCCACATTTTGCACAGGTCACACGTTAGGTTATGTTAAACCACGGTATGTTAAACTCAACAAATAAACAGTAATTATACGTCATTAAAAGGTGCAGCAGTGTGTTCTCTGTAGAGGATGTTAACTCATTTTCACTTAGAACATCAACAAAATGTCATTTGACCAGGGGTGTCCAGACTTCTGTATATCTAAGCAGAACACTGGAGTCACCATGAGGGATCGTTCTCATCCCCTACCCTGCCCTGAGTATGTCACTTACCTGGTGACCGGCACTAGGGGCAGACAGGGACAGCAGCAGCAGCAGGGTCCAGTGCTGATCTTGAAGGTTTTCTTCGCTGACCGCTTGAGAAAGGCTTCATCTCCACCACACTCTTCAATCATCAGAATGAGGAATTTGAACACTACAATCGCAAAGTACCTGCAAAGTCAACAAAAATGTTCTTCACAGAATTCATTTCCAAGACATGCACAAACACAGTCGGAAAAGGTCTGGCGCTATTTTGTTGCTATTCAGCGCTTTTTTTCCCCAACCATATCAAGTAGATCCCCCTGTTTGAACTCAAACACATTCACAAAAAAACACAGCCTTGGACAGGGGTGTCAAAACCACTAAAGGGTCCATATTAAAAAATCTGAACAAATCCGTGGGCCAGAGAAAAACATTTTTTTATTTCATTTTTAATTAATGTTGTGCTGTAACCCGAACTGACCATTGTATGCTAAAAAAAACTTCAACAGTAAAATACAGACACTTAAAATGGGCCTTGAAATATTACACGAATACTTGAAATATTCAATATTTAAACGTCCCCAGGAGCTCAGTCTTTTAAACCTGCCTCTCTGCTTGAACTAAACACCTGCCACCTGCCATCCTTTCTTTGCTGCAAGTACATTAATACGTGGGCTCTGAGCTGCTGAGCTGACGTTAAGTGTTCATGTTGGTTGAACTGCAGCTGAAATGCAGCTAATGTGTTTGGTGATACGACTGGTGTGAAATTGAGTAAAATTGTTGAGGTGTACCTGCTACACACATTATGCTGCAGTGCATGGCGTGGACTGTTGTGCAGCGCATTGTGAAACAGGGTAATATTATTGGAAAATTAGAATATTTTTGCTGGCCAGATACGATTGTGTCACGGGCCTGACCTGGACCGCGGACCTTGTGTTTGACACATGGGGTCTAGGAGAAGTTCAATAAAAATTGAAAGGTGGGCAGGCTGAGTACACGGCTTTCACTATCAGTTACATTAGTACTCAAGTAATTCACTGACAACTGATCGGGCAAACAGAGTAAAAAGGCCAAGCAATTAAAAAAAATAAACTTAAGTAAGCAATAATAAGCCATGCATAGACTCATTAATATAAAGACTTATTATTAATAATAAACCATGCCTAGACTTACTTATATAAAGACTTATTATTAATAATAAACCATGCATAGACTTATTAATATAAAGAATTATTAATAATAAGCCATGCATAGACTCATTAATATAAAGACTTATTATTAATAATAAACCATGCCTAGACTTACTTATATAAAGACTTATTATTAATAATAAGCCATGCATGGACTTATTAATATAAAGACCTATTACTAATAATAAGCCATGCATAGACTTTCAAAAGCTTCTAAACAAAGCATCTTCACTGGAAAAAGATAAAAATAGGCCTAGTTTCTCATAAAGCATGTCTGTGTTTAGGGCACTTTCACTTGTAGAGAGTGCTTTCGGGAAACCAGCCATTTCCAGTCAAAACAGCCATTAAAGTTATTCATCATTCAGGAAATATTTCGGAGGAGATAAGACACTAATCCACTTGCATAAAGAAGGAGAAAGTAAAAGGAAAATACATGAAAAACAATAAGAATTCCTAGCAACCATCTGCAAAACCTGGTAGCCTGCCAAATCTATTTCTATCAAATAAACAGCACTGAAAGGCGGCATCTCAAGGAAGTAGATAAATCAAACAAATAGGCTTCTGGTGGTCTCAGAACAATGGACTGACCACCACAGTGTCCAGACCTCAACAGTGTCAAACGTGCTTGGGATCACTTGGAATCATGAGAAGCGGGAAATGCAACCAACTTCTAAGACTGAACTTTGAAGATGCATAACTGAAGATGAGTAACTTGTACTTAATGGCTGTTTTTGCTGGAAGTTAAATAAATGAAGGGTGGTGTCTGACTTTTACTCTTATTACTTATGACTTATTACCATAAAACCACTATGTGACAACAAATGCTTATACTATCTACGGGTAGGAATAACTATGCTTTACCATCACGCAACTCATCACTGCTGATTCATCAAGATGGTCCGATTAAATTGCTCTTTTTCCAAATGATTAGTCATGATAACCCTGGCTATTTTTCTTTCACAGAAAAAGAACTTAAAGAAGCCACAGTGTTGATGACTCATCCACATTTTTTTAATAAATCCTGTTTTTTTTCCAAAGTTTTTTTCCCATACTTTCAAGGACCTTCACATTTAACTCACGTGGCTGAGGTCATATCTGTGAACATGGTGGCCTTAGGTATCCACATGCCCAAACAGGACATTGCACCAATAACCTGGAAAAAACAAACAGAATCTTTCTCAATCCGTCTGTCAGCCCATCAGTCACTCTGTGAGGTCTGAGGAAGTGACTAACTGTTTTATCCCAGCAATGCTTCATTTCAGATCAAAGGAACCTCACCGGTGCTGCTCCATTAACCCAGATGATGGCACTCTTTTTGTTGGAGGCAACTTTCCTGTAGATGTAGACACACTCCTCAAGGTAAATCAGCATGGAAACTGTGGCCATGAAGGTCAGGACGGAGTACAGGACGATCCCGAATATGTCCAGCTCTAATTGGAAAAAAATAGAATACGGAAAAGATATTATGATACCCAACACTAGTTCTGATTGTGTGGAAGCACCAAATTAGTCTCATAATACAAAATAAAAAGGTCTCACTTTATTTGGGCTAAAGTTCCACATAGATTATCTATAGATGTTCAAACTATCTGTTGATTGGTGGTGGGGTTAGGGTTAGGGTTTGGACCAGGGTCAGGGCCAGGACTAGGGTGAGGGTTGGGTTTAGGTTTCAGGTTGAGGTTAAGGTTAGGGTTAGGGTTAGGGTTAGGGTTAGAGCCAGGTATAGAGTTAAAGAAAATTATAGTCAATTTAGTAGATATTTAGTTGAATGTAACTTGAAAGTAGATTAAGCATCTACAAAGTATCTAAACTGGACCATCCAAATAAAATGTTACCAATTAAAATGCTAATTTCTCATTGAACAGTTCAGAGAAGTCTTGTACATCTAATTACTGAATGTGTAAGCTACTGAAACAGCTTAGGCAAAACATCCGTCTGTCAGGCCGTTCTGAGAGCAGTCTAGACTAGGGCTGTATAATTTATCATATTTTTATAATTATCGTCATATGAGTTTCCGCAATAAACACATTGTTGAGAGCAGCAATGATAGAACACACCAACTTCCTTCATACATGCAGCACCAGACAGACATCATTACACATCTGGCACAAACCTTTAGAAGCCCAATGACTGCTTCCCTGTGCTGGAAGTGAACACTACTCTCCTTTGCACGGGACAAGTGATTTAACCATTAGGCTAAACAGCCAAGTACAAAACACACATATTCAAGCCTATAAAACGGATCAGACATTAGGATTGTTCTCACACCCAGTATTGTGTTTTAAGTGTGCAAGACAGTAATTTCTACTGTCACTACAAACATAATAACTGAACAAAAATAAAAATATTTATTGGTTCTTGTGCGTCTATGTAAAACTAAATATCTATTTAATTGTTTTTGTGGCCTTTACCCAAAAGGCATTCGAGATAATGCTGACATCATCTCAGCTTTTCAGTGCACTAAAAAAATGTGCTTGCAGTTCTGATGTTAGTAGCTGTTGGTGTTTTATTTCTTTTTATTTTGCACAACTGTAAACAGTGCTTGACAGATCACTTTATTAATCCCAGAGGGAAAGTCGCCCATTACGGCAACACAAAGTGCAGTAAAGAGCAAAACATAAGCAAAAGTACTGTTGTATGCTATTACACAGATGCATAAATAGAAGAAGATATATAATAAAATATGCTAAAACAACCATAAAATATAATGTGCAGTACGAAAATGAGTAAGTAAAATCACATAAATATTATGCAGGTGACAATGCAGTGGTGCATGTCACGTCCAGTGAATGAACTGAGTGACTATACAGTGTAAACGATAACATATGTTAATAGTTGTATATGCATGAGTGCATGAACAAGTTACAGTGCAATATTTATGGATGTATAAACAAAGTGGCACTTTTTTAATTTTAAAACCATCTGTATTGTATCACATCCAATCAGAGGTAGACAATTTTAATAATGTCTTGTATCGCCACTGTGATATACAATGTTTAGTAAACCTGTTGGATATCACTTTTGCACTTCCCTAGTCTACACTAACAAAGTGACACAAAATCCCTTACTACTGGAAATCCTCAGAGTTGGGAAATTTCTTGGGAAATCACTCCCACCGAGGCTCCAATTAAAACCATTTGGGGCAGTAATACATTCACCCCACAAACACTGATGTTGCTCAAAAGTACACACAAAACCATATCACTACCTACAGACACTCTCACCAGCCACTCTGAGCAGGGTCTTTCAGTGCTGACAGTTTTCTACAGTCTTTCACTACACTGCTCACGGGTAGACAGATACATAAAATTGTACTGGCCCCTCAGGCCAAGCCAATAAATCTTGTGGCCAGAATTAAGAATTTGCAGCCAGAATTATAGAAACATGTCTACTGTATGTTCTCTTATTTAAACACCCCTGGTCAAATTAAATGCTTTGCTGATTTTCAAGTGAAAATAAGTTAACACCTCCTCCACGGGGATCTGCAGATCGTACTGCACAGTTTGCATATATCTGCAGAGTCATATTTGAAAAACATAAAATATAAAATGTGCCATGACAGGCCATGTTTGTGGCCTATTATGGCACATTATAAGTAGACAAGAAAAAAACTAGAATAAACAGGCCCCAAAAGGCCTTATTTATAGAATTCATAGCAAACTTTGGCCAATAGAACAACATCTATAAGACAAGGCAGACCAGCTTGGCAGGGACACCACCATGGTTACCACACCGCAACGTTCGAGATAACACACTGCGACAAAATTTTGAATTGGGGGAATTTTTCACCCGATAAAAATACTGAATTGGGGAAATTTTTCCCCCAATATGTTAAATTCAGCAAGTAAACAGTAATTTTACATTAAAATGTGAAGTGTAGTCTCTGTAGAGAATGTGTTACCTTTTACTTATAAAATCAACTAAACACGTCATTTTACCAAAGGCGTCCAAACGTTTGCATACGAATTTTGCATACGACTTTGCATACAACAAACTTTAGCCAACAGATCAACATCTATAAGACCTGGCAGACCAGCTTGGCAGGGGCACCACCATGGTTACTCCACTGCACCATTCGAGATAACGCACTGACAAAATTTGATTTGTCTGATTACCGTCATGTCTGTTAGGTTTGTCAAAAGGAAAAAAGAATGCAGTAAACTTCCCAAAGCAGGTGGCCATTTGGCAACATCTACCCCTGTGTGTTCTCATCAACGAAAAGATAACAGTGTTATGTCCGCAATAGGAATCCAAGCCCAATCATACATGCCAGGACAAATCCACAATCCATAACACTCTGTACGGCTTCCTAAGGAGATGTGAAGGCACCTCAGTCAAGTGTTCATGAAGGGAAAGTAGGTTCTATCATTTAGAGTTTTAGGGCTGTCAGGGTTAACCTATTAAACTTGATTAATCTAGTTTTAAAAAATCATTAAAGGGACCACATCATAAAAAATATAATTGTTCTCGCTTTTTAAATAAAGGTCAATATATACTATGTAAACAGGGTTGCATCGAAATGTACCTTTTACTCCTCAGTCCACACACTGTCTACACATGGAAAACAAGCTGCAAGAACAGCCTGTTTTGAATTGAGTGTTTTGTGATGATCAGAAGCAGTGTTTCAGCCCAGAGGCGCAATACAGGGCAGCCAATCAGAAAACCTTAAGACATTTGCATATTTCAGTCTTAAAAGGCACATTAACAGAAAGCCTATTTAATTCTAAGGGATATAAAGAGGTTGGGAAAATGGAAAAAGTTTTTGTTTATAAACCCAAACAAATGTCATAAGTGGACCGTAGCGAAGGGCCGGGCAACATGACAATATTTATCATTTTTGTGATAAATTACATCACCATATTTCAAAACATGCTTCTCTGAGCGTATCTGGGATATCGTCAAACACACCCCAACAACATGTTCACCTACAAACAGACCACAGTTAGTCATGTTTTACTGGATTTACTGAAGCAAAGTATGTATAATGTTGAATATAAATAAAAATATCTAAATCCTAAAAATAAAACTGATTAAAAACTAATTAAAATTGAAAATTTATATATATAATATATATATAGTGCCATATCATGTAGTGTGAAAATGTCTTGATATATTGTGATTTTACATTTTTGAGACCCCATTTATATTCATTTTCCTCCATATACTGTTTTAATTTTTTTATGAAGTCCCCCAGAAAGGTACCCTAGCCCCACACCCTCACCCAGTGATGACAGAACAAAAAGTTTCTTTTATATTAAACATTTATTTAATTTTTTTTAAATGTTTTTAAATATGAATGCCTTTTTAAAAGATACATTTCAGGCCAAAGTCTTATTTCAAATGTTGTAAACATCTCTTTGTCATCAGTCATTCTTTGAGTGGGCTTTTAAAGGCATTATATATTTCAGTCTGGTTCTTATCACCACCACTGTGAACAACTCAGTTCCAGTTTCTCTGGGACTGAGCATTTCACATCAAACCACTCTGAATGACTTTTGTTTACATATTAATAATATGTAACAATACTTAGGAGGGGTGTATATATGCCATCAATGACCCTGTTTTGCAGGATTTGCCTGCATCACTCCTACATAAGACTTGTACTGTAGCACGCAGATAACTATCTAGGTACGCTATGTGGAACAGATGTTGTAGTGTAGTATGGATACTTTAGCCTATGTGTTATTATGCATGTAAAGCACCACTCTGTCACAGCAGCCCTGGTGCTTTTTCACTTGTGGTCCCAAATGAGTATTATTCTTTTCTGTTTTATCAACAGATCAAGTAATTTGATCAAGGCCAAACAATAAACAATAAATAATAAAAATGATCATACAAAGGATTTTCCAAAAATCCTTTATAAGAAAAAGACAAACTAGGAAGTCTTCAGAAAGAAGACTTAATAAAGATACACAGAAATGACTGCGGCTTGTACTGAATCTGTTCTCACTGAACACAGAAACACACAGAAAGATCAGAGCTCTCAGACCATTAATCAGAAACCAATGTACTCTCTGTCCTGTCTGTGTGTGGAAGGTTAAATAAAGAAGGCTTTGACTTGTGTTCCAGTGTTGTGACTATGGTGTGAGCAGTAGGATGTCCCTCTAAAATGCTTTTTGCTGAAGGGCAATTCCACCAATTTTAAAAATTGCTGCATAATTCAGTGGTTGAGATGTTAAAGTCTGATGTGAAATGGTCCGTTGTAGAGAAACTGACAGACTCTGATTTCTTTACAGTGGTGGTGATAGGAACCAAGGGTCACAATGTCTACAACACAAATACAGCCAATTTATTTACTATCCAGAACCACCAGTCAACCTACACGTGACTTCTAAGTTTTTATATGCAATGTTTATAAAAGGTTTTTTTGGGGGGACTACTTGGCCTTACAACACCCTGCATGTACCCCTCCATCATGAATACCATGAATAGCTTTTAAAATACATTTCAGCCCAAAATCTTATGACAAAAAATCTTGAAAAACAGTGTCTTAGTCTTCAGGCAGTTATTCTTTTTTCAATAATAAGCTTCCCTGGGGGGCTTTTACAGACATTAAATGATTCATACGGTTCCTATCACCACCACTGTGAACGATTCTGACTCAGTAAGACCCTCTAGAACTGAGCATTTCACATCAAACCGCTCCGAATGATTCAACTATACAGAATTTTTGAAAAATGGTGGAGTTCTCCTTTAGGATGATTAGGATGAACTACACATAGAATATGATATGTTGAAGTTGGCTTCCAGCTTTTTGCTCGAATTTTCCCGTTCCACCTTAAATGCACCAGGCACCAGAATGTAACTGCTGCCCCATTTAAGGTGGACCGGGAAAATTCGAACCATTTCAAAGGAAAAATCAACTTCTGCGTGGTCTGATCAGATGGAACTCACGTAAAATGATGTCGATGGCCAAAGGGGGTTCCTGTTTGCACCTCGGGTCAGAGCTAATGTTGGTCGCATCCATCTTCAGTCGTCCTTAAACTTCAGCCAAAGTCAGAAATCCACCGACCAAACAAGCTTTCACCAGCACGACGCGTCTGAAAATACACGCATGGAATCGCACCAGCTCTGTTTTGCCCCACTATGTTCTCACTTTTCCTCCAATGGCGACGCCCCCTGCATTCGACCCCAACGCAGATGGTTCGCCGTTTAAGTGACAAAACGCTCCTACAGCGAGGTTAGTCAGTCCTCATAGAAGCAATCACTTGTTTGCACTCATCTACACTCCATCATCTCCTGCTGGCCGCTGGGGGGCGCTGTGCTCCCCTTGCATTGCCCCCCTGAACCTGGGGCCTCTTCAGCCTCATCACATGGCCTCCATCAGCCTCCAGAGAAACCCAGCTCAGCAAAGCAGATAAAGCAGTCATGTGTGTGAACTGAGGACATTCTTGTTCACTCCCACTTTCTTCCTTTTCACTCTTCTGTTTTCTACAGAGCCCCGCTGGTGACATCCTGTATAAATAAAAATAATGCATGGCCACGACTTAGTAAGGCGTGGGAACGAGATAATTAAGTCATGGCTGCAACTTAGTAAGGTGCGGGAACGAGATAATTAAGTCGTGGCCACGCATTATTTTTTGTTTACACAGGATGTCACCAGCAGGGCTCCGTAGTTTCCCGACACTACACTGCTGCTCACATCAGTGGTGTAACTAGGATCTTACAGGCCCCAGCGTAAAAAAAAAAAATGGGCTCCTCTGCCAAAAAGTTTGAAAACAAAAAAACGATAATGCAATTTTACTCAGCCCTGCTGGTGACATCCCGTATAAAGACAAATAATATGTGGCCACACTTACTAAGTTGTGGCCATGTATTATTTTTGTTTAAACAGGATGTCACCAGCAGGGCTCTGCACAGTTTGCTTGTTTACTTGCTATTGTTTAAAAAAAAAAGCCGCGGCATGAAGTTTGAGTTTTATATTACGTTTACGTCACGTCTTAGTCTGCGAGTTCATTGGCTGGCTGCAAAGCAGAAATCTGATTACTGCCTGACTCATGTAGACCTGGAGTTTCACATTATGTGATTACTCAAGTGCATGTAAACGCGTTGATCAGATTACTGACAAAATCTGATTTTCTGCAGTTATCGGATTATTAAGTGCATGTGAAAACACTCAATGATTGCAACTTCAACCACTAGCATGCAATATTGCCCTAAATGTAAACCTATATTAGATTATTTACGGTTTTAAAATGATAGTGAGTGTATTATGTTGCAGGTTGTGAAGGATCCGTTCCATGAAAGAGATGCATTATGAACAAGAGGAAGATAAACAGTTAGGGCTGTCTATGTAGTGCTGATAGAAGGTAACTGGTGAGGTATGTTGTTAAAAAAAAGATATGAGGAGCCCAATAAAGATTTTAGGGGGTCCTGGACCCCTATGCAATGGGCCCCAGTGCAATTGCACCGCCCCCCCCCAATATATTGGATTGTGTCTGTGGGAATTTGTGGCCATTCTGTTAAAAGAGCATTTGTATTTGTGAGGTCAGACACTGATGTTGGACGAGAAGGCCTGGCTCACAATCAACGTTCCAATTCATCCCAAAAGTATTCAGTGGGGTTGAGGTCAGGGCTCTGTGCTGGCCACTGGAGTTCCTCCACACCTACTTGTCAAACCATGTCTTTGTGGATGCCACTTTGTGCATAGGGCCACAGTCATGCTGGAACAGGAAAGGGTCGTCCCCAAACTGCTGCCACAACGTTGGAAGCGCATAATTGACTAAAATGTCTTTGTATGCTGTAGCATTAACATTACACTTCACTGGAACTAAGGGCCCTGAAGAACAGCCCCAGCCCATTATCCCTCCTCCACCAAACTTCGTTGGCACTGTATGTTCCTTGTAGTTAGTAGGTCAAACTACTACCAGTGTTTATGGAAATTGCATGGCTATATGATTGATTTTATATACCTGTTAGCAGTGTGTGTGGTTAAAACACCTGAACACAATGATTAGGAAGAGGGATCAGCATAGTGTATACATGCCAACACAGACCCTGTTTCACAGGGGTCCAAAAGCATGCATGAATTTTTCCCCCTTAGTTGAGCATTAGGATAATACATTTAGACATTTATAACACGCTTCATGCGTACAATATGCTTTTCTGAGCATCATGGATTTGGCCAGTACTTAAGGAACACTGACCAACTATGTTCCATTACAAAAAGGGCACAATTAGACATCTTTAAGTGATTTAGTGCAGCACAGTGTGTGAAACATTCAACAAAAATCATTGTATTCATTGTTTTGATAGTATTTTTTTACAAATGTGGCACGACTGCCTGTTCCAACTTATCCAAATATGAGAAAAACAAAATATTGTGATGCTTATCATTTATCGTGGGAATGTCTTAAGCGTCATGATATTGTATTTGCTTTATTCGAGTTTAACATATTGGAAAAAATAAAATGTGAAATATAAAATGTGCCATAACTTTTGCACAGGCTCTATTTGATGTTTTTATGTTTTTTCATGTTGAGCAAATGAACAGTATTTGTGCATTATCATGCACAAGTGGATTCTCTGTGAAGGATTTTTTGTTTATTTTCACTTAGAGAATCAACAAAGCTTGTCATTTGATCGGGGCGCCCAAAAATTTGCACTCAGCTGTGATGCTGATGATGAACGGTGATGTCAGTCAGAGCATGTCTGTGCAAATTTCGCCTCACACCTCTTCTGAGAAATCCAAAAGAACTCAGACTGGGCTTGTTTTACATTTACAAAAACTTAGTTAGACATGAGTGACTGACTCGTTCATCCCTTTATAACAGAGTGTTTCAGCCAAGCCACAGGGACGGTCTGATCATGTCCACGCCTGAATCAGTGCCCTCAAACTCCAGTTTCCTGTGGGATTGCGTCCAATATGACGTCATGCTGTATTTCTATGGATTGTCCTTTTCTTCCTTCCTGTATTAACCTTGAATGAAAGTGAGCAATAAAGAGTCATGATGCTGGATGGCGTAGACATGTCCTGTTTAAAAAACCCCTATTGAACAGAACAATGAAACAATATTTTGGGGAATTTCCTTTAAAAAAACACCTGAGAGTATCTACGCTAACATCTGAGCATGTCAATAAGGCCATTATTTGACATTCCTTGTTTCTGATGTGTAGGAGGTCAATGGCCTGCATGTTGGTGAACTGGACAAAGTTCACGGTAACGAATAGTTCACTGTCTCTCTCTTCACACATACAGACATCAGTTAGTGTTTCCAAAAGTTTGTAGACACCCAATGCTTCAGGGGTACTGAAGGGGAACTCCACCAATTTTGAAATAACTACATAATTGAATGGTTAACCCACGAGCCAGAAGGATAAGCAGCTTAGAATGTGTGTGTGTGTGTGTGTGAATGGTTAAGATGCACTCAAAGTTACGGAGCTCTGCTGATGACATTCCAGATGAAAAAAATAATGTGTGGCCACCACTTAGTAAGGCGTGGGTATGAGATCATGCCTTACTAAGTCGTGGCCATTCATTAGGATCTCATTCCCATGCCTTACTACGTCAGGCCACGACTTAACTATCTTGTTCCCATGCCTTACTAAGTCATGGCCATGCATTATTTTTATTTATACAGGATGTCACCAGCGGGGCTCTGTGCAAAGTCGTTGTGAGTGGTTTATGTGAAGTGTTCCATTCTCGAGAAACTTGCTGAGCCAGAATTGTTCACAGTGGTGGTGATAGGAACCAGACGTCTGAATAGTCTGTCTCACCTCGTCATTATACGAAATGGTTACGAAGCATTAAAACATTGCCTGATGTTTGAGATCATTTTATGCGAATTTTATGAAACATTATTGGTCTAAAATGTATTTGTACAGGACAAGCAAGGCAAAATAGTCCTAAATTAAGTCCTTTTTTCAGATTTACAACAATTTTCAACATCACAGGTAGGGTTCACTGGTCATTTCAGACAGCTGTTTGCTACCTTTGCGTTCTACCTATCACTCCTGTCGCTACTACTGTAAAGAAATCAGTTTCTTTATGACAAACCATTTCAGATCAAGCCACTCTGAATTACTTTGTTTAGGATTGAATTGAGCAGAAATTATATAAAAAAATAAAAAATAAAAAAAAAATACACACACACACACTTTCTAAGCCACTTATCTTTCTGGGTCAGCCTATCCCAGCAGTCAATGGGCAGAAGGCAGGATACACCCTAGACAGATCACCAGTCCATCGCAGGGCAGACAGACATATATATTCATGCTCACAATCACACCTAGGGGCAGTTTAGCATGTCCAGGCCCTTCTTGCTGTGATGGTGACAGCTCTACCTGTTGCGCCACCGTGCCGCCTCATCATAATAATAATAATAATAAAAATAATTTTTTACACTTGGTGTAATCCTCCTGAATCCACTGATTAAAAGGGTGTCTGCATACTTTTTGACATAGTGTATGTGAAATAAAAAAAATAAACTTTAACAAAAGAACATTTATTTTTCATCATCACATAATAAGCAAGTACGTCATTCACAAAATATCAAGATTAAAATTAATCGGACAAGAAAAATAGATGTGAGGTCACCGTTTGTACATCAGTACTCTGTGTATACATCTTAAATCATGACGATGACAACAAATAAAAATCCATCTCCAGCTTGCACAATGAGCAGAGTACAAACAGAAGCCACTGTACATGCAGGAAAAACCTTAAGTCTGATTTTTTTCCTCTTTTAAAAAGATACTGAAAATAAAAGTGATAAATTATCATTGAACAAATCTGTATGGCTTGTAAGAGACTGTAAAAGGTAATGCTGAAAGAAAATGTTGGTTTAGGCAACATTTAAATAGCAAATGATTGGTGACAGTAGCTTACAGGTGGATGTAAAATGTAATAATGCACAAATCTGCACAGCTGTAGAGAGAGAACCTGAAATAATTCCATTTGTTGCACATTCCACATGATTTAAACATAAAAATGTCAATTATGGCAATGACTTTTAAAAAAAAAACCAGACAAAAACAATGATTAATACAGTAAAAGTCACAGATTACCAGCTCAATTTCATTCATGGCATAGGAACAGGAAGAAAAAGCAAAAAGGCTCAATTCCGCCACTGGAGAAAAGCAAGGCATTTTCTCAAGATGAGAACCACTTCGCTTAGTCGCTGTGGAACCTTCCACACATATTACCACCACACAGTCTGAGCACATGTATCAGTCAAAGTCTTGAAATCAAGTGAACATTTCCTATGAGTCATCAGGTCCATGTATGCATTTGTCTGAACTAGGGATGCACGGTGATAATCTGAATCATATCAGTAACCAGGTGACTGCTTAAAAATACACTATATGGCCAAAAGTTTGTGGACACCTCATCCAATGTTTCTTCCAAAATAGTATTAAAAAGGAGTTTGCCCCCCCACTGCTTTAGTAACTCTCTCTACTCTTCACAGACGGCTTTACGCTAAACCTTTGAACATTGCTGTGAGGATCTGATTGTATTCAGCAGCAGGAGCACTAGTGAGATCAGGTTGGATGATCAGCTCTGGATCACAAACTCTACTCCAACTCATCCCAAAGGAATTGGTTGGTGCTCCATCACTCTAGAAAACGCAGCTCTACTGCTCCACAGTTCAAAGCTGGGGGGCTTCATACCCCTCTAGCCTACACTTGGCATTGAACATAGTAACCTTAGGCTCTTGTGTGGCTGCTCTGGAGCGTCCTGTTCTATTGTCAATGCATTTCTATAGAGACCATATAAGCTGTGTGTGCACCTGAACTCCTGTGTCAGCAGTGAGTGCAGTTGAACTCACTAATAAAAAAGGGTGTCCACAAACTTTGGGACATATAGTGTAAATCGTCATCTGACAGACGTTTAGATTTGATATTTTAAACCGATATTTGATGATGTATTTATTAAACTCTGAAAAAGCAGAACCTTCAGGGCTTCTGTACTAAAATATCTGCATTTTATTCTTTTTACTGCATTTGTAGCCTTAAAAATATAAATGTTATATTTCTCTGTAATACTAATCCAGGTAGACCAAGGTCTAATATCTACATTTTATGAATGTTGAAGCATCGGCATAGGCAGATACATGAAAGATACTGGATATCGGCCTACAGGTTCTATACCAGTGCATCCCTAGTTTGAACTGCCACTACAAAGTCACTGTAATGTGCGCAAAAAGTTGGTTCACGACAGAGAATATCGTACTGATGTGAACAAATAAAAGCCGTACACCAATCACTTCTTCACATACAGCAGTACACACCATACCACACCAGCACTGACCACGTTTCAATAGCACACACACAAATACTACTGAACATTCTGAAACATATTTTAAAAAATGTACTCTGGGTAACAAAAAACCCGATAATATCTGCTCAACAGCACTTTATATGTTAAAAAACCTGACCAGATGGTGAGCTGCTTTCAAAAAGATAAATCAGACTTTAAAGCAGGGCTGCCCAAAGTGTGGCATTTCATTTGGCCCACCAGAAAGTTACCCTAACCCCACCCTCTCACCCAATGAGAGGACAAATAAAATGCTATACTATATCTGACTTATTAAATTCTTATTTTTCTTTAAAAACTGTATTTTTGAAGTTTTTCAGCAACAAAATAGTGTAATGATATAAAATACCTTTTTCAACACTATTTGAAATCTGCCAACTTTATCTGTATATTGTTTTGTCTTTTTGGCCTCTGGCCCACTACAAACATTGCACTTTGCCCCCCCCCCATACAAAAAGTTCCTGCTTTAAAGGAATGGTTCACAGAAAAGTCAAATGAACATCAATTTCTCCCTGACCCCACACTCTTAGCAAAAGTGCCAAAAAAAGTTCTTTAACTTGCAACAGTGGAGCTATTTGGAGCCATTTAGTCATTTTAGATGCTGTGCTTAATTCTGTTTCCTCTTCATATGCACCCTTTAAGTCTATATTGAACAACTGTTCAAAAACAGTTCATGAAGAAGAATCTTTTACTAAAGAACTTATATAGAACTGTTATCATACACTAAAGAACCCTTAAAGAACCCTTTGAGGACTGGTTACACAAAAAAAACAAATTCAAACCATTTTCCACTTTGTTGTAGTCAATCAGCCAGGACGACTGGTGTCCAAATTTTGCTTCTTTGGTTTAGCGCTGAAGCTCTAAGGCCAACGTTGCTAATAAACACTAGAAGTAAATTTCATTAATGCATCCCAAAGCTTCTCTCAACCCACTCAAACCATGTCCAGGTCTTCAGTAAGTTTGCACAGACTTGTCAATGTGATTTAGGACACGATATGACTTACTGAGAACTACAGGAACGAACAGAACTTCACCATGAAGCTGAACCGTTACAGGCAATGGGTGCTGTGCCAAATTCGGACTACTCTTTGTGTGCACATGTCACGCCGGCATCTGGACGCCTGTTTACAAACAGAAACAATAGAAGCAACGCAATCTACAGTCCAGGGAGAGGGAGGGAGGGAGAGGGAGAGAGAGAGGGAGGGAGAGGGAGAGAGAGAGGGAGAGAAAGAGAGAGGGGAGGGAGGGAGAGAGATGAGAAAGAAAGAGAGAAAGAGAGAGAGAAACATTCGGGCAGAGAGAAGAGCTGAACTTGAAGAGACAGAAACAACTCTGAAGCCTTCTGCCCACACCCTCCAGGGTATCACAGGGTCCTAAACCAAATCGACAAGTCAGCACAAAAAATAAATAAATCAAAGAAGGCCTGGATGTGGTTTGAGCGGGTTGAGAGAAGTTTTGGGGATGCATTTATGGAAAAGATTTGGGTGACTATTGAGTTCTACTGTTCGTTAGCATCCGTACTAAATTTCAGAAGCAAAATTTAGATACCAAACATGTCTTTGCTGATCAATTACATATGGAGCGAGTGGAAAATTGTGTAAATTTGATTTTTCAATGGACCATTCCTTTAAAGGAGAGACAAAGTCAATCAGCCCAGACATGAAGCTCCAGTGCAAAACACTGCACTGACTGTCTTGGCTGTCTGATCGAGTTTGTGGTTAGGAGGAAAAATTAGATTCTTTTAGTAAATAATCGCTTTACAAACAAGGACACACACTGTTATGATGTGGAGCATCACTCTTATGAAGCACCAGAAGTTATTTATAGTGCCCCTTGTGGAGAATCTTCAGCTATATGTTAGTGTGTTACAAGCCAGGTCCATGAGGAGTTTGGCACTGAAAAGCCAATCCTTTGAGCATCTGCACCATAGCAGCTGCACTGAAAGAAGACGGTGCCATCTGCAGGCTAGGTGTGATACTGTAATTGATAAGCTAAAGCTTAAAATTAGAACACTACAGAAAGCAGTTTCATTTGGTTTCCTTGGTGGCACTGGCTACACTGTGAGAGCAAAGAGGTATTACGTACTTACTGTAAACACTCCATAATAAGAGCTCTGATATTCAGCCCTTTATTTGGCAATGCACAGCGGCCTTACGTGTCCAAGGTCGCCTGCTGATTCAATATCAAGGTTAATATGAAGAACAGAAACATAGAAAAACAAAAACTTAAATGTAAAAAAAAAAGTCTTCTCAAAGATAAGCAGCTCAGCAGTACATATAAAAAAGGGAATTCTTTTACACGTGATCGTTTAAAGCCCCAAACAGGAAATACTTTCCGAGTGAAATTACATTTAAATGGTCTGATGTCAAAGTACGGAATTTCAGTAAAGTTGGTGTTTAACATGAAAAACCTGGAACATTAGCTCCTTTAACGAGTGACTCAAAGGAATAAAACCATCAGGCCCACTGACGTCTGCATCAACCTCAAAAGTCCAAAACATCCTGTTGAGGGGCTGTTAAGTGTGCATGGTTTGTCCATGAATAATGCATAAGATTTAAGAAGAAAACAAAATGCCTAATTGAATTTGAATGTGCAAATGTGCTGTTGTGTGCTGGGATGTGCACTAATACTTTAAAGGGGAATTCCACCGATTTTTCCTAAATTTTAGCATAGCGCTGCTGTCAGGACAAAACCTTTCCTCAACATTTTTGTCATTTTTATTTTAGTTTTTATTTATTATTTTATTTTTATTTTAATTTGAAAAATTGGTGTTGTACCAAAATTTCTTGGAGAAAATTGTTTCCCCATTTACTTCTGTTAAAAGTTAACCTCTTTAACTTCTTGGGACCACTGGTGTTTCCAAAACACACTTCGTCATATTCTTTACTTCATAACTTTCATAGTTCATAAGCTACATTCAAAAGGTGGATGTCATATGAGAGCTGTAACTGTCTTCTTTCCAGTCAAATAGATGGGTAATGTAATTTGAAACCCTTATAATAAAAGAAGCTGAACTCTCAACTTTTTTTTTTCTACTGAAAGTTGATCCATTTTTCCACAAATCTGAGCTATAAACTGGATCTCAGATGGCGTCTCTTCAGTGATATTCTCTGTAAAAATTACTTTCATAAAAATATTCAAAAAGCATCTAAGATTTTTGGCTTTCAGCAGTAAGTTGTAAGCATATAGCATTATATGTGTGTGATCATAAAACACATTTTCTGTTAATTTGAGGGAAACTTTTACAAAAAAAAATTTGTTATTTCATGCAGTTACTGAATAATTTGACTTTTTGGGCATGTAAATTCAGATGGAAAAAACAAAATATACCTACGAGCAGAACGTTTTTCATTCTCCTGTAAAGTTAATCTTTTTTAGAGATACAAGATTTTGTTCTGACAGCAGCAGTAATTCATGGTATGATGCAAAATGTTCTAGTGAAACGTACCAAGTCAGAACGGTGTGGGAACCTAATACCTAACTAAAAGTTCCAACACAAAGTTTTAACAGAAAATGGTTATAAATTCACTACCAGATGCCTGAGACTTTGTTTTCCTAGTTTTGAGAGAGGATTTTGTCTTACAACTGCAGGATGTCATAAGGCAAAACAGTACATGTAGAAAACATTTCTATCAGATTAGAATTTGAATTTCAGATTCTATTTCATCATGATAAACATTACATATAAAAATCTCAGCAACCTACAGGTTCACTGGTCGTTTCGGACAGTGAATAAAACGCTTATATTTGTTGTAGAAATAGCAACCCCTGGTTCCCATCACCACCACTGTAAAAAGTTATGTTTCTCTAGAATGGCGCATTTCACAACAAACTATTCTGAATGATTTTGTTTCCATCTCAACCTCTGCACTACGCTAAAATTTTGAAAATTCAGTTGGCTTCCCTTTCAACTTATACCTCACACATCATGAATCGTTCTGTCTTAGACAGGCAAACATCGTTATTCTGTGCTACAATCAGGAATCAAAAAGCAAAAACCCTTTTCCTATACATTTCTGCATTGATATAAAAACGAGGGTCTGGACCAGAGATGTAAATGGCTCTTTAGACAGCTCCCCTCTATGTAAACATCAGATCACCCCCCCAATCTCAAACCACAGCAGCCGTATCATACTCAAAAAGTGCCAGGGAGTCCCAGGGCAGAGCGTCAGCGCTGGGAAAGAAGGCTCTTAACAATCGTAGTGCATTTTCTGGTAAACAACTAACAATTTTACAGGAGTCGCACCGACTCGAGCAGGCAGAGAAATGGAAGTGTGGGGAGGTGCGTGCAGGATTTCGGAAAAGGTGTGTTTCACTGTGCAAAAAAGTAGATGCAAGGACAGGCTGTGATGACTAAACAAGAATGTTCTGATCAAATGCATCTCGTCTAGGCTTCTCTAAAATCCACGTACATGAGGAGGTGGTGCTGAGGTGACAGAGATAAGGAGTTGGTTAAGGCATCTCATTTGATGGCTGTGTTTCTCCTCCACAGTTTCCCTGGGAGCGAAAGGCTGAAGAACACAGAGGAACCAGGCCTCTTCAGCCTCCATCAGCCCTAAACGAAGAAACAGCAGCAGGTTAACCACTGATCATCCACTCCCAGACCGAGACAACTAGGTGAGGCTGACTAACCTGGCTACGACTCGCTCTCCATGGAAATAGTGATGGTCTCACTTTCATCTGTAATGAAAAAATATACCAGAATCAGGGATGTAAATGATTAACTGACAACAGTAGTTTGACCAACACTACTGGTTCAAAAGACTTTCATTTTATTGTATTTCCAACAACCATCAGTTCTTATTTGAATAGGTGGGTTTATCGTTCAGATTGAGAAACGTTTTTTAACTGTACGCATAATGGTGATATTAATAAGTGCACAACTTAAAACAGTAAGAATGCACTAATATATCAGCAGCGCAGTGGTTTTGGCAGATCATTGCTTAAAAAAAAAAAATCAGCATAAAACAGACACTTCAAATCGATATTTAATGATGTATTTATTGTATTCCAGAAGAGCAGAACACTTGATGATGTGATGATGGTGATGATGTGCTATGACTCAGAATAAGAATCACTACTTGGTCATGAATTTGTCTTTGTGAGTGCACGTGTGATATGTAACAGACTAAACACATCAGACAAGTTCACAGACTATTAACATACATTCAAAAGAAAGTAAGACATTTAAAGATGGGATGAATAAAAAAATATAAAAAATATTTTTTACTTTTGCTTTTTGGATTTTTTTTCAAACTGAGTGGAAAATATAACTTTAAAAGTTTTGAATATAAAATGCTCAGTAGCCCCTCATTATACATTCCAGTCATTTCATCAACTTTTTATTGTTTGGTCAATAGGCATATGGGTCTAATGAACATATTATAGCTGTCAGTTCCTCGGTTTAAACCACCTGGTTATCATCTAGGGTGTGTTTATATACACACACACACACACACACACACACACACACACACACACACACACACTGATGTCACACTATTCATGCTTAAATGCATCCGTTTTATGATCGATATATTGATGGGTCATGACTTTGGGTTTGCTGATTAATGATTAATCTTTGATTAATAATAACTGGTTATCGTTCAAAACAACTGGCCAAAGTTTGCACCCCAAATCAGAATCATAATCATTTTATTAGCAGAGTACACTCACACATTTCTTGGTGAAACTGGTGCTTATGTAAATGGACAATACAGAATTCCATTACATAGCCACCGAAACTGGAATTCAGGACAAATTCGTCCAGAGAGCAAAATCGTAAACCAAAATAAATTATACATAATTTGTTGTTTTAAATTAAATCTGCTTTTGAATTAACATTTGATGCTGCAAAGGCGATACTCACTATGCTGGCAAATTAAACAGAGAGAACTAGAGGACTCATCCAATTTTAAACAGCTTGCTGAATAATAAGCTGTTAAATTATTAAAAGATAATATTTGGTTTCCCAAAGGCACCTTAAGCTGAATTAAAGAGCGCCTCCACTATAACGACAGAAACACCTGTTTGTTTTTTTAACATGTAAAGCACGTGGGTGTAGCTTTAGAACTCCCATCTAGCAGTCTGAAGGTTCTCCGCTAGGGGGAGCTTTGGCACACAAGTCACTTTAGTGTTCATCATTTAGAGATGAAACAGCCATGAACCACAGAAGGATCTAACAAACACGTTTGAAGTAACAATTTTCAAAATGAGAGGTTTTACTTAGGTGATGAATTAAATCAGTAAATGCTAAACAGAATGAAAGACTGCATAGAACGCAGCTGCAGAGGACACAGTTTTGCGTTTCACCGTTTATTTGTTGCCACTCAATCCAAAACTGTGTTGACCACCACAGGAGAGCGAAGGACACAGGCAGCGTTTTTAATCACTATTACTCATTTTCATTATTATTCAGCTTATCTGCTAAGTGTCAGATTTGACACTCAACTGCAGACGTTTGCTCACCAAAAGTTTTGACCTTTGTTGCGCTTTTGTTTTGTATAAAAACTGCCACTTCCAAACATTTTCGGCAGCCACAATTTTAGTGCACCCCTAGTATTAACTATAAATTGACTATCTTTTAAATAGCTTTTGACTATAAGCAATAACTTACCAGACTTCACGGCATATCCCTGATCTTCGTTAGTGTGGAGGTGGTTGTCGAGCAGACGATTCTGAGATTCGCTCAGAGGACTGGACTGCTGGATGGATCCATCTTCAGCACTGTGGAGAAAGCACTGATCGGTTAAACACAACCTCATTTGTTGCTAACAGCCGTGAAGAGGTAACAGAAAAACAGCACATCACCTTTTGCTCTGGGTGTCAGGATGCACAACTACTGTTGGCTGCTCTGGATCAGTGGCCACCAGTCGAGTTGGAAATGTGAGGCCGTCGCCCTGGCTGTGGCAGAGAAAGGAAAAATCAGAGAAGACTTGCTTTCCTTACCAGCTATTTACATGACCAAATAAATAAATAAATAAATGAATAAGTAAATAAATAAATAAATAAATAAATAACCAGTAAAAATGAAATATGATGAAAACTCACAGAAAAAGTGTTTGAACCTATTTACACTCAGCTATCTGATGGTGAAAACAGCAGATACAAATGTAAGCAAGATACACATGAGACAGATTGTTATCTGATCGCTCAAACTGATATTTTTTTTTTCTTTGAAGCTGCTTAAATAACCTTCAATCCTACTAAAACTGATATAAGTAATGTATACGCAGAAAATTAATCATGGATGACTGTTACGCGTCAGTGCTCGACCACATGTATCCGATCTCTCCCTCACCCTCATGTCCTGTCCTGCCCTGTCTTTCTCACTCTCTCTTGTCCTGTCCTGCCCTGCTATCTGTCTTTCATACTTTGGTCGATGTATCACTGTTAGAGGCTTGACGTCTTCCATTTCAACACACAGAGTTCTGGCACGGGAGGAGGGCCTTGAGTTTTAAAAGCAGCACGGCAAAGTTTCCCCATGCTTCTGTGTATCGTACTTCCACATTTTATTTGTAGCTACATAAGCTTCACAAATGTTAACCACGCTACTTACGTACTCTTCTGACTCTTTTATCCATGCTAGCTTTGTAGTCACACTAGCCTTGTAACTCTTTCGTAACTTTTGGGGTCCTGCAGTCGTACTAACCTTACATACAGCATGTGGTTACTCAATCTATAGACACACCAGGCAAGGGAAGGGGGGGGGTTACCTTTGTATTTACTTTTTGTTATAGGTAAGAACAGTAACTTCTTTGTTTTGCTGGTACGTGAGGATTGATACTTCTGAGCTAAGGTAGTTCTTTTCGTTTGTTTGTTTGTTTTTGGTGGTTTCTTTCCTTTAGCGCCGCCCAGGTCAAGAAGTAAGAAACAGGCTTCACAACCTTTTATTGCTGATGGTGTAAATCATCATATTGCTGGTCTTATTTTGGCCTTACATTATTGTAGGTTTACTGTAGCACACATTAAACGGCAGAAAGCTGGAAGCTGTGTTTCGTGTTTCTTCCTGGTTCATTTTCACACTTCACTTTTAAAACATACATTAATGGCCCCACCTTTTCCTAGACCGCCTGTGGAGCCAGAGCACAAAATAACATAATAGTTCCTGCCACCTTCTGCATGGTTACTGTCATAAGCCAGTTTTTTAAATTGTATAAGCTAAAAAAAGGATTATATATAACTATATATAACTAGAAAATATCATGCTGATTACTTTTAGATATCACCCAGGCCTGCTCTGTGGCAACAGGCATCATGTCAGGAGATTCCACAACAGAATCTCTTGCGTTTGCATGAGACATGATAGTAGCACTTATACGAATCACATTTCTGCCCATCTAACAAAGATGCTTTTGTGTGACCAGCTGCAAGTGGACCGTGGATTAAGTCATAGGTGGATTATATCTGAAGTAAAATAAGTGTAAATAGGCTCTGAGCCTACCTGGTGAAGACCGGCAGGAGCCAATATTTCTTTTGGTCTCCAAACACCTGAGCAATGTTCTTGGTGAAACCCAGCGAGAATCCATTTTTATCGGGACCGTTTCTGAACACTGGAGCTCGGAACGCCTCTATACAGTGAGAGGAGACAACATCATGAAGACGTATGTACACTTCCCCAATAAATTCAGCTGTGGTGATTTGGGTTGACTGTGTGCCTTAGTGTAGACAGATACACAGAGGGGTGGAGATGGCTGGAGTGCGTTACCTATGGTGGATCTGTTCTTTCCTACTAGCCACAGGTGGTAAGTGAAGAGTGAGAGAATGCTGATGCAGAACATGGCCGCCACAAAAAAGAGAAATAAGACATGGAATTTGGCGTGAGAGTCTGGCAGGTCACTCTGAGAGAGGGGGAAAGAAAAGAGAGGAGAGCTGTAAGACAAGGGTCAACAAATGGGTAAGACACGGGTAACTACGACATGCCACTTAGACAACCCAAACGACACAAACCAACCACAGAGCCTTTAGGTAAAGAGAGACGACAGAGTGTTACTGGTTTATCGAGCTGGTGTGGACACACTACCAACAACAGGCACTAACACCGGTGATTACCTTTGGACAATTTTCTGCCGATTTCCTCCGGCAAAGCTTAGTGCAAACAGAGACAGACTGTTAGACACAAGGAGAGGACAGCAGGGAAGCACAAGTGTACAGGACTCAACAGCTACTAGGGGAGAGAAAAGCAAGGAAGGGTTACAACATCTGATCAGACAGGAACACAACAGGCAGCGGCCAACATGGAACACAGAGGAGAGGAATGTGAATGATGAATGGGAAAGGAAATGCCAAGAGAGCCAAGAGAGGGGATCAGCGCTGGTGAGAAGATGTCAGAGATATTCATAAGTCACTTAGCTCAAGTCCAAATCAAGTCTCGAGTTTCAAGTCTTGAGTCATGAACTTTAGTTAAAGTCAATATGAATCAGAAACCATAACGAGTTTCTTTCCATACCGTGACGGTATCAGGGTGGCTATCTGAACACTGTCGCTCAGGGGTAAGTGAGGGTTTTGGGAGACGGAGGTAAAACATATTATATTAAACATATAACTTGTTAATTATTAATATTTTTTTCACACCCAGACTCAGGAAAACAGTCAGTACATTAGGGCTGCAATGTATATTCGATAAACCGCCAAATTCGATGTAAAAGGAAAGCTATTCGAATAATTGATACTTTTAACTGTTTTATGAAACCAAATAATCAGTGCATTTGGGGTTTCAGTGCATCATTTGTCAACAATGAAGCTGTATGCTAGTGAGTCACTAGTAGTGCGCAGTAGCAGCGCATCTGAAGAAAGGAAGAGAATCATCGCACAAAAACAGCGATTTATAGTCTTTTTTATTAAACAGTATTTACAGCCTTTTTTCATGTCAGTCAAACAGTCCTTTCCTGTCAAAGTCATGGTGAGGTGTTGAGAGTCTACTTCTAACTGCCTGTATTAGAGCTCTAATGTGAGGCAATAACGTTGGTTTTAAATCGCCCAGTTCAGTCCAACCGCTTTGCCTACTGCTCTGTACCGCCAGCAAGTGTGCTCAAGAATGTTCTGGCTATCGAAGCATCCACCCAAAGCAGAAAGAAACCCTAGTCAGGCTGCACAGGATGAGACTAACACAGCTGAGCTTCAGAATCAGGTACAAAGTGTTTTTTGAGCAGCTGAAAAACTAACAAAGAATCAGTATGACATCTAGAACATGGTCACCCACTCCCTCACTGACGAGAAGTGACCGTAAAGGCTTTCAGTTTTTCAAACAATGTGGTTACAAAGAACACAGTCACATTCTGAGCACCCTGGTCAGGTTGGATGGGTCTCTAACATAAATAGTTGATTCCTAGCAATTATTTTAAAAAGCTAATAATTAACAACAACAACAACAACAACAACAACAACAACAACAATAATAAATGATAATAAGTTTCTAAGAACAATAACACAAACAAATAACCTTTTTTTTTTAATTCAATCAATAAAGGTAAAACTCATATCCTGAGCTTTTCCTAGTCTTGTAGAATATTTGAACATATGAGATAATATTGGAAGTGAAAATATTCTATAGTTGCAGCCCTACATTTTATACTGATGGCTGTAGGAAGGAAACAAAATTACAGCCACTGAAAAATTTCATCCAAAAATGATCAAAAGTGGCACTTTCATTTTTCGGATGAAAGAGAAAAGGCCTAAAATCCTGCCTAAAAAAGGCTTATAATAAAGTTTCAAAATCTAACATGTTACAAATGACCTGAATGCTAATAAAAATGAAAAATAAATCATTAAATGCGCTGTTTGTCCCTGCGTGGGTCAGCGCAGTCATTTTAAAACAGATAAACAGTGAAAATGTTTCCATTACAGGTTTGAGATTAGAGCAACAGAAACAAAAAGTAAAGTCTTAGTTCTGTCCTACTGAAAGGACCAATTACCAATAAATAATAGTTTTTTGGGTTTCGGTTTAACATATCTTAAAAATGCATCTTAAAAACTCAGTTTTGGTCAGGAATTTTCATTTCAGTGCATCACTATACAGAAAACTACATAAACACAAGCCTGCTTATTTCTGAGGGAGACCCTGCAATGCATACCCAGCCAAAGCGACAGGCTAAATTGCATAGATAAGGTTGGAAATGGTTTCTATTTATTTACCCTGTCAGGGTTGATGGTCCGAACTTAATAGCTGTAGTTCACATTATTTTCCCCCTAGTCTAAAGTCGGGGTCAAGCAACAAGTCAGTCAAGGGCAAGAACCGGTTAAATCAACATGTTAAGTCAGTCAACATGCCACTGAAGTGCGACTCATTTAAGTCGCTAACTGAAGTCCCCCTCTCTGGCGGGCGGAAATGCAGACAGAGAGAGAAAAGCAAATCAACACAAGAAGGCTTAGTTTGACTAGATGCATGCAGGAAGAACACACATCATAAATATATTACTGTCTAATGGAACAGCAGACACCCAGCACTCAGCCCAAATCACTTTAGATCATGAGTGTGAAGATGTTTATAAAGAGGAGAAACAAAAACAAAACGAGAACAGAAAAAAAGAAGAAATGACCCTGAAAAAGCGATGCATCCTAAATGACGACTACTCACTGTCCAAAACTTGATGAAGTACTGGAGGACAGTGGCGGCGATAAATAAACAATAAATCAGCGAGTACGCTAGGAACAAGATGAAGAACTTGTAATTGGAGAAGCCCACACAGTTGTTCACCCTGTGGAAAAGATAAAAACGCAGCACAATGTAACATACAAAGAAAAAGAATTCTTAAAATTCTCCAAAAATACAAGAACGTTTAACAGTTTACTCACCACGGACAGTGATGATCCATCTTTAACACACACCTATAAATAAAAGTTAAATAAAAATTCATTCAGATTAAAGGGAATATATACCATCTTATTTATTTTAGAACGTCCTTACGTACTGAGACTGTGAGAAATTGTGAAATTATTATCCATAGCAGTACAGACTTTGTAAATTTCTAATAAATAAATGTAATAATTTATTAATTTGAATAAATCTCTACCCTGTGATGTCAATCTGAATCATCGCTAAATTCCATGTACGTTAAAAGTTTAGACATACAGTGGGGTTCAAAAGTCTGAGACCACTTATGAAAATGCTTCTATTTTGCATTATTTTCCAATTCAATATTATTTTTTATTACAAATGATTAGCACAATAATTTTAGTGTATCGTTTAAATATTTACATGCATTTCACAATTTCTTAGCATTTGGCAAACTATGCTGTCCTTTTGCTTTAATGACAGTGAACTGGCATGACCAGCATGTGCAAAAGCCTCTGATAAGATCTTCGAATGGACCTGCGAGTCGTCTGAACACGAGCTTGAATGGAAAGTATAAGAAAAAAAAGACCTTCTTGTTCAAAGGCTTAAACATTTTTTAAATTTGCAATGACCTAAAAATGATCCTGAATATTTCAAATTTATTTTACTTGTCATAACTCCTAATTTTTCAAAAATATATACATTTCTGTTGTTTATTTCCAGGTTTAAATGAAGAAAAAAAAACAAACAGACTTTAAATATCAAACTTTGAGACCTCGGATACAGATACAGAGTATAGGTACAGCGTGGTCAATCAGCAGTCAATCAGCAGTGTGAGGAGTCTATCGTGCATAGGCACAACTTGGGGGAGTGGAAGGGGAAGGGGGTCTGGGGTCAAGGGACACAGCCCAACAAGTTATTATCAGCCCACAAAGTCATTATGTAAAACTTCTTCAAGCCTTTGGAAATGCATTTCAAGTGGTTCCTTTTGAAGCAGCCTGAGAAAATGCCAGGAGTCTGGCAGAATCAAAAAACAACTTTGATTTTATTTTAATGATCAGTGCATAAATCCATGTGTGTTGTTTAGATTTACAGTTTGATGCCTTCACTTCAATTTTAAAATGATTAAAAATAGTGAGCTAAAAATGAAGGAAAATCATTCTATGAGTAAATGTGTCTCAACTTTTGCGTGCTAGAGCAGTTCTGGTCATTCTTCATAAGGTAAGGAATTATTCCTAGTCTTTGAGAAACCACAACCTGATGTTTCCTTACTTGTTCCAAGTCATGATTTTTAGGGAAAAGGTGCACCACTACAACCATACAGTTCAGAGAAAATCCACAGAGAACCCAAAAACATAGATTTGACGATAATAATGTTTCCATCCATCCATCTTCTAAGCTGCTTATCCTTCTGGGTCACGGGGGGGAGGTGAGCCTATCCAGGTTCATCGGGCGGAAGGCAGGAAACACCCTGGACAGGTCGGCAGTCCATCACAGGGCCAATTATGATGTTTGCCAAATGCAAATCAAACTGCCCAAAATTAGATTACCGTCACACTTGACAACCAAAAGCCTGTTTTGTTCATGTGCTTCTCTTATTGCAAGCTTAACAGCAATTCATGCTACTACAGAATGAAATTACACCTCTAGGGTAGCTCTTTTAAGTGGTGCTCTTACAATCAAGCAGCGTCAGAACCCACTTTCTACTGGGTAAATACCAAAAAATATTTTTATGGCCTTTAATATGAGCAATATTCTTGTTATTACTGTCCTGGTGAACATAAAATGTACTTTAGATCACTCAAATTCCCCTTTATGTACTGGATATCAGTTTACACCGATGCACAAGATCTCTTTAGCTCAGTTATCAGCACTGACCCTGATGGGTTGCTGCACCAAACAGGCAGAGCATCTTACGTAGCTTATGAAAGCGATAAGGACTTCTACTCACATGTCACACGCAGAGCAGTGATGGCACCTGTCTGGTTTGATCACCTGGCAGCGGTCACAGTACCGGATGGCTAGAAGGAAGGAAATAATCTTGAACTCTTTTTAGACGCAAAACAAGAACTTGCTTAGCAATAAAAAGTGCAGCCATGGAGAACACAGACCGTCAGCAGTGATACACCGATTATGAATGAGCCAGGTACTGATTAGAACCTTTAAGAAATGAATCAACCAATCAAATGCCCAGTTTAAATGATCCCTTCAGCAACACAACAACATATCAAATTCACATTGCACATCCTCTGAGGAAAAGCATGGTGTGAGCAACATAGCAGCCAAACAAAAGCATATAGGAATGAAACTCAATGAGAATTTCAGTCCACTGAGCTCACACTATGCTGAAATTTCACAGCCTCTGTACTCTTAAGGTGATCCTTCTCTGGCCTTCTAGGCTAATAATTTACCCACACGATGCGAAGCAGCTGGAATCAGCACTTCTGCTGTCCAGTAAGAACAAGAATGGATGAATGGGGTAAAGCAGAGCACTACTTAATTAAAGCAAGAAAAAAAAAGAGAGAGAGAGAGACACCTCCATGTAAAACTGTGTAGAAATTTGAGCACCCCAGTCAGATTACATGTTTTATTGATTTTCTAAGTGAGAATTCCACTACATATGGATACTGAAAAGGCACTGTGTTTACACTTCTGTTAAATATGGTCAAGATCTCTCTCTGACCAATGTGGTTTGAGTGATCCGATCGTAGTCTGATAATGGCGCGTCCTGAGTGTATTTCCACCCGGATTTTCATGCAGTCTAGAGAAATCCAAACCTGATCCGATCACTGAAAATGCACGTTACTGCAAAACGTAAACAGGCCCTTTAACAGAAAACGTGTTCCTTTTGCCTGGTGTAGATGCTATGCATACACTTGGCAGCATCAAAAAAAACTGCAAAAAAGCTATTTATCAACATCTAGGTCCCACTTTTAGGCCACACAAATCCTTTAGGCCAAACACAGCCACTGGTCTGTCACATTCAAGTGCCTCACCTCCAGCTCCAGTGCGAGTGTAGAGCGGCAGACCGCTGGCCACTCTCTTCAGGATCTCTTGCTGAGTCTCTGGACGCTCCTCTTTCTCATACTGCTCCTTCTCAGCTTTGGGCAAGCAAAACTGAAACACATTCACATTCAGTCAACATCAGCATCTGCATCTGCTTCTGCTTAAGGCCAATTCCAGTGACATACAGGAGATTTACAAATGCCTCAGACCTCATGCCAATGCAACAATATGCATATCTAATTTGGGCAAAATGACAAATCAAATCGCATTAATTTTGCATTTTATAGCTGCATAGCAATTAATTAGAGTTAAGCACAGAGGAAAAATTGCCATTATGAGTGTAATGTGTCTCAAACAGCACTCCATGGAGCAATGGAACGGCTTTCTTTGGGAGTGATTGGGTACTATCCAACATACCGTCGCTGTCCAAAGAAAAACAAGTATCTCCAAAAAAGTAACTTTACAGTAGAGGGCAAAACCCCTCTTACCTTCACTGTAAGTTAATGTAAAGAGGCTTCATTCCAAGTGATTCTGAAGCATTTCTATTTGTCCACTCATCATGAGATTTCTGAAAATCATGAAGGATAGCTATTGTGTTGAAATGATGCAGAAAAATTAAAATGGACAAAAATGGAGATGCATGGTTTTTATTGGACAGCGACGATATCTAGGATCAGTTGGAGTGACCCTTATGATTCAGAACTAATCATCCAACATCAGTACAGTAAGACCCCATTTACACCTGGTCACTTCATATGACTAGTATCCTAAAAAGATTTTAGGCACATGCATTTACACTTGGTAGTCAAGTGCATATCCAGTTAGTCAGACTGAAATCCGATTGCTATGTGGGACGGAATATGCAAATCCGCTCGTTACACAGCAAACAGATACTGGTTGTTTATTAAGTCATCTGCTGTTTGTTTTTGCACAGAAGTGTCCATTCATATCGCGATTACGCATTTTGTTTTGTCCGGTCCCCGAGCATGTGTGTCCTCCATGATTATCTTCCTCGCAGACATGGGCTGTGTTCCAAATAGCATACTGTGTACTGCATCAATATATACTGTATACTTCATCAGCAGTATAATGTACAGCATTCAAGTCGTTTGCTGTACTACCGAACAGGGGCAGGGCTAGACTGCCAACATCAGGGACTGAGCCACTCAAGACCATCCCAGGATCCACCCCAGCCCCCCAATCACTCCTTTGCAACCGTTGCTAACCAGTTTTCAGCGTTTATGTTCATATTTTGGTCGAGAGATGTGCCTGTGCGACTTTTAAAATAAACCCCATACCATGACAGAGAGCAGGGCGTTGTTTTTCACCCGTCTTTAAAGCTCTAAATAAACTTTAAAAATGTCAGTTCTGGGTTCATCTGTGTGGTAAACCTGTGGTTTCCTAACTTCTCCATTAGCGAGACATTTCATTTTCATTACATTCAGTCAGACTAGCTCATATGGTAATATGAGCTAGTCTGACTGAAGAAAAGCGCTGTGACTCCAAACACGAACCTGAAAAGCGATGAGCGGATTCTTCAGCTGAGTTACTGTTTCATCCACATCCTGTGTGTATTTTTACTGTTAAATAGACAAAGTAAGAAATCCCTCTTCAACACCAGCAGAGAAAGCTGCTGTGGCTTCCATGTGGCAGTGAGTGCAGCAGGATATGGTCAAATTTCTCTCGTTTTGCAGTTTATAATGTATAGATGAAAGGCTGAATTCAGCGCTATTAAAAATATCCAGGCAGTTACATCAGTGGTTACATCCTCCCGGAAAAGCCACATTGCATTTTGGGATGCAGTATATCACGGAGATAGCTCTGGCAGCATACAGGAAAAATCTGCTGGAGCAGCACATATTTCAGAAATTCATGTTGGTCACATTCTGCATACTACTTACTACTTTGGGCAGAGCAGTATGTTGTGAGCTATTTCAAACACACAGCCACGGATAATGTGCCCAGAGACACACTGCATTGGGAGTAGTTTCAGTTGTACTGGGGTGTTTTGGTTGTTGAATGTGTCTTGGAGAGAGGGATGCATTTACACAGCTGCAACATGTGGATCACATGGGTCTCAGACCACCTTCTGAAGTGGTCTGAGCCATCGGATTCGTATCTGTTCTAAATGCGTCTTGGGTGTGTTTACACTTGCATTTTTATGTGGCCTGGCCTCATCCAGATATAATCCTGATCATCAAAACACATGAAGTTATCAGGTGTAAACGAGGTCTAATGCTTTTATGGCTGAATGCAATCAAATCCTTACAGCAATGTTCTAATATCTAAGTGGAAAGTCTTCCCAGAGGAGTAGAGGCTGTTACCGCAGCTAACAGTGACAAACTCCTTATTAACACTCCAGATTTTGGAAGAAACTTTGGACGAGCTGGTGTCTACAAACTTTTGGAGACGTAATATTCAATGCACAATAATAGCTTTTTTAATTAAAGTCAAATGAATATGTAAATGACAAATGAAATGTGGTTTCATTCCTGTGCTAACAACTTTATTTGCCCATGGTGAGGTTAACATCTGCATGAGATTGTCCTTATCAAATATGCACTAAGGTTAGCATTCACACCTGTCCACTTAATCAAGATTGTAAAATGAATAGTAAGTTATGTATCGACTGAACAGATATTGCAATCGGAATTAGAAAAATGGTGCACATCACAAATGAGTAAAGCATGAAAATAAAAGTTGACCAAGCACTAAAAAAACAAACAAACAAACAAAACAAAACAAATTTTCCTACTTTTCAGGTAGCTCACCTCTTTGGATGGGTTTGCTGGTCTCGTGAAGATGGTCTTCCAATAAGACCAAACAAACATGATGAACGAGAGGTGAAACACAACCAAGTAGATTACTGTAAGGAACAGAGAGCATGTGTGTAAGCAAATGTGGACTCAATGAGAGTGAAAGTGCCATAAATTTGCTTTGGGAGGGGATTGAATTAATGGTCTTAATTCTCAGAGAGGCTGACACATGAGGAATGGACTGAAGAGGTAGACAGTGAGCTGACTGCGTCCTTCCCCAGGCTGTTGGTTTTCATTACTGATGCAGTTTAGCTGATGTTCAGCACAAACAGGAGATTGCTATTGAGCTCCAGTCTTTTAAAGTATGCAACAGATGCCTCTTCTGGCAGAGAAGTTGTCCTCATTTGACATACAAATATACTCTCTACAACAATACCTTGAACTTTTTACAATATAAAATATATAGTTAGGTTAAATCAACTGTGGCCAATTATACTAGGCCTTATGAGGATGATGCACAGTAATACTACAGGGATTTATATAGAATTCCTATAAGACAGTACTACAGGATAACATTACAGATTATTATACAAGTATTATAAAGCTCTATAGAAAACTTACAGTTTCTCATAGCACTACTATACTTCTCTGTAAGGGAGGATGTGTGAACACTTACTTTTTTCGCCAGTACTCGGAATTGTGCCTGTAAGGAGACAGGAAAACACTTACAAACTGTTTTGTAAAGCAATTCAGCAGCATATATATTAATCAAGTCTATTTCACTTTCCTCTAATTAACAACAAATGACATTTGGACAAACTGGACATAGGTTATGATGCCATATAATCTGTCTAACATAATACAGATCATTTACAATAATGTTTCCAACTTTCAGGCTTAAACTAGTGTGTCAAGCAAGCTGTCTATGTATGATAGTTCTTACAAGCCACTTTCCACAGATTTTTCAACATTTCTGTGTAATTGTTAAGACATAAACAAAGGCATTCCGAGTGGCCTGACGTGAAATGCACCATTCTGGAGAAACCAAGTGAGAATTGTTCACAGCAGTGCTAATAGGAAACGGCTGTCTGAAGTGTTAAATGTCTCTAAAAGCTACTTCACAGAAAGTTTTTACACAACCTGTTTACAAGCAAGTTGTCTGGCACCCAAGATCTGGTTTTATGATAGTTTGGAGAAGGTTTTGATCTAAAACATACTTTAAAATACATTCTTGCCAGAGAGATAAGTACAGGGTGTCATCAAGCAAAGTAGGCTAGAAGCAACAAAAAAAACCCTTATTTTGTCAGATTTAGCCCTTTGTCACCAATATAAACATCACATACAGAAACTCAGAAGAGACGTGTAGGTTCACTGGTCATTTTGGAAAGTAAATAAAATGGTTATATTTGTATTGCAGGCATTGGTTCCTATCTCCACCACTGTTAAGAAGGGTGTAAGTTTCTCTACCATGTAACATAACAGTTCACTGTAAATCACTCCTTGTTTGTGACTTTGTTTACACCTCAACGTCTGAATTATACAGACATTTGGAGAAACCCCCTTTAAGTAACAGGTAAGGAGGTCTAGAGATTTCCAACTCTGCAGTTTCTTTTCAGAGAATCGATTCTCACATAAAACTCCGACACCAGGTACTTTCGTTGAGCAGTAAATTGTCTTTTTATGACACTAAAGATATGATGTTGCACTTCTTTTTCTTGTGCTCACATATTTATAATATCAGATCTTATGTAGTTAAAGGGCAACTCCACCAATTTTTTAAAAATTCTATATAAATAAATGGTTGAGATGTAAACAAAGCCATTCAGAGTTGTTGGATGTGAAATGCTCTATTCTAGAGAACCTTGCCGAGTCAGAATCGATCACAGTGGTGGTGATAGGAACCAGATATCCGCCTCTGAAAGCTCCCTCACAAAAATTGACTACATGAAATGAATAGACAGATGCTCCCTGATGTCTGACACAATAGTTTTGTGATAAGGTTTTGGCTTAAAATGTATTTGAATCCATTCATTTTGACCTATTTAAGGCAGCGGGGTACAAGCAGGGCGTTGTAAGGCGAAATAGTCCAAAAAGAAAACTTTTTTTTTTGTTGTATGACTATTTTACCACTATTAACACTACATATAAAAACTCAAGAGACATGAGTTGGTGCACTGATGATTTTGCATTGTAAATAAAATGGCTATTTTTGTGATCCATGGTTCCTATCACCACCACTGTATGTAAGTTTCTCTAAAATGAACCATTTCACGTCAAACCACTCTGAATGACTGTTTACACCTCAAACACTGAATTACTGAGAAGTTTTTTAAAACTGGTGGAGTTCCCCTTTAACCTATTTCACTCCACTAAAAGGTTAGTTTATGTGGCGTCAGTTTCCTAACTCAGCTTATCTGCGCATAGACATATTTCGAATATATGTTTCTGGGAGAGTCCACGTTTACTGGTTTTCTCTGTAGAGAACTGAAAGAATTCCGCTTATGCTCGCAAGAAGACTTTGAATAATACCGAAAATAGAAGAGCAGTGGAGCCCAGCCCTAGTAACAGGTTGAGCAATCTGACTGAGACTGCTGAGTTAAGCTAGGCGGCTAATTATACCAAAGTGTACCTAGCTAAAGCTAACACTGCAGTACAATGGCTACAAAACACAGCCGCGGGTCTCCGCCTCATTTCGAAGTCAAACAACCAGCCTGACACCTCATTTTCACTCAGTTTGACCAACAACACCGACAGAACACGTCGCCCAAAGATTTAATCACACTTAGCTCGCTGGCTAAGTAAACAGACACCAAGTCCGCCTAAGTTGGCTCACTATTCGCCAGCGTCTTGTTCGAATTTCCCCGTTCCACCTTAAATGGTGCGGCAGTTACATTGTAGCGCCCGAGGCGCCAGAATATAACTGCTGCACCATTTAAGGTGGAACGGGAAAATTCGAACAAGACCCTGGAGTGCAGTGTATACATTCAGGTTAACTAGACACGAGCAATAACACACGGATAAACAAGACGAGCACGACATGAACAGCGGAACACGCGTACATAACATTAATACAATAATCACATTTAACGTTCAATGAAAATGTGAGGCAATTAGCGAGATAATAAGCCGTCTAAGACGGCCAAACAGCTCCAATCACTTCCTATTCAAGTTATCCAGCGAGCGATCTATCGCAAGAAGTAGCTGGCTAAAAACAGGCTGGTGGAAATAAATGAACTTACATATACAAAGCTCCACCACGTAGGCATAATATGACCAGCATACAACTAAGGCGATAAATATGACCGGTATCCAAGCCAGACCGCGCTGACAGCATCTCAATACATGTGAAGGCGCCATCTTTTACGGCCACTCTACAAAGACGGGCGTTCAAAACCCACATCCAGTGTTCAGAGCAGGCTGGCCCTGCACTCCAGCTCACAGCTCACAGCTCTGAGCATGTGGACATAAAATCAAAGATATCTGTTCTATAAGAGCAAACATTAAGTACGTCTTCAAGTCCAATTCTACGGAGCCCCGCTGGTGACATCCTGCATAAATAAAAATAATGCGTGGCCACGACTTAATAAAGCGTGGGAACGAGATCCTAATGTGTGGCCACGACTTAGTAAGCTGTGATCTCGTTCCCACGCCTTACTAAGTCACGGCTACGACTTAATCATCTCCTTCCCATGCCTTAGTAAGTTGTGGCCACGCATTAGGATCTCGTTCCCACACGTTAATACGTCATGGCCACGCATTATTTTTATTTATACAGGATGTCACCAGCGGGGCTCCGTAGGATGGTTCTTCAGGGGTTCTATTTAGAACCATGAGTTCTATATAGAACCATTTCATGCTTAAATACGGAGCCCCGCTGTTGACATCCTGCATAAATAAAAATAATGCATGGCTACGCCTTATTAACGCGTGGGAACGAGATCCTAATGCGTGGGCACGACTTAGTAAGGCGTGGGAATGAGAGGATTAAGTTGTGGCCACGAGACCACGCATTATTTTTATTTATGCAGAATGTCACCAGCAGGGCTCCGTATTTAAGCATGAAATGGATCTCATTCCCACGCTTTACTAAGGCGTGGCCACGCATTATTTTTATTTATACAGGATGTCACCAGCGGGGCTCTGTAGTATTAAAGCATGGGAACGAGATAATTAAGTCGTGACCATGACTTAGTGAGGCGTGAGACAAGATCTTGCCTTACTAAACTGTGGCTTAATTGTCTCATTCCCATGCCTTACTAACTCGGGCCACGTATTAGGATATTGTTCCCATGCCTTACTACATTGTGGTCACAACTTAATTATCTCGTTCCCATGACTCACTAAGTCATGGCCACACATTATTTTTATTTATACGGGATGTCACCAGCAGGGCTCTGTACTTAAATGACTCGCTGCATAGTGAAATCGTTCTTCAGATTGACGGAGATTGTGGCTTACCAAGTCGTGGCCACGCATTAGGATCTCGTTCCCACACTTTACTAAGTCGTGGCCATGCATTATTTTTATTTATACAGGATGTATCCTTAGGGTTCTGCTATTGTTACAATATCAAGTTTGTGACAATAGAACCCTTTTTGATGCTATATTGAACCATTTCCAAAAAGGATCTATACAGAGCCACATTCTCCATCAATCCGAGGAACCATTTCACTATGCAAAGAACCTTTAAGGCATTAACCGGCTCTAAACAGAACTCAGGGTTCTACATAGAACCATCACCTTCTTTAAAGAACCCTTGAAGAACCATCTTTTTCAAGTGTGTGCTCAGATCGCTTACCCAGCATGATTGGTCACCAGCAAAACAGGCATATGTTGTGATTTGGATACTGGTATACTGGTCAGCAGCAATGGAAGTTATACTGATCACCAGCAAAAACAGCATATGTTGTGTTTTGGATGTTGATATGCTGGTCAACCAGCATGACCATGCTGGCTGACCAACTAAACCAGCTCCAGACCAGTACAAGACCAGCATATACCAGTGTGGACCGGCATGGAATGGTATATTTGTAAGGAATCTACTTTTTATTCAGTTACATTTTTGTTATTAACATTTAGTGTCTAATTCATTTTTGTTTTTCATTGTTACTTTGGTGACATCATGTACTGCTTTGATGTTTATTTTTTTAGATAAAAGAGAATAGTTCCTGCTTCAGTCCCTCAGCTGACAGATACTGGATAGGAGTGGGCAATATGGCAAAAATATCAATACTTCGAGACATTTTCTCGATAAACAATAAGAATCCAGGTTTAAAAAGTTAACACTGTCAAAAAAGACAGTAGTGCCACATTTAAAAAGCCTATCAAAGCCCATCAATACAATGATTTTCATTAAGTTACACATACTGCACTGCACTAAATCTAATTAAACATGATTAAATAGAATAAAATTATGCTCTCTTTGCAAGGAATCATGCAGTTAGTCAGTGATATTCATGATATGCTAGGAAAGCATACTGTGACATAATTTATCACAATAGTGACAAATATCACCATGTCACCCACCCCAGTGCTGGGTGTGCTAAAAAGCTCCAATGTAGTTTCAGGTAACTCAAGAAGTTTTTAGGAAAAGTACTTTTACGTGTACTTGAGTCATCATTTTATTGCAGGAACAGTACTTGTACTTGAGTATGAGTTTAGGTTACCACACCCACATGTGCATATATTTAAGCTAAATATGCCCTGAAAATTTTGCTTTTAAAGTCAACCATAATCCAAAATTTGACTTTATGTCCCTGGTCATATTAAGAAAATTAAATTTACCAATAACATATTTTACCTCCCCTTCCTACCAGCCCCACCAATCATTCAGCAAAGATGCTCAGCAGGCTCAAGAGACCCCCCCCCCGATACCATGATTTAACTCAGAAATACACCACGTTACGAAAAGAAAACGACTTATGCTTCTGATTCACGTTGATTTCAACATTTTTAACTGAATTATGTCTTACCTACTATTCCACTCAGCTAACACCCAACACAAGACATTGGAGAAATTGTTTCCTTTTATTAATAAACCTTTCTCAAGTCAAAAAATACCAGTTTGCACATAAAGTCTAGAAAAGATTTGTACTATTTGGTAATGACATAACAGACGAAACAGAAACATCAAATGGGCACGCAAACTACACATTTCATACTGGTTGCCACCACCTATTGGTACATTTCAAGAAGCAAGAAAGTACACAGGGGGTCATGATCTCAAACCGACGGTGAAGAATAGTTAACATGCTATATGGACTGACATATATACAGTCACAGAGCACAGTGAGGCAAATAAAGTGACTAACGCGTAGCGGGGCTGAGATCATGAATGCTTCTCAAAACCAAACAGCTCCTTATTGAGGTTTCTTCAAACGTCCCATCATGCCATCAACTGCGGTGGGTTGTAAATTCATTTCACATCATCACGTCAGTACTCCAACGCTGAGAGTCCCACGCCACTAGCCAAGCGGCAGTGGCAGCACAGCGTCATATCATCGGAGCAAGAAATACACGGAAAAAGATAAAGTACAGGACAGTTTGAACGGTGAAACACAAAACATTTTCCAATGTGCTAAGGACAGTTTTCTCTTAAGGGAATAACGTTTTCAACCTGATTTCTGTCGCCCACATGTGCAGCATGTGGTCGATGACCACAGACGACTGACGCATTTCAATGTACTTAGAATAAGAATACAAAAGCCTGTTGACTCAAAACTCACTTATTATAATAAAACAATGGGCAGTTGCTTCATCTGCCTATTGGCTTTTATATACAAGTGAGTCAGTCAGGATTCAACATGCTTTATCTGTTCTTTTCTAAGTACAGAGATATACACTGAAATCGTCTGGGGTAATCGATGGTATAATGCAGATACAGAAGGTTGAAAATGCTGATGTATTCCTTTAAGCATACCCATCAAAAATATAGACATCTGTGACTAACGCTGAAATCTTGTGGCCTAAATGCTTATTCCCTTTACCCCTTTCACATCAGCTGTTCTATCTTTTGCCCCTCTTGTTGCCCGCTGGAGGCTTTTTGAGCTGCAACAGAGGCCCTCCTGTGCCGAATCCTGCCGTCGGAGTGTTGGACACCCCGAAGGTAAGCCCGGCAGATGCGTTGATTCCTGGGTTACTGAAGTTAAAGCCAGAGGTGCCGGAGCTTCCGAACCCTGTGTGAAAAAGAGAACTACGTCAGATATATTTCAACACTGTGCAGGAAACACTACACTTATCCAGTTTGAGATAAAGGACAGGCAGTAACTGGTTACATTTACTCAGTGATGTGAATTTGTACCTTCCTGAGGACTTTCCATTGAAGTATGAATGGGTGTTTTGTACTTGTCTGGCTTTCTGAACTTAACTGAGGCAGCTGTTTTACAGCTCAGGCCCCACCCCCTTTTAAACAGGGAAAACAGCTGACAGGAAATAAGTGTACAAAACTGAAGTACAGGCTGTTACATAATCCTCAATGCGGCGTGTGTAACCCTGAACAGCTTCAGCTCATTCCAGAGCTGATCTCAGAGGAAAACGGACAGGGACGGAGGAGGGAGATGTTAGTAATACACAGTCAGTGGTGGTGTGAGGACGTGGGGGAGGGTGCTATGGAACACACCTGCGCTCAAGCTCCCTCCAGATGGCTTGCTAGCGGAAAAACCGAACGACGAGCCTCCAGTCGCCACAGCCCCGAACCCCGGCCCGCTCCCAAAAGCTGCCAAGAGACAGACCGGGACAAACTTAATTGGTGCTCTGATACATTCACCAATATTGCTGTCAGATTAAAAGAATACTCCAGCATTTTTCAACCTAATCTCAATCTGCTGCATCTGGGCCATAGAGTGGTATTAGAATCATTTCAACACTTCTCAGACAGAAATCACGTCGACTCTATCAGGAGGCCTCAGGCACCCCACAGGTGGTCCAAATCTTTTGCTTTAACCCAACTCACAACACATAGGGATAGAGCAAAACGTGGACTGTTTGGGGGTCCCTGAGGACCGTTTTGAGAACCACTAGACTACTAACATACTTAGAGGCCTACAGGCAGTTGCTAAAGCAAAGGATGTACACCATAAACCTACATAAGCACGTATGAACACATTTCAATAAGTGTTATTTCTTAGAAAAGTTGCATTTGCTTTGATGTCAAGTTGACATAACGTCTATTGTCAAGTGACATTGATTTTAGGTTGACATTAGGTTGTCATGACACGTTCTGGAGTAAAACAGATCTTGTAGCTCAGTGTATGTCACAGTGACATAAGCTTGATAAGTCAGGCTGGTTGAACAAAAGTAAGCATTTTCTGTATTCATACATAAAGTTAAAGTCCATTGTCATGAAGATGCTTATGTAGGTGTCATGTAGCCTTATGAACACTGCCCTACCATTAAAAGTTATCAAAAAGAAACAGCAAGAACAGCAGGTACTAAAACAAAGGATAGAAACAGAAAAGAACACAGAATAATATAAAGAGAGCCCACTGACTCAAAACCTGCTATCCTTGGTTTCTATTATTAGTGTTTTTAGTCAGGTTTTCACTGGGAAACGTGTGGTGAAACATTGGTGTAGTAAATGACTATACAATACAGATGCAGCAGATAGGGACTGAATTAAAACTGGAGTATTCCTTTAACAGAGCAGACCACTGATAGATCATCTTATGTACACCCACAGAGAACAAAAGAGGAAAAGAAACAGGATCACACAGAAAATAAAAGGAGCAGTGCAGGTTGTCTAACCACCAATCACACTCACAAACAACCTATATCTGCCACTGTATATACACACTACTGTATGCTATGAGCCCATGGGCTCCTTGCACATTTATAGTCTTCTGCATTTCTTGCCAGCGAGAGCACATTTTCTGCAGCGCAATGATGGAAGCTGAAAGCATAAAAGAGGGAGTACCTCCAAGGCTGGTAGAGCCCATACTAGTGCCCATGCCCGAGGCAAAGGGAGTCCCAAAACTCGCCCCCAGGGGCGCCTGTGTTCCTGGGACAAAGAAAGAGAGCAGAGCTTACTCTCAAAGAGGTGCACCTAACGCTGCCTGGAGACGTGTTTAAAAAAAAAAAAAGTTTCTTTTCAAATACGAGGAAGCTCTCAGGAAGCACACAGTGAGATTTGAGTGGCACGTAGTGCAGTTTATCAATGTTTTATGATCTATATGATAACGTTTTATGATCTAAGAGAACGTATGCTTATCTGATGCTGTACCGCTTAAGCAACTCTTTATGGTGACAGAGATTCAGTTGTTTGCTTAGTTTATATCATTTATGCTCCGCATCTCTGATACACTACTTACCTGGAGTACAGAACACCGTCCTAGTTTAAAGACTAACCTTATCCTCTTATCACCTTAAATCATACCTGCAAAAACGTTACACAATAGCTGTGCTCCTGTCTCGTTTCCTTTTAGCTGGTTTAATATATCTTCCAAATTTAGGTTTTTCTCTTTAATTTAGAGATGCGAGGTCATGAATAGAAATTAGCATCTCAAATTGACTATATTTCATCCAATTGATGTAAAAATCAACGACTAGTCAGTCAAAAAGAAACAAAGACATGGGCTTTTCTTTAAAAAACGGATTTATTGTCAATTTAAAGCAATCCACTTACATAAAACATGACAAACAGTTCAGGACAAACTGATTCCTACTCACTATTGCATTAACACGGTTTGATTCAGAATTGAAGCTAATGTTCTAGGAATGCATTTCAAACAATGGCTAACTGCAGACTACTGTAAATGCTGTAACTAGCGCAAAGGCACACAGTATCATATTCATCAAAAAGCAATGGTTTCATATATTCCTAAACGCACTTAACTAAAAACACACGCAAATGATAAATTAGATAAAATTAACTTCATGTTAACAATCAGCATCGTTAAGCCTCTTTAAGTCCCACTGTTCCAATCCATGGAGTGCACCAAACGTACCGAAAGAGAAGCACTCCATTCAACAGCTTTGACAAGTACCATAACATACAGGGGCCATGATAGATTTTTTTTTAAAAATGGCATGCAAGGTTAACTTTTATATTAGAGTGTTAACTGAGAGCAAGACGAGACTCACCCTGTGTGGTTAGATATCGGTCTAAGGGTTTGCCTACAGTATAGCTAAGGGTGTAACAATTTCAATACGGTCTTGAAAAATCAGAAAAACAAAACAGTTTATTGAAATTTAAAACTGTACTGCCAACATAGAGGGTTTCACACACTGTTTTTTGCGGAAACCACCATCTATAATCCAAACTAGGCCTCTGGGCGCATCCAGTTAGTAAAGGGGGTGGGACTTACGAAAAAAAGAAAATAATAAGTTAAAAAAAAATAAATAAATAAATAAAAAAACACAAGCTGCAACAAAGGGTTCTTTAAAGAACCAAACACAGTTCACATAAAGAACCCTTTTTACACCTTTATTTTTAAGTGTATCAATGCTTTAAAAACTGGGCTTATTTTCTAAAGTTGCTTAAAAATTGTTATTGTTTTGGCTTACTTTGTTAGTAGACATTATTTATTTGAGCCAAACCAATCTGAGTAGTATAGAATCAGAGCTCTGTACAATCAAGACTTTTAAACACAAAATATCAAATAATAAATCAAATCTTGACCATAAATTTGAAAACTGTATTGAACAGAAAAATGTGTTACACCCCTAACTATAGCAGTCTAATATTGGACTGATCAGAAAATACTAATCAACAGTGTTTCTACCTGTGAATCACGGCTTAAAGAAAAATCACAGTCTTAGACTTTAACTCTCCCAACTTAGTGCTCACCCCTCCCCACAAGTGCATGATTTTTTTCGCCACCAAAGATGCCCTATGTTGCCATCTTGGAGAGCACAACTAAAGTGTATTTACAACCTTCATAAAATTCAGACAATCTAGAGTCACATCAGGCATGGAGCACCTATATTTTAAGGAATAAGCTCTAAGCAGCCACCATAGAGAGGAAGATGCTGGACCAAAGTCCAGAGCAGCAGCTGTTAACCACAAGGCCAACAATTAAAGGCTGCACTGATGAATACTGACTTTTGGCACCAAAATATATATATATATATATATATATATATATATATATATATATATATATAAATAATTCACTGCATGTTCTTATAGCCACATGGAGCAGCTTTTCACTCCCCAACCCTCAACTGCTGAGTGAAATAACACTGTAGCCCTTAAATATGCAGATAGAAACTACCATACAGTACTATGCTAAGGCGGAGACCACCCTTCATTTACTTTTACAGTCAAAACTGCCATTACAAGCTATTCCTTTTTTTCCAAGATATATTTCTGAGAAGATTGGATATTTAATAATCCACCTGCATATGGAAAGCCAAAGTCAAAGAAAAATAAGTGGGGGGAAAAGGTATTTCCAAAACACCCCTGTTTGGGATTACTTAAATCGTGAGAAGCAGAAAATGCAACCAACTCCCAAGACTGAACTTTGGAGGTGTAGAAAAATATCCTTGCAGGTTTTGTTAAAAAACAAAATGTGAGTATCAAGAAAATAATGGAAGCTGTAATAACGACAAAATACTGAGAAACTGGATATTTTATTTGGTTGTTGAGGCTTGTGTTTAATTTTCTGTTAAATACATATTTTCCGTTTTTTTTTCATCTTGACGCTGCTAAATGAATAACTTGTACTTAATGGCTGTTTTGACAGGAACTTAAACAAGTCATGGGTGTTCTCTGACTTTTGCGCAGGACTGCATGTTTCTGTTAAAAACCTCTAGCCTCAAACAGACACCATTTCTGTTTCCTGTAGTTATTTATATTAGGGTCTTCTGATTAGAACACCATTTCAACTGAATGCTATCGACTAGATCTGTGTAGACGAAAAAGCTGTTATATTAGATGTAACGAAATCTGATAAGTAATTAAAATTCAAAGGCACAAATAATCAATTTTCAAAAAATTCTTAAAATCACACTGAATTGAGAAAATACTAAGCACACTCAGAAAATAATACAAAAAAGTCAAGTATTTTGCCAAATGAGAAATTACAAAGCCCTTTCTCAGCTGACTAATTCCACTGCATTCCTAATTTACACACCTAAGTACTGCAACTACTCTTAAAGGAGCCATCTGTTTGATTTTCACATTTAAATTTCACTGGATTGTGATTATCATAAATAGGGAAGACATAAACAAACAAACAAAAAAAAAAAATACAATCAAGCATCAACTGAATGTCATGACTCATGTATTTTCATCCGATTGTTTCTAAACTGGCTTTTTAAATGTATTAACACATAAAGCCTTCATGCCAAGTGCCTCGGTACATGACAAATGTAGTAGCGTTCTGCTGAATATCCTATAAGTGCTCAGACCAAATAGAAAATGATCACGCAGGGCCCTGAGCAGTACTTCTTGTTTATCCCACATGCAGCTCCTTTAAGACTCTATACTCATCAGTTTAACCCAGAATCAATTACCAGGCACTGCTGTATGGGAACATGATGTGTGTGCGGTTTCAGTGCTCATTAGAAAATTAAACTCTTTGGGGTTGTGATTATTGATAACTGCAATTATTCCCACTACACTATATGAAGCATCCATCGAATCATTTCTCACATCTGTAACCTGTTATTATTGCTGTCTCATCTCCAGGGACACCATGAATGCTACCATGGTAACCAATACTTCATGACTGTCAAATGCGAAGCTTATGCTACCAGAAGTGTGTAAAAACCATATTCGACGAATTATTAGTCTCTTGAAATGTGCAGTAACTAACCTCCCCCACCTCTGAATCAGTAGCTTACACTGTAAAATCTGAGTATAAAAATGCATAGGCAAACCTCACAGCAATCCTGTAATCTAAAGCATATAAAATAATTAGTCACTCGTCTAAAACGTCTGTACTGAGGAAGCAGGGAGTGGCTAGGAGCTGGCTGCTCTTCACATTCATTTTGTACTAAAGGATTTAGTCCAGGGTGAAATGTAGAAGCCTATAGTGAATGAACTGATCTGCAGCAGCTTTGCCACTCTTTCAACCTGCTGAAAAGGGGGCACACAATACACGCTGCTGAAGGGTACTGACCCAAATTGTCTTCAGTATATACGAAAATAGACTAAAAGGTAGGAAACCACAGCAGCGTTGAACTAATTGGCAGACGCCTATGTGCAATATTTTCCTGCCTGTTTTAGAGGCCATACATTGTGAAACATGATAGGCCTCTAGGCTTTTTCCTTGTGTTTCCTTGTTTTAAGAGAAAGCCATGATTCAACTTCCCTAAACATGCCCATTCATTCTAAACATGGACTAATGCACCATCAGGCAAAATATAGACTAATCTTATTTTTCAATATGTAACTGATATAGCACAGATATTTAGGCATGCCTAAGGTAACGTCACTTGGAGTCCATAGTTTGATCCGGACACAAAATCTGTTGGCATCAACATCCAAAATCTCGCGCTAGTTTGGCACAGACTTTAGCAGACAATGTATGGTTCGACAGGAGCAACCACATGCCAGGCTCATCTTAGAACAAACCACTTCTGAAACAAGTTTTTTTGATGTGAACTGTGTTTTCAGGCACGCTAGGCTTCTCCCTAACTCCAGATGAAAGCTCTTACAGAGCAATACCATTTGATGAAGAGTTAAGCAGCCATGCACATAGCATGTGTTTAGAAGAAGTGTAGTGATCGCTACATTACTGCTATTGAAAACCTCGAATTAAATAATATTAAATACAGGCTTCAAATATTTATTAGTATTTTTGAACGAGTACTCGAGTAATTCTCAAAATCGGGATAAAAAAAATGTGAATATTTGCATTTTAAAACTATAGTTCTGCAATTTAAAAAATATCTCCAGCAGGCAGCAACAATGCATTAACTCAGGCTGAAGCCCGGCTGCCTGCGTGCCAAATGTTGCCACAGAAGCCACAACAGTAGCCCTCTTATTCAAATACTGCTTTGGAGTCACAGATGCTAAGGGTGTCGCTTTACTTATCGCAGTCATGGTTTTAGTTCGTTTTAGACCATTGCTTTAATTTATTTTATGTGGCTAGTTAGCTGTTTTATCATCAAAAGCAGCAGCCTATCCTGATGACATGTAGTTTGAGCTAGAAAAAACAAAACAAAACAAAAAAACACCTCAAACAAAACCCCCCACAAACACAAGCATGCAAGTGCTAAATATAGAATACATATATGAATAAGGAATTCATGAGTATTCAAATTATTTGGGCCAGCCGTATTTAAAAAAACAAAACAAAAAAAAAACAAACAAACAAACAAACAAAAAAAAAACAATCAATATGAATATATGGATGCTTAATCTCACTTGAGAATACAAAGCTTCTACAAAAGGAAACCTCTACATTATTTGGAATTTATCTATGCACCAGTCAAGCGAGCACCCTTTCAATCACGGGATAATATATGAAAAAGTAAATACCCTGTAATCAGTTAGTATTTCAATTATAGTTACCTGATGAATTAAAAACCTATTAAATTAATACATGCTGGTATGCACTTCTCTCATGCATTGCAGCACTGTCATCATTTAAGAGACAACACACCACGAACCTCAACCTTCACACTCATTTGGAGAAACCTTTTTGACTACGAACCAAGGAACAAAATCTAATATGGGCAACGAAACACTGAACTAGATTTTGCTTTTTTCCTTTTGAGTAGAGCTTTATGTACATCCCATTTTCTCTCTCCCAGTCATCAAGTATGTCTAAGTAGAGCTTTTTGTTCATTCTATTTCCTTTCTCCCAGTCATCAAGTATTTCTAAAGTCTGGTGAGTCATGTCTTTCATCTTAGTAAGTGCTTTGTTTCTTCAGCAAAGGAAGAAGGGGAAAGTAGGTCAGCCTGTAGATAAACCTCTCACACGAGTGCCAAAGGAAAGAGACCGGAGTTGGCATGCCCAGAGACAGAGACGCAGCCTGACGCACCATTCCTCTCACAGAAAAGAACCAAAAGGGAGAAAGAACGGACAAAACTAAGAACAAGACATGGCACTGGCTGACTTCTGCAGTTTATTCTTCTATATCTTTTTGCTTTCTCTTTCTGCCTGCTTCCCTGACTCTTTCATAGCCTAGAGGTCAAGAAGAGGTCTAGAACTTGAAGGCGGTCAGACCTGGAGCGGGCTGCTGCTGCTGTGTGAGCGTGGCAGCCATGGCAACGGCTGCGGCATTGGGGACGGTGCCGAATGGAGCCGGGCCCGTGGTCACGCGCGGGGCACTCTGCAGCTTCCGGCTGGCCGTTCGCTTCAACTCGAAAACGTCTGTGGGGTCTTCCAGGAAGGCTCTCCTGTAGCTCAGATACTGATGCTTCAAAGTCTATAGGAGGCAGGAGAGAACTGGTCACTCAGAGCTGTTTAAATGATTACAGTGGTTTTTAGGAACTTGCAACTAAAACAGGGCCCAGCTGATCTGACGGATTGCTGATAAAAATCAGCCACTAATAAGTTTTTCACAGATTTATCAGTATTATCAAAAATCCCACTAAGAGACTAAAATCACATCAGTATTGGCAGATAACTGCTTAAAAAATTATAGACTGGACATATTTCTAGATTTGACTGATACGGTCACTGATGACACAGTAAGCCACTGTGCTAACATGTCTGAATTTTATTCCCTTGTAACCCTCTACAAATTAGTATCACATTTCTCAATAATGCTAATCCAGGCAGATTCAGTCCTTATTTCTATATTTTATAAATGTTTATGTATCGACAAGGCAGATGTCGACACAGTTTAACAACTGGTGTTCATTACTGACCACATAAAATTGTATCAGCAGATATCAGTTATTGTACTTTAAAGCTCCTTAAAAACAGCGTCAAAAGTTTTATATTAGTCAAGCCCTAAAGCGGGGTGTCCAGTCTTATCCGCAAAAGGCCAATGTGGTTGTGGGTTTTCATTCCAACAAAGCAGAAGCTCATGTTTAGTTGTCTGAAGAGTTACATCACCTTAGGCCCAATCCCATTTCACCCCTTGCCCCTACCACATAGCCCTTAGCCCTCCGTTGCAGCATGCTAATGTCTCGGTAGCTAGGTAGCTAAATTACCTGTTCCACCTTAAATAGTCCAGTAGTACTGATGTCTGAAGTGTCAGAATGTAACTGCTAGTCCATTTAAGGTGGAACAGGAAATTTAGAACGAGAAGCTGGCGAATAGCTGACTTCAGCTTCACATCACCGAAGAATTAGGGGTGGGCGATAAATAATTATCCCCCCTCTTTGAAAACATATGATGCCATAAACGTAACTGAAGCCCAGCAGTGAGGTTGCTGAACTTTACCCTTCTCTGCTATCACTGCAGACGGGCAGGGTTGCCTACAGAGCAGCACTAGTGGCCTGTTAATGAAGTAAATGTTCTTTTTTTTATTTGAGGGTCCCATTTTGTAGGGGAGGATTTTCACCACTACCCCTTATAAGCAAGCTGACACTCGAAAACAAGGGGTAAGGGTCAGGAATGCATATACTGTTCTATTCCAAAGCTCAACACACCTGAACACTAGTTACTTGGCTTAAGCACTACTTAGATGAGATTAGTTTTATATGGGGAGGTGGGTTAATGTAATTAATTTTTACCATTGTTTCTCAGTGATTTTGATCACATCTGAACCAGCCATCTAATTTTTATGAACTGGTCACTCCGACGTCAGGAAACATTCCGGCACCCCGGGTTAAATTAATGCCGTGCGAATTGACATGTTGGTAAAAATGCTATCTATTTTGTTGTTTTTGAGTTTGGCACTTGAAGAGTTTGTGTTCTTTGTAGCTCAAATTAAGCCGATATGTATTGTCTTCTCAACGACACAACTTGGAACATTAAAACAGATAAAATGACAGGAGGAAAAACAATTTTATTCAGAGGTGTTGAATGTTGGCTGTGAACTTCCAAGCTATTGACAACGCTAATGACACTCTGCATTCACTTAGAACAGCAAGATAGATGGTTAAGGTACAAAAGAACATATTTTGTTTGCTATTTTGTTTTCTGTCCTTTTTTGAAGTGAAGGTAGGGTGTAAATCGAGTAGCCACCCCCATCTCTGTCATTTATACCGAGATTTCTCATCCCACGCGAATCGGTGATAAACATAACAGACGTTGTGTATTAAAACTACATTACCCCACCTCCCCATGTAAAACTAATACCATCCCTATAGTACCTTAGATGTACTGGGAAACTCAGACTGGCAAACATTCCTAATGACAGGACTAGAAACTTCTGGACATGTGCTTGCGCTCCACAAGCTTGAGTGCTTTAAGTGAGTTAAGCTAAACTGGAAAGCGGTCAGAACACACACCTTTACATTCTCATGAACTGCTTGCAGCTGTGCAGCCAGGGCCACAAACGTCTGGTAGAGCTTCTGCATGGCCATGGAGAGATCTGTGAACAAAGGACAGTAAATACACCTCAGTACATCAACCCAAAGAAGTATAATAACTTTAAGGGTGTTTTCACACTTGGGCCGTTTCAGTGTCTGAAGTGGACTCAGACCGCTGAGTCATGGTTTCTTTTGCATATGTGAACACGGCAAACAAACTCAGACCCCCCTAAACGGCCCCCCAAACGAACCGAACTGAGACCACCTCGAGAGGTGGTCTCAGTTCGGTTCGTTTGTAGTTCGTTTTGTGGTTTGATTAAATTGTGCATTGTGAAAACAAAACGGCCCCAGTCCGCTTTAGCTGTGCTTTATGGTGAAGACCTCGATGCTCGCCGTACATACAGCCACAGTCTTCAGCACTTCAACAGGTAAACAGACCCAGGATCATTTATAAGGTTCTACTCAGGATAAAGTCTGTCCGTGATCTGCGACAGAGAGCAGCGCTGATTTATTAAAGCGATCAGATGCGAGAGCTCGCGTGATTATACCGTGTTAAAGGCTCGAGCTGGGCATGCAACGCAGTTCTTAGCTGCTTTCACTCTGAACGCTGAATGAATGAAAATTCGCCGGGTGGAGCTTCAGTGAGGAGCACAGCCGAACACGGAGCCCACCGCGGCAGACCCGCAGAGCCATTTTTCCAATTTTGCGCGCTGGACTTCGGCCAATCGTTTCAGCGCGGCCAATAGGAGAGCAGCAGGCGGGTCTGGCGGTTCTTCTCGTCACCTGATAGCTCGGATTTATCCGAGAATGCGGCCCACGTGGCGAGCGCTGTGCACACCGTGAGTGCTGTGAAAGGGGTCTGAGTTCTAATGGGTTGTGATCTGAACAAGAAGTGGTCTGAGATCTCAATGGACCAGAAAGAAAACTCCTCTTTAGAGTTCACTTACATTGTGAACACAAAAAGAACTGAGGTCACTTGCAGTTGGTTCCCTTCCAGGTTCACTTTAACAGAACTCGGTTCGGTTCTTTTAAAACGAACTATATGTGAAAACACTGTAAGAGTATATTCGGTGAGGTGTGGTTGCCTTGCTACCTTGAGGGGTGATGTGAGAGCTGCTGCTCTGAGTGGTCAGATGATTTTCCAGTTCTTCGATTTGCTGGCGGTACTGCTGTAACTGCACCTCAAACTGCTCCACCAACCCTCGGAAATAACTACAGAGACAGAGGGAATATTTTTAGCATGTTAGTAACCTCTCCAGTCTGCCACTGCACTTAATCACATGACAAAAAAAAATTAAGTTTATAAAAAGTGGTCCCTCTGCTAGACCTACTTTCAGTCATTTATCTATTATTCCAATTGGTTATTTGAACTTGAATTCAATTGTACCGTACAGACAACACTACCTTACATCTTATTTATTTTTAAGAACGTAAATTAACCAAGAAGATCACCTTCCATCCAAATTCACACTAATGACAGAACACAGTTTTTAAAAACGCGTAATGTGCATGGTGCAGTTCAGCTTCAGAAAGACCATGAACAACAGACGAGTTTGATCTAAATCGAAACTATCTGCATGAAGGCATGTCTACAGAAGAGAGTGATAACCACTAATTTTATCAGCATGCACTCACTCAGATGGTGCAGTGTTCTCATGCTGAAGCCCAGGAGGTGTCTTCTGGGTTCTCAGTGCAATATCAGCGTTCTTCAGCTCCTGGAATGGAGGAAATATGCATACTGTAACACAGACTTAAGCTTTACACCCAAGAGTCTATCAATAGTGGTACACCAGTGTAACAGAATACAACATCATTGCAGCAAGATTCTGTGGCGGGCTTGCTAAGGTTTGGTAGGTTTTGCTATAAATTTGTATAAATCCTGTATCCTGTTATTACTGTTATGCTATTGAAGACTTTGTCTTCTCTGTTTGTGTATAAGCATCAAGATAAGTTCATGTTTCACAAGTACAGGTGTCCTGTTCATCAGGCTGCAGCATGGCTTTATCTGTTTAAGGAGGAAAACCACAGTTTAAAAAGAAAATAAAAGGGGGGGGGTTTGGGGGAGTGCTGCCTTGCACTGCAATGTTCTGAAACACTGGACTACCCTTTAAAAGACAACACATTAAAGGAAACAAAAACAAACAAACAAAAAAACAAGACAAATATGACTGCTTTTTGCATCTTAAAGCCATTAACGCAGAGTTTGACATTTCAATCACGAAACTTGATTGGCAATCGCGATAGATGCAATCTGTCAGCAATTCACAATAAGCGTCAATTGGCTCAAGCCTATTCTGCAGCTTTCACATCAAAATGCTGTGATGGGCACCTCAAGCAAAAAGTGCTATTTTTATTTGTTAACGGCTCCAAACACTTTCTGTGTGAGGAAGAGGAAAAAAAGGACATTTGGTCTAGGGCTATGTACACAAAACGTGTTATTTCAACACCCATCACTTTTTTTCTGCATCTCAGCAAACAGCTTTCAAGGACAGGGTGAGAATCAACTCACTTCATTTTCTCCCAAAACCTCTCAAACTTTGACTAGTGCTTTCAAGTACAAAATAGTTAAAGTTTAGCAAAGAGGTGCTCTGTATTTTCACTGACCGAGAATGAAAAAGCAAGAGAAGTATGGCTAGACAGACATCAAATCTCTACTTTAACATCAGGAATAAACACAATCTTATTTATTTACCTGATCTTATTTAAAAATGCAGCTCACAGATGGCCGATAAGCATACAAAGAAAATGACAAACAATCTCTAATATACAGAGCTTAGAAACTAGAAATATAACATTCCACTATGTAAAAAGAGAATTAAGAGTTCTATGAAATATCTGTAGCAGAATAATACTAAATTAATGCCACACTGTAGAATCTGGGGATTTGGAGACCTCTCTGGTGGAAATATGTAATTGCACGTAACATGCAGAACAACATTTTGAAATGCTGGTTGAGCTTCGCACCCCCACAAGCGGATCGATCTGACTTTTGCGAGTGCACTGAAAGAACAATCGAAAGAAAACCCAGTCAAAACTTGGTGAAGGACACGTCTTCTGAGGATGTGACTGAATTTTCTACTATGGTCATCATATCTTCAACAGTATAATGTTGATTTTGCATTTGAGACCTAAACATCGAGATGGTCCTTCTTTCTGACTCTGTGAGTGTGACGTTAATATGTAAAGATGTACGGCATGGTCTGAAAAACTCCTGCCAAATCCCACCAGAACCTCTGACTTTTAAATGATTATTTCAGGCTTTACAGGGCGACTCGCAGCGGCGCATCCATACTCAGTAATGCTACTTCTCTCAGTTTTAACAAAAAAAATTACATAGTGCTGCTTTAAGTATTTATGCTTATTATTATAGAGAAAGTCAGATGTTCACATTTGGCAATTTCAGTTAGCAATCTTTTATCCCCTTAATGTTTAATATAATCAAGTCAAAAAAACTGCTTTAAACTCTGTCAATAACATAACGGCAAAGCCTCACAGAAAAGAAACAGACAAACTGTATATTATCCTGTGTTCACAAATTGTAAATGGTAACAGGTACGCCTTTATAATTTGTATACATATATAACTATATTGCTGTTGTCTGGACAAAACCTTGTATCTCCAAAATGTTTACTTCACAGGAGAAAGAAAAAACAAACAAACAAACAAACAAAAAAAAACAAAAAAAAAAAACATACTTTGCTTTTGATGTAAGTCAAAGGAACCAGACGTTTTTCCAAGTCATTCTGGGCTGTTCCTTTTGGTCTATTCATCACGAAATTTACACACAGTGTAAAGGACAACTGGCATTTTCAAATTATGTCAAAAACTGAAAAATAACAAAAATGGGGATTTGTTCCGACAGCAGCGATATTTAGAACGTAATTTATAATTTTATAATTAGTGTGAAGCTCCATGTACACCCACCTTAGATCATCCCCTTTTCCATTAAATACTTATTCTGGGTGTGATGCAAAAATCAAAGAAGAATGTAAAATATGGTATGCTCAATTTGTTTTGCTGTTTATTTATTTTTACTTTACTCATTTTTGTTACGTTTACTTGTGGTGCAACTGCTCTGAATTGAAATCCGTAGTCCAATAGCCGACGGTTCAGCTCACGGTGCACGTGGTGTGAACTGTGAATCTTTTAGTCTTGTTAACAGAGCATGCTGCTCCACGTTTAATCACACAGCGAGCAATCAAGTGATAGTTACATTTATTTCACTTGATGTTTACATTCAATTTGCTTGCTGTTTACATTATTATGCTCTGACTGGTAAGACTGCTCTACCTCTTGATGTTCACTTATTTTTCCCATGACATTTTTGCTCCATTTGCTCAAGTTTTCATATATATTACTTGTTTATGCACTTTTGCAACAATTTTGTGAAAAAAGGAACTTTTAAACATAATTTATTTCATTCAACTTTGAAAAGACTTTTACTAATATGTAATTAAAAAAAAAACTCAAGTTCAAAGTTGGTAACATTTTTTCCTTGCTCAACCGTGAAATCAGTGAACCAATCACCTTTAATACGTTTACTTTTACACTGAGGAGATGTGTTCTGTTTCTGTACCTGAGCGGTCTCCATCTTGAGCTTGTCTATGGACAGGGCATTTCTCTGCAGCCCACTGGCACTGACCGACAGAAGCTGCTTCAGACTCTTAATGTCATCCTGCACTTTAAGCATGGCTTTAGAGGACATCCTGCTGATCTCTTCTTGAACCTGCTTCTGCTCCTTCACAAACTTCCTACATACAAACAAAGAGGCGAGAAACTTTTAACTCAAACACATAAGAAGCCACCAATCAGTCCCAATAATTGGAAGAGAGGAAGTACAATACTTACTGGAAATTGTCCACATCTTGACAGATGGGACCAGGAAGGTTTTCATCTTTGAGAGCTTTGCTGTCTCTGTAGTAAAACCAAAAGAGGAGGAAAATTATTAGTGACCAAGTCCTACACAACAGGTTAATCCAGTGACAGAAATAGCTGAGGGCAAAGGGCAAAAACACCCCCATGTTCAATCTTTCTGCCCCTTAAAATGCAAGGTCGCTGAGGTATTACTCTATGTAGTGATTTTTTTTTTATGAATAGCCTAATTTACCCAGTTAACAACATGCTGGCTTATGTCCACTGAAATTACAATCAGTTAGTATTACATTATTATAGGACTGGGCAATAAAACGATAACGATAATCATCGCGAAATAACTTTTCCTCGATAGAGCGATACAACATGTTCGATAAATGTTCGATATAACCATAACCATTCTCGCACCTCCACGTTCAGCGAAAGCCTTGGTGGCGTTTTCTACTACAAGGAAAGCGACATTACTGTGCTGTTGCCAGGAGAGGGCGCACTTCCAAGTTTTTCTACATGATTAGAGAGGGAGGGGGCCACGAGTAAGATGAGTCTTTAGCAACGGCTGAAACACGGAGTTACACATTCCCTGTTTGAGTGGAGCGACAGGCGATCTGTTCTCCTGTGACCATGTGTGAGTGACGAGGTCAGTGGTGTAACTGTACTGACCTACAGCGAACTCACCTCTTTCCGTGCATCCTAACAGCTTTAGCAGTGTTAAATCACAATCCTCACAACTAAAGCGCTGTTACAGCACTCGGACAGTCATATTTAAGTATTAGTGCATTCCCAAGCAACGAAAGTGAAAGAAAAAAGTGGGTCCATGTAAATTACAGCCCTGATTTAAACGAAAGTAAACTGAGGAAGCTGTGAGGCATTGGAGAGCGGGAGAGCGCTATCTTTCCAGGCTAGCTGTTTTTAGCAGCTGGCTAACTTGAAGCAGCCCGCTGTCACTCACACAGCACGGAGAATTGATGATACTGTAGATCAAACAAGACACAAAAGCACCGCTTTCAGTTTAAACGTACCTGAAAGGAGGACTCCGTTTGTCTGGTGTTGATATTTTGCGGTTCACCCCTTAAACTAGTACGATAGTATAGAGAAATCCAGTCGTCGCTAGCTGGTGTTTGAATACTGTGACGTCATTTGTAACGGGGTAGCTGAGCGCTCGGCACCAGCTAAAAATAATCTGTTTTCTTTCTTAAATTATGACTACTACAAAATAGCCATGCCTTTCCAGCTGGTAGAAACAGCTCACCAGACACTTTCTCCCACTCTCCCATGACAGATTTGTGAAATGTTCCACTGTTTGGTGATTGTTTGTCGTGTTCCGACCATAAAGGATAGTTTAAAACAGCAGTTAACCCCCAGGACCAAAAATCAGCCTTTAAACTTGAAATAAATAATGATTTGACATTTATCGCGGTACGTATCGATATCGAACGATATGAATTTTGTTTAGCGTGATAACATTTTCGGCCATATCGCCCAGCTCTACATTATTATAGTTACTGTTAGTATCCAAATTTTCTTTATTTGAAAATTACAAGTTTGTGTATTAAATGCCTGTGAATTTTGGTTAAATTTAACCCAGAGTTACTCAATACTATTACTACCAATTAACCCTGGCTTGAATGGAGGTTTCACTGGTACTCACTCAGGTCTAGCACTGGATGATTTATCACTCTTGTTCTCAGAGGAGGTGCTGAAGTCCACTCCACCCAAACCCACACTGGGTGCAGGGGCAAGAGGGGCTGTGGATGCTGTGGAGGATGAGAGCAAACTACCGAGAGTCAAGCCCCCTCCAAGAGTAGACTGCCCTAAGCCTGAAACACAGAGAAACACAATGAAAATGGGACAACATGAAGAGACGTAGAGTGAGTCACGTATACAGTCACATTAAACAACCTCTTTACCCATCCAGTAAGTTATGTTGCTCATTTACACCATCCATTCACAAAGCAGGACTGATCTTGAATCAGACAGTCATTGCCACAAATACTGACTTCAGATCAGCTCTTTGACTCTTGACTTGACCCTGTTGTCTAAAGCAGCTGCCTAGGTTTGTTCATTTTCATAGTTCACAGTAAGTCATATCACACCAAGTCTGCACAAGCTGTTAAAGACCAGGATGGGGTTTGAAAGAAATGTATGATGTATCTTTACAGAAACGATTTGGGCTATTTGGGTGACTATTGAATTCTAGTGTTTGTAAGCAACGTTAGCCTTGCCACTCCAGTTCTAAACTAAAGAAGCCAAACATGTCTCAGCCAATCGACTAAATTTGGGGTACATGGAAAATAACAAAGCACAGAAACTTAACCTAAAGGCCTCCCCACCTGTTGAGGCAGAGCTGGAGAAAATAGATGTGCCCAGACCGAGGCCTGTGGCTGGAGTGGAGGAGGTGACCTGGGAGGGTGTTCCTCCCAGGTTCAACGAGAAGCCAGTGGAGCCAGTCTGAGGGGCAGAGGAGGTGAGGACGGAGCCCAAAGTCAAGCCTGTAGCTGCTGGGGCAGAGGTGGTGGTCGTCAATGAAAATGGAGCTGCTGAGGCTGCTGGTTTCCCAAAACCAAAGCTGAACCCTGTTGAAGCAGCAGTAGATGCAGCGGGAGTCCCTGTGAACAACAACACAGTATATTAGTGATGGTTTGAACAAACAAAAAAGCAAACAATAAGCGAACCCCACTAACTCATACAGAAGCAAAATATCTTGTTCAATTAAGCTTATTCTTAAGCTTAAACAAGTGAAGCTTACCTAAAGTAAGGCCAGTAGATGGTGCAGCAGCTCCTGCATCAAGGAGAAAAGAAAGACAGTGAATCAGAGAGGAAACTAAAGCAATCTGACAAAAAGGCATGCACCACTTCTTAACACATGGAGGAAAACAACAACATTGTGATGTACACCATCACTCTTCCATCACTAACTAGACAGACCACATCAACAATCTGGAAGTGCCCCGTACCTGAGGCAGGTGTGTTAAAGGAGAATCCACTTGTTGGTTTCTGGGCAAACAAGCTGCCCCCGAGGCCTAAAGAGGACGTAGTGGTGGTAGCGGCTGGAGTAGAGGTTGGTGCTCCCAGACCACCAAAACTAAAGCCGCCGGTTCCTGCAGCAGGTGCACTGTGAGGGGTGAAGTTACACGCCATATTCAATAAATACTCCAACAAAGCTAACACAGCAATGGGTGAATTAGCAGCTTGAAGGTGAAATATTACTTTATGTTTACTTACTTTATGTGAACCCATTTAAATCCAGCAATTAAATTTAGTATGAGAGTAAAAATGTGTATGATAAAGAAAAATACTTGCTCTAATTGATCTAAAGTGATTGAAATTTAGCAAGTGAATTGATTACATGTAGTTTTTGTGCTTTTATTCACCATAAACTTTTGATTTTCTTTTGTTTCTTTAAACAGTAGCAGCACTGATATGACAAAAAGACTTTTAAAAGGAAATTCTGCTAAAAAAAAAAAAAGATTTTAGCTATATACTATAATGAATCTTAACTTTTTCATAAGTTCACGCTCAGAGAACATTCAGATAATCACATGTGGACATTAATACAATAATATATGTGCTTAAGTACTCCTTAACTATTAGCCATACTAGCATTTTCAGATGAGGTACTCACAGCTAAGTAAAGGGGAAGTCCATCGATTTTTAAAAATTCTACATTTTATTAATTAAATGTAAACAAAGTCATTCAGTGGTGTTTGATGTGAAATCATCTGTTCTAGAGAAACTTGTCCAGTAACACATGATAGGAACCAGACATCTGAGGAGTTTCATGCCTCTGAAAGCTCCCTTAGATTTGCTGCCGGATGTCTGACACTGCTTTTTGATAGTTTTGTGAAAAGGTTTTGGCATAAAATGTATTTTTAAAGCATTCATGGCAAAGGGGTATATGCAGAGTGTTGCGCTGCAAAAAAAACTTTTTCCCCCGGATTTATGACCACTTTACCATCATCAGCAGTGCATATGTGAGCTCAAAAGACACGTGTAGGTTCACGGGTGGTTTTAGATAGTAAATAAATTGGCTATATTTGCGTTGCAGTCATAGCGACCCCTGGTTCCTATCACCACCCCTGTAAAGAAATCCGAGTCTGTAAATTTCTCCACAATGAACCATTTCACATCAAACCACCCTCAACGACTGTTTACATCGCAATGATTGAAATAATTCAGAAATGTTGAAAAATTAGCGTTTTAACAGCTGGTTAACTTTATAAATCTCACATTAGGCATGTAAAAATCTAGCTATTTCTTCTGACAGTAGTGATGTTAATGTTTTGGGTGAACTGTTGTCTCTGAATCATGCTGTTGTTAGCTGGGTTAGGTTAGCTAAGCCAGGTCAGCTACGTCAGTTTCAGTTTATCCCAACTGGCTAAGCTAACTAGCTACCAAAGTAACCCTGAATCCTCATACCTGGTCGCGGCTCCAAACGAAAAGCCCCCGCCGGTGTTAGCAGAGCCCAGGGTGCTTGTCCCGAAGTTAAAGCCCGACATTTTAGGTTGTGCTAGTTTACATTAAGAGGCTTAATTAAAAAAAAACACAAGCAGGACCGAAGAGCTAACCGGCTAACCGTTAGCTGTGTTGTACTCCGACCTCGTGGAGGCTTAAAAAACTAAAAATACACACCAGCATCCTAAGAAGGCAAAATCTAACAAAAGCTAAAACTGCCCAGCACAATACTTAAATGCTGTATTCGCGGCCGTGCAGCTTAGAGGCTTATAACTTTTACTACTGACAGCTTTAAAAAAAATCAAATTTCTTTCCGCGCTCGATGTTTCTTCTTCCTCTGCGTCGTGACAACGTCCGACTCGTGAACGAATCGGTTCACAAGTGCAACTGAATCAAAGCCTGTGGTACAGGCTGTAGTGGAAATTATAATGATCATCTTACACTTTTTACTTATTCCACTGTTACGGAGCCTCTACGGTGACATGGTGGTTATTTTTAACAAGGCGTATATATATAATATTGAGGCCACAAATTACTATATTTAGGCCTCGAATCAATATATTTATATTCAATATATTCACTATATTAATTCAATGTCTAAGTATACAAATTTGTGGCCTCAATATAGCCATTTGTGACCTAAATATGGTAAATTGTAGCCACAATATGGTCTTAGTATAGTAATTTGTGGCCTCAATTTATTAATTTGTGTACCTGCCTTATTAAAAAAAATAATCACCATGTCTCCGTACATTGTGCCATTAATGACAACGTATTTTCAACCTATTTAACAGGCCTTCTCTTTCTGTTATAGATTAAAGCTTTGAACATCCCAGAAGTACGGAGCCCCCCCCCACGGAGCCCCACTGGTGACATCCTGTATAAATAAAAATAATGCGTGGCCACAACTTAGTAAGGCATGGGAACGAGATCCTAATGCGTGGCCACGACTTAGTAAGCCGTGATCTCGTTCCCACGCGTTAATAAGTCGTGGCCACGCATTATTTTTATTTATACAGGATGTCACCAGCGGGGCGCCGTACAGAAGATATTAAGTTAACTAATAATTTCGCTCATCAGGAAGAATGGATCATACCCACTATAATGTTTGATGCATTAAAGTGGACTGTTCAAAGGAATCGGTTCGATAAACTGATTCGAACTTTCAGCGACACTGCTCCGTCCCAAAGCAGCAGCTCGCCCCCTCCGGCCTGGCGAAGCTGTCCAGAGAAGAGTCTCCAGTCACGTTAATAATGAGACGGCGATACAGAAACATAACCGTTTCAGATACTCACAACACGTTTTAATTATATATATTTACATTTAGTAATATTTAAACTCAAACACGATTGTTATAATGTCAGCAATCTAGTCAACAGGCAATAATTCCCAAAAAGAAATCTGATAAATGGGTATATATGGGTATACATCATTATGGGTCAGGCATATATTTCACAATATATGTGCATATATGTACTGTACATATGTGTACATATACGCATAATATATGGATCATATATATATATATATATATATATATATATATATATATATATATATATATATACATATAAATAAATAAATAAATAAATACATATATATATACATTAATATATATATATATATACATATATATATATATGATCAATATATAATGCATATATGTTCAATATTTGATACACATATGTACAGTACATATATGCACAAATATATATATATATGTATATATATATACATATATATATATATGTCTGATACATATACATATGATACATACTGCTTAGCTTATAATGCACATGTATGTAGAGTTCAGTTATGTAGCTAGCATATGAATGTCAAACACTTCATTAGGACATATGTGGACGAAACAAAGAAGATGCATAAAAACCTTGTATTACATAACATGTAGCTAGCATATATACGTAAAGTATGCCTTCCATATACAAGTAATGTTTTCTACCATATATTCTTAAATATATTTGTTGCACACATGTTTGTGTATGTTGACATGTGGCTGAAATATATGCGTCATATTTGAAAATAGCCAATTTCAAATAAGTCAGCATGTATGTCCATATGTGACTAATAAGTTGGATATAGGGGAAATCCATATATAGAAATTCAGACGGATGTAGATTTTATAACTGATTTCACAAAGCGTCACAAATGTAATATCTTCCGATACTGGTGGTCGTCCAGACCCCTCTGCCCCGCACAGACAGCCTTCCTCTTTGAATTTTTTGTGCCTTGTCCAAATCTGCTTTCCAGTTGGTGCATTTTTATCGAATTCTCTCGAAAATGCTCGCTGCACACTCTTGTTTGACTGTGTACAAGCATATTCTAACACACAAAATGCCTTTTCATTTCCAGTGAACATTATTCTTCAACCTCACATTAAAAATTAAACTTGGTTAGTTTTTACGCATTTTGTAATTTTGTAGAGATATTTGTGGGTGAATTGGCTGTTATTAGACTACCAAATGATGTCAATTTTTTTGGGACACCCCCCTGTATGTAATATATTTGAAACCCATATTTTACCACATATCAGATTTCTGAATGGTTTGGTTAGCGAACTACAACTCCCAGCATGCCCTTCTGTGTTTTCGCCGTACGTGGCGGAGACCCGCCCCGAGGAGGAAGTTACAGGTCAGAAAGCAGAAACAGAAGGCTGGTCGAGATTATAAGCAAATAACGGAGATGATGCACTGGGTAGAATAGCTTTCGACCGAGGCAGCGTTTCTGTTGCCCCTTTTTCATGTGTGAACTTCCATCTGTTCACAGCCCTTTTCTGCTTTATCGCTCGATTCGCTGACAACACGGCGGCAGCGGCCTCATGGAGCACATCCGAACACCAAAGGTAATGGAGATACAGTACAAAGCTCAAGTCAGATTCTTTTTCGAAATTTTCCGTTCCACCTTAAATGGTGCAGCAGTTTCATTCTGGTACCCGATGCGCCAGAATGTAACTGCTGCACCATTTAAGGTGGAACGGGCAAATTCGAGCAAGCAGCTGGCGAATAGGCAGCCAACTTCAGCCTCGTAGATACATCAGCATTAATTTAGAGCTTTTCTTGCTTGTCATGGGATTTCACCCTTCTTAATGGGGTTTAAACCAGAACTGTTCATAGTCGGCTTTTTTAGTTGTGCTGTTTTGCACTAGATGACAACACACGAGACGTCATATGTTCATTTGAATTAGATGATGCGGTTTCACTCTGATTTCGCAACATCTAGGCAGATGCAGTTATGTTAGCCGGCTGATGTTGTAGCAACACTGTAATATTGACTTTACACCACTGAAACAGCTTAATGTTGTTTGCTTACTTACTGAAGCTGGTCCAGTTGCATTACCCATATGACAAATGATGAATGGTGCTTATCTGTGATAAACTGAACTGGGTCTACACTTCTCTGTTGGGTCTGGAATTTTGCTTGCTGCAGCAAAATCATTGAGCAACCTTGCATTTCTGAGCTATGGTTATGTAGGTTTAGCTGGAATAGCCTTCCAAAGAGGCCATTTTGTAGAGACATTCAGCAACCTGATACTGGATTTGACAGCCGTGGATGGATGAGCCAGCTCCAGAAGATGTGGAAGGTGTTCCTGCTGCAGCAGAATAGGCCGGGTAGTGCTGCTTTGCTGGGGTTTGTGGTTTTCTGAGCAACTAGTGGTTATTTATTCCTGGCATTTCCTTCCTTTTTGAATGTCTCAGCCTGGTATAGGGTCAGGTCTTGTGTTGTGGCCATCCACAGTGTTTGTAACGACACTGTGGTGGGTTGTACATGCGTCTAACGTTGCTTTTGGTTTGGTTGAATGTTCTGGTTCTGCTCATGTTGTGCTGTTTTGGCTATGAAGTGTCAATGTGATGTTCTAAAAGCATCCAGGCACCACTATTAAAGGGACTCAGCTTGTATAATCTCCATTGTAAAGTACTGACAACAGAACAGGATTCTAGAGCAGCCACACATGAGCCTAAGTTCACCAGGCCTGAAGCCGAGCGTCGGCCAGAGGGGGATACAGCCCACCGGTATTGGGCTGTGGAGCAATGGAACTACGTTCTATAGAGTAATGGAGCTCCATCCAATACCTTTGGGATTGGATTGTTGTTTGTGATCCAGATCTGATTGTGCAACGTCTGTACTTGACCTCACTAATGCTTTTGTGGCTGAATGCAATCAGACCACTAAACAGCAGCGTTTCAACATCTAGTGGAAAGTTTTCCCAGAGGAGCAGAGGCAGCAAAAGCTAAAGCCTAGGTGTGCTTTTAATTTCAGCCATCATGATTAGGGAACCACACCCAGAAGCAGCTTTAAATGGCAAATTACCCACCTAGGGATTAAATTAACCTTACTTTCTAGTGCCCATCTGCAGCTGTGGCCTACATGAATAAAACGGCAAGGGATTTATCTAGTCTGGGATGATATTTTAAACTTTTCACATATATATCTGCCGATACATTACATAAACAGTTATAAAATTAGTAATTTGTACTACATCTGCCTGGATTAGCATTACAGAGATATATAGCAATTATTCCTATAGGGCTACACGTGTCAAAAAATGAGTAAAATGCAGACATTTTGGCACCGTAGCCCAGCATCACCTAAACATTCTGCTCTTCCGGAGTATGACAAATATCAGTCAAACCTAAACATCTGTCCAGTGCTGATATTTTTTGTAAAGCAATTAACTGACCATACCCATATGATTTTAAATGATCATGCATTATTGAAAACGGCAGAGATTGACAGAAGGATGGACGGATGGATGGCTGGATAGATAGATAGTAGTGGTGTCAAACTTAAGTTGATAACGTGTTAATGCGTCAAATTATTAGTGGCACTCATTTTTATTTAAATGCCATTGATTCATTTTCATAGTTTGACCTTTCATATCATCCATAGTTCCACCCTGAAGCCCAGCTGCTGTGCACTGTATGCTGCTATGACTGACTATGTGACTGTAGCCCTGTCATTCAAATAATAGCTTCTAAATGGCGAGTTCTGTTGACGGCTCTTAATAAAACAAATGATATTTCCAGCTGCTGCAATGCCATGAATTGTCACGTGTTTCACTGAAGGATGTAGAGTCTGAAGTATCAATTAAAGCCAAAACACAGCACAGAAGCGGCAATATCGGTAATATCAGTAACCTGAGCACTGGAGCTACACTACAGTGCTAGAGGAGAATTATGGTTAACTCAACAAGATGTACAGCGATAAGATCATGAGAAGTTATGACTGCAGATGAATTGGAAGCCTGGACGATGAAAATTAGAAACTGTTCACACGATGGAAATCAGTGCTATTTTAAATGTTCAGGTTAACATGAACTCTGATGATAAT